AAAATAGAGAGATTCTAAACAAAACCAGCAATCGACTCGTTGCGATCAATGAGAGCTTTCAAAAAGGGATAACACGTTTTAGCCTATTTTATAGAGGAGATTTACAACTTTCAAATAGTTTATAACATTCATCGATATAAGGTTTCTATCGTTGGAAATTTATGAAAATGTTGAAATCCGCATTTCTTATGCATTTACCCAATATATATGTTGTGTCCGATTTAGATTTCCGTCCGATTTAGATTGAATCTAAATCGGACGTCCGATATAGATTGAACTTATCGCGGACGTCCGATTTAGATTTCCGTCCGATTTAGATTACAGTCTATATCGGACGTCCGATTTAGATTCAATCTAAATCTTATATAGATTGAACAATAATATAAACATGCTTAATATATGTTCTTAAGCGTTTTCTGTAGTTTTCTGCATTTTTCAAAGGTCTTTTATTGATTACAGTCTATAGTTGGGTTTTCTTTTCAGAAAAAGACAGTAAAAGACCTTTGAAAAATGCAGAAAACTACAGAAAACGCTTAAGAACATATTTATATTATTGTTAAAGCACTACTATTATATTATATTATTAAAGCATGTTTATATTATTGTTCAATCTATATAAGACGTATTATTGTTCAATCTATATAAGATTTAGATTGAATCTAAATCGGACGTCCGATGTAGACTGTAATCTAAATCGGACGTCCGCGATAAGTTCAATCTAAATCGAACGGAAATCTAAATCGGACGGAAATCTAAATAGGACACAACATATATATGCTTTGAAATGTTTCACCAGCAATCGACTCGTTGCGATCAATGAGAACTTTCAAAAGGGATAACACATAAAAAGGTTCGATCTCTCGAATCGAGAGATCGAAATTCTGTTGTTAAATAGCTTCTTTCAAAGTAGTGATTGTAATAGTACCCCATCCGCATAATGACGTGTAATGGCTGTAATACTATAATACAGTAATAGTACTTCATCCAAGACGGTGCAGATTGTTGCGTAGTCTACGTAAAGCTGTAGACTACGCGATACTCCGCACCGTCATTATTGGGATAGAGTACTATTACAGCATTTACGGTAGCTAATTTATAAAATGTACAGCTGATTTAAGATAAAATTGAATTGGGCCAAGCTAATAAAGAACCAATGGAATCAATTGCAAAATGTTAAGTACAATGTTAAGTACAATGTCAAGTACAATGTCAAGTACAATGTTAAGTACAAATTAGACCTTCTTTTTTCGGTATCACCGTATATAGAAGTAGAACGGAAAAACTTGATTTATCTCTTTTAACACGATATTTTCTAAAAGTTTTTTGTGATTAAAAGATAATACTTGTTATGATGTATCTTCGGGATAGGTTACTTTGCGCCAAATTTTTTGCGCAACCAGATCTTTTGCTCGCTATAACTCGCTATAACTTTCTTCTAAGTCGGCCAATCTTTATGATCTTGGTGTAATTTTGTTACACTTATTGTGATATACAAAATGAAACCAAAATCATAAAGATTAGCCCACTTAGAAGAAAGTTATGGCGAGTTGCGCAAATGACCCTGCTGCGCAAATAAAATGGCGGAAATTAGCCTGCCCCGTATCTTCAAATCAATTTAATCTTTTTGTACCTGTGTTTCCTAACTGTAGTCTTACTGTACTATTTGTTACTATACTGTCTTACTGTACTTTTTAGCTTTCTTTCTTTTTTTGTGGAAGTATTGTAGCAATATTTTCTATGCGGTTATGATTATCTCGATTCACTTCTATTCGTCCCTGAATAAAGCATATATACCGTATTTTCTCTAATAGTAGTGCACCCCGGCGAGTTGATGACGATTTTACGGCTTTCAAAGTCTTCACAGAAGCTCAACACTCAAATCCCCCACTAGATCTGATCGTCAGCTACATTTGCTAGCACCTAGCAAAGCTGCAACCCCAGCAAAGCTGCAACCCCAGCAAAGCTGCAACCCCAGCAAAGCTGCAACCCCAGCAAAGCTGCAACCCCAGCAAAGCTGCAACCCCAGCAAAGCTGCAACCCCAGCAAAGCTGCAACCCCAGCAAAGCTGCAACCCCAGCAAAGCTGCAACCCCAGCAAAGCTGCAACCCCAGCAAAGCTGCAACCCCAGCAAAGCTGCAACCCCAGCAAAGCTGCAACCCCAGCAAAGCTGCAACTTTAAGAGCAAATATCCTCTCTAATAGTAGTGCACCCCAGCGAGCCGAGTTGATGACGATTTTACGGCTTTCAAAGTCTTCACAGAAGCTCAACACTCAAATCCCCCACTAGATCTGATCGTCAGCTACATTTTCCGACCCCACATCGATTGGTTCTGATAAGCGGTTCTCGAGATTTCGAGCAATTTAGGCGACGCTCTGGGTGCACTACTATTAAAGGAAATACGGTAAACAAAAAGGGGTTCTTGTCTTTTTATGTCGTCCAAAGCTAGACTACGAAACACTCCGCACCGTCATTATGGGACTGGGGTACTATTACAGTATTTACGGTAATATAAATCAAGGTATAGTCTGCATGGGAACTTTTTTCGATTTTAAACCCTAATTTCTTTTCGAATATTCAACCAATTTTCGCTCTCTTACGCTTGACGAGTGTCACGGTCAGACCCAATGATCTTGACCCGACTCTGGACCTGATTGTGAGTTCAATGAGCCGCTTTTGCCTCACTTTACACACTAAATACTATAATGCTAACTTTTGCACAACCATTTTACTTGAAAAAACATTTAAAATTTGATTTAAACCGAAAAGTTTTCAATCTAAAAGGACAAGAGTTTCTCTCTTCAAATTTGCATTGAAAAAGAATCAACAAATAAAAAGTGTTTCATTCTGTAAATTCACAAAAACGTAAAGCTCAAAATTTTTGTGAAATCTCACAGTTGTGCAATCGTTTTTCTTGGAGTATTTCGCAAAAAAAAAGCCCAGTCACTTAGCGCAAAGAATTTTTGGTCAAAAACGATGGCGAAATCTCTTTTTGGCTCACTCAAAAGTGTTGTCTCATTTCAACAAAGATTTAGAAATGAAAAATTCAAAAAAACTCGTGAATGGCTTTTGGAAAGAAGCTTATATAGTGGGGAGTGTTTGATGGAGAATCAAAAGGAAATTTTTTTCCTATTTTTTTTGACGAAAACATATTGCACAACTGGGTGGAAATTTTGTGTCAGCAAAACGGAAAAAAACACACAATTTTCCCCTTTTTGAGCCAAAACAATGGGAGAATTTTCTCGTATTTGAATAGAGATTTAGAGATTCGATCGACCCAAATGATGATCAGGGAATTGCTTTACATCAGCTTCAACTACAGCTTCAACTACAACTTCATGCAAAAGTTCTTTGAAAACAAGCATAGCTAAATAATGCTATTCACTTTTTCTCTGAAATCTAAACATATCCCTTCTAGCGCACTGATTTCTTCTCTTTTCTCGCATTTTCTCGCATTTTCTTGCATTTTCTTGCATTTTCTTGCATCAACACTTTACCATCTGAAGAATGAAGACTCGAGTGCGCTAGGAAAGATGCGTTTTCATTTCTAGGAGCACAAAGGACACACACCGTAAATACTGTAATAGTACCCCACCCCCATAATGACGGTGCGGAGCGTTGCGTAGTCTAGCTTTGAACGAGTTTTTCTCGACACTGGTTTATGCTACAATGCGCGTTTAGGTATCAAAAAATAGCCCTGAATTTCAGCTATTTTTTGATACCAAAGACGCATTTTTTGAAAGTACGGGTGCTTTGAAAAAAATGAAATACTAAAAAACTTTTGCGACTACGCGACTGTACGAGGGGGGTGGGGTACTATTACATTATTTACGGCAAGCAAACTTGTCACTTTTGAGATATCATTTCAACAAAAAATTCTATCAAATCAGTGTAAATTGATTCTCAAATACCCACAAGGAATTCTATTTGATTAAAAAAATACATGACCTACTTTTTTTTACGATGTTACCGTCAAGAATTGTGAGAATTTTTGTGGATTTGAGCTTGCGAAAGAGACAAGTGCCCCGAGGTGTCAATTGAGAGAAATTTTAGATGAATATTGCCATAAAGAGATCCCAATGGCAATCGCCATAAAAGTATTTCCCTTTTAAAAAAACAGGAAAACATTGTCATGAGCTGTTCACGTGAATTCGCGCAAACGAATTGACGATCCGATCTTTATCCATCCATTTTTGGGTGAAAGGATTTAGGCTTTCAATTCAAGGCGATTTTTAAAGGGAAGGGATGCCCTAGTAAAGGAAGGGAAGGGATGCTCTAGTAAAGGAAGGGAAGGGATGCTCTAGTAAAGGAAGGGAAGGGATGCTGTAGTAAAGGAAGGGAAGGGATGCTCTAGTAAAGGAAGGGAAGGGATGCTCTAGTAAAGGAAGGGAAGGGATGCTCTAGTAAAGGAAGGGAAGGGATGCTCTAGTAAAGGAAGGGAAGGAAGATGCTTTTAAAGGGAAGGGATGCTCTAGTATGCTTTAGTAATATTACATTACTACAGTATAGTAATACTACAGTAATATTATGTTTTATTAATCTACATTAATTTCTTATTCCCATGAAAATCAACTCAGAGTTGATCCCTTTCAACGTGACCCATTATTTTGGACCAATACTTTTTTTTGTAAACTAATCGATCCAGTCCAAAAAAATTGGACCATGTCAAGCCTTTGCTTGTAAATCATGCCCATACAGTGCCCAGTAACAGATCAGTACAAAGCAGTACCCAGGTTTTAGTCCCCAAAGCGCCGATATTTCTTTTAAAAAGAACCCTTCCATAGCTTCGATATCAGTTTTATTAGCCAATGAGAGATTGAATAATTGAAAGCTTTCTTCCTCATCAATCTGCCATTAAATGTCCATTAGAAAGGAAAAGCGATGATCGATGAGTTTTGCCATAAACGAGTGGCGATTTTCTGCCAAAAATGGCAACGAGTGGAGAGAAGAAATTCACTCAAAAACAGCTGAAATCACCAAACATTTCGATCAATATTTGAGCAATGAGAAACACGATTCTTCTCTCGATCTTCTGTGCCTCATCGTTAGCGGCTTTACGGTTTGAAAATTTGACAAAACTCCCTTAAGCTTTTTCCAGAGTGAAACGAAACGGCTTCACGAACAGTTATGGCTATGGACCGTTTGGAGTCGGGCCGACAAATGGCGGATTTGATAGTTTTGGTTTTTACAGGTCTGTGAGCTGGTAAAATTGATCTCAAATTCTCAGTCTAGTTCTTCTACAGAAAATCTTGAGATCAAGGCTTGAAAGCTACAATTCTAGAGACAAATTCTACAACAGCGGTCTCCCTCCCCTCTACACTTATCAAGCGTACCGAAATTACTATCACGAGATCTCTTTTCATAAAAATAAATATGGCCAACCGGCACCGAATACTTTCGAAGAGCTTCAACAGGAAAGATTTGGTTTGTCAATTTTGCCCCGATTTTCCATTATTAACCCAAATTTAGGCCCTTACTATAAAGGCGTTTGGGGCTACGATCATCAATCTCCTTATTGGTTTGGCAAATGATTGCAAACCGCTCCTCTTCTCACAAACTTTTGAATAAAAGATGATAAACCTTTTATCACATCAAACGACTAATAATCAGCAAGAGTAGAGAAGAACATATATCCACAAGTTTTTACAACACCAAATTCAAAATTCAAAAAAGCAAGACGTAAAAGATGATCAAATGGCGGGTTTATTTGTGGCTGGTCTTCTTGAAGGATTCCTTGTCAAAGTTGGAGATGAACGAATCGAATAAATCAATCGGGAACACCTCTCCGCTGATGCCATCGGAGTCCATTTTGTTGTCACAGGTGAAGGTTCTAGAACTACAAAGTTACAATGTTAAGCGCTGTGAAAATTTCCAATTGTTGTCCGAAAGAATCTCGTTAATCTAGTGCTCTACAAATGCGTAGAGAAACTCACGTGTAAAAGCGAACGAGTCCGGCAATAGTGAGAAAATGATGCGACGCAGGGGCACATCCGATCGAGTACATTCGCTGCTGCGCAATCGCACCTTCTCTGTCTTCGACCACGATCGGGAAGTGACTAAAGAAAATAATGAATGCAATTAACTTAACTAACTATCACATCAAAATCACTTACACAGCTCTTCCGTCCAAAGTTCGATAAGCAATGTGCAAGGTGAGAAAAGCATCGAAATCCTCTTGCTTGTACATCCCAGTCTTCAGATAGTTCTCGTTGCTCTAAAAGATTCTATATTAGTGAATATCAAAGATAAAGATGAGAACTAGCTAGATAGATTTAAAAATTACTTCAAAATGTTGCACCAAAACTTCTAAGTAAGCCTTTAAAACGTTAAATACAAAATAATTTGGTAATATCAAAGGCAAACTAGGTAGATTTAAAAGTTACATCTTGCTCTGATACTAAAACTTATAACTAAGAATAAATGTGATAATCTTACAGCTTTAATGGCTTCTCGAATCTCATCGTCGCTATGTTGTTGTTTGTGGTAGAGGACGAACGAGGTGGGACGAGAAATGAAACCCTCTGCACTCAACGCATCCAACACACCAACATAGGCTCCCTAAATCAAAACAAATCATATCACCAGCAAAAATGTATTCAACCTGTGCCACTTTCTGTGATTCTTGTTTCTCATCGTCATTCTAAACAAAACAAAGATGATATGTTAACGAAAAACCACTTACCCGAATAAAATACGTGTATGTTGCGAGGGGCTTCTTCGGAGTAAGCGAAACGATTTGAAGAGCACACTGCGATTGTGGTCGTTGAAGCGAAACGTTAACCGTCGAAAGCGAGCCACGGGAACGACGGGAAATCGGTGTAACGCGCGATGGATGACGCTTCTCATCTCTTCCTTGACAACACAGCTTTCCATGGAGGCAGCACACCACTCGAGAGGATCGGAGACCACCTTCGCACTAAAAAAAGTAATATTTAAACAAGAATGTTAATCATAGGACCAAGAAAATACAGAATGACATTAATCTTATTGTTAGAAAAGTTTAACAAAAATAATTTTCCCTTACCCGATGATGTCCGTCGATTTCCTCGCATCCAGTCGCTTCGTCTTTGGATTTCGCCTAAAAAAACAAAATTTATAAAGCTAACTTTTAAAAAAACTAAAACATTAGCGGTATTAACGAATTGGGTAAAAAATCTAACATCAACGTTAACCAAGGAAAAATTTCAAAATTTAAAGTGCCAAAAATTTCAATCAAGTATCAAAAAATAGAAAAAAAGATGAAAAAAAAACCCGATTGCATCGCAAGTAGCCAATCGCGTGAATCTTATTGTTGAATAGTGAATAATGAATAGAAACTGATCAAGAAATTAGTTTTAAACGAGCTTTAAATGAAAATTTGAAGGAACGCTATGTAAATTCTTCTAAAACTCCCTTTAGCTAAAGTAATCTTAATTTAAATATAATACTTATAAGAAAATTTTCTTGTAATAGAATGCCTAGCACCTTGGTTTCATCGTCTTTTTATATGGATTTGCGCGGAATTCCGCTTGAATGCCCCAGAAACTTGTGAAAAAGAAAGACTAGAAAGAAATCTTCAAATTTCACGTTCAGTCCAAGATACCCGATTGTCAATTGATTTTGTTATGGCCTAGAAGTACTAACAACATTCGAAAGATGGTTTGTTTAGCATGTACAATCGTTAAAATTTGCCTTTACAGAGCACCGGCCGCATTCTACCATTTGTGTCTTCATATTTTGGTAAGAAAAGCTTTTCATTAAATGATAATGCCTAAAACATATCCATTTTTAGCTTCAGTTACCTAATTTCTTTTTTTCATTTGGGAACTTTTCCAAACATCAGCTCGGGTAGCCGCTCTAAAGCTACCGTAACCACCCGCTCAATCTTTACACGTACTTATGGACGTGTAAATATTTACGATTTTGATCTAATACAGTTCCAATACGGTTCCTATTTTGATCTGATACAGTTCCAATACGGTTCCAATACGGTTTCAATACGGTTCCAATACGGTTCCTATTTTGATCGAATACAGTTCCAATACGGTTCCAATATGCATAGCTGCGTCATAATAGAATCTATTACGGGGTTTCAGGCTACGGTAACCGGGGCACGCTTTAGAGCGACTACTAAAACAAATTTTTTTCTCAAGAAACTCTTTTTCAGGTCTCTCCTTGGTTGGCTTCCTAATGGTACTGTTGATGAGTGGTTGTGTGGTCTGCACTTGTCTATTCTTTTGCTCTCACTTTATGGAACTTCTTTCTGAAAGGAAAACGGCTGATAATCCAAGAAGAACCCTGCACAATGGACTGTAGTATTTGAAGTATCTTGAAGTAAACTTTTTTGAATGACTTTGAAAACACACTGTGTATACCAAACACCGATTGTGCCTGAGTGTACTAGAAAGGGTGCGTTTCGAGCATTTTAGGCATTCTATGCAACGTACTAATTAAAAACGCTAAATTTTCTCCAAGAATCAATTTAAATTTCCAGAAGTCAGAAAAAAAAGGTTTTCATCTTGACTTTCAATTCTTGTCTAATTGGATGAGATTCTTTTTGATGAACAGTAAGCAGAGAATTGGTTGTTGGATATTCGAATACATACAAAAGTTACAGCTTTAACATGTTTGTGTACTGTGAACAACTCGAATAATCTACACACAAGAACAAAAAGAAACGAAATTATTGGACAACAAGGATGACACCGCCCTGCTGCTCGATCCAAATTTGGCGGTCTCTAAACAGGTTTCACTTGAAACAAATTTTCGCACAAAAACCTCAAATATGTGTAGTATTTGTAAGCGACTGAGAGATCGAGACAAGAAAAAGTAACGAAAATTCCCAAAATGAGGGCGATATCTAGAAAAATAATAGATCAACAATCAATAGATCATCAATAGATCTACCCAATCCATATTGCTTCTCCACAACGTAACGGAAATCATAGGAACTGAAACTTATTGCAACCTGTTTAGTTGTAATTTTAAGCATCTCAAAAAGCTCTAGAAGTTTTTTTCTCAAAAGCTTTTTGCCAAAAGAATTTGAAACTAGACTTCAAATTTCTCCAAATCACCACTAACCTGTAGTCAGCAATAAAGTCGGCTATGGTCGCTGTGAAAATGATCGCTATCAGAAACTGAAAATATTTGCAGATTAATGCAGCTTCTATCCTATTTCAAACAAATGAAACCCACGTGCACACACCCATATAATTGAATGTATGAGGGCCTTTTCGTGCACAATGCCACCCAAGCAGGGATCACAAAACACCCCAGAGGCCATGCAGCACACTGATAAGTATGTATGTGTTTTATGAAAGAACAATTCTTGACTCACCACGTAAACGAGAGTTTTCAGTGTCAGTAGTGTAATGAAGCATGGCTGAAATTCATGAGTTCATGTCGTTTTGTTTTACGAGAAAAATCAGCGTCTCTTACCTTAATCAAGCAATTTCCACAGCAGGAACGATATTTTGGATCTTCTAGATCGGGTTCCTTTTCAACAATTAGATTCGGCCGCCACATCCAAATGCCCATTCGAAAGCAAAAGATGAAGAACATCTTTGCATTCAACAAAAAAGAACCTTAAGAGTTCAAATATTAGATTCGGTTGCAGAAAGAAGTGACTAAAATAAAGTTTTATCATAGCCAATTGGTGTTTAAAAACATTGAAAGTTTTGAAATTGAAAACATTTCAATTTGACACTATTATTCAAGAAAAAGACTCTTATAAACAAAAGGAATCAAAAATATGTATGAATTTGAAAGAATGAGTTTGATTACCGATGTGACTGTCAGATAACCGAATCCATCGAAACCTTTCAAAAACAAATCCTCTCGGGACAAAATAAAAACTTTTTGGTAAATCAACCGTTTCAAATTCTTAAACGCACTATGAAAATATTTTTATTTATCGACACAAATTAAAAATCAAAGGTAAAAAATCAAAACTAATAATCTGTACACGCACCAGAACGATTAATTACTTGAAAAATGCGGGCTGGCATTGAATTGATGAGGTTTTGAAAAGCAAAGACGTCGAGATAGCTTCAGGCCAAACGGATCGCTGTTTTAGGTACAAATATACGTCTTGAAAATGACGATGATTTTTTGTAGGCAGCTTGGACAAGTATTCGGCATAAATTCCCTATCGGATTGACGTCGTGCCGGACAGATTAACAAAACGTCGTGCCGGACAGCGATCGGTCCGCGTGTTGGCTCAGGGCACCAAAATTTCGTTGGTGGGAAGTGGGAAAGAACGATTTGTACTAATGGGTGTTGCAACAAATTGCTACGGCATGGATTCCTCATTGATCTTATTCTTAAGTTTTGAAATTGAAAACATTTCAATTTGACACTATTATTCAAGGAAAAGACTCTTATAAACAAAAAGGAATCAAAAATATGTATGAATTTCTTGAAAGAATGAGTTTTATTCCCGATGTGACTGTCAGATAACCGAATCCATGGAAACCGTTCAAAAACAAATCCTCTCGGGAGAACAAAAAAATGAACATCAATTGGCTATAAAAGCAGCTGATTGGCCATAAAAAACAACCACAAAAATCAAATTGTATTTTTTGGATGAATAAAAAACAAAAATTAAACATTTAACGACCAATTTATGATCTATTAACGACAATCTTGTGATCTTGTTACTATTCAGTACACCAAACGAAAATTCCATAAGATTCTCAACGTTTACGAACGGTTAGACTGGAGTATGTTTAGATTGAAACTCTTTCAAAGAAAATTCCAACTCACCTTTGCCTCGGGAGTGTTGATGGTGAGGTTGACGTAGCGGCGATTCTCGGGCTCAATCTCGACCAAAGCTGACACGCGGTTGTTCGAGTTGGAAACAATCTCCAAATCAGTGCTCCACCAGTTCCACCAGTTCCACGAGCGGAGCAGACGGTAGCTCTGAATGGAAACATTTAAGTGCTTTCATCATTGCAACTCACATGAGTGATCACTTTCTCGTAGCTTCTGTCGATGTTGTACTCGGCGTCGATCTTGTATTGGTTGAGGTAGCCGGCCTTCTTCAACAATTTGAAGGCAACGCATCGAGCGCATCGACATCTAGAAAAGTGAAGAGATGCACCAAGTGCTTCTCATGAAATTTTTCCAACCATCATTGCATCATTTTATGATAAAACCATTATGATATGATATACTACTGTCTAATGTGCTAGCTGAATTTGACCACCCCTGAAGGACTTGGGTTCATTTAAAAGCTTTGTGGAGTGTTGATTGTGCGAAGAGGTGATGGGGTTGAGAGTGGAATGAGATTGGTGGAATATTTAGGATGTGCAGTGTCGTGCGAGAATACCGATAGGGGCGTTGATTATTAGATATTTATTCTGAATCTAGCAAGAAAATACAATAAAATAGGATTAGTCGTTGGTTCAGTGTTTCATGGCAATACAAAGGGAATACGAAAGGAATACGAAAGGAATACGGAAAGAATATGAAAAGTGCCAATGTAAAGTGGGTTCCGACCCCTTTTATCCGTCCCTTTATCTTAAAAGCAATCTTTCAGAGGCGGGACAGGGAAATCAGACATTCAACTCAAAACATTAAATAAGATTTCACAGAAAAGAACCACTTTTCTGCACATAGGAGCTTTATTTAAATAAATCTAACAATAAAATGATAATGAATAGTTAAATAATATAAAAAGAAGTGATCAAAAACGATATCTCGTTTAACGAACGATCACAGGGAAAAAGCAAGGACGAAGCAATCAGAGAGGCGAAATGTGAGAAATCATAAATTGTGATTTAAAAGATGAATAAATCACAGAAAAGCTTTCTTTTGATACAATTCAATGAAAAAATTCTTGAGACGTTATATTAAGAAGGTTTATAGCACTCGTGAATGAGAGTAACATCAGCAGCCGACGCAAGGAATGAAGCAAAGGAGATACCAGACTGATAGTAAGCACGAACTGACTGAAGAGCATCATCAATCTGCAGAAACATGTGAGGAGTCTGTGAATTATAAACAAACATTCTGAAAATCTTTGGAGTGTTTTCTTTCTGTCTAAACAATATTTTTATTGATTCACTCGTCGAGATCATGAAAAATATTAAATTTTGACAAAGTAAAAGTCCCTATTCCATCGAAGAACTTTGCATTCAATGACATCTAATCTTTCCATAACAGACTGTAGTGTTTCTCCAGTTTGCAAATGGTCCGATCGTAACGTAACCACTCGAGGTTCCCATCAATTCGGCTCTGAACGTCGTGTTTCTTCCCCGACTTTTGTTCCTTTTGACTGTCATATACATTTTTCGATTCCTCAGAGTAAAAACAAAGTAAAGTTACGTAAAAAGTTACGAGAAGAGGCAAGAGTCAGCTGAATTGGGCAACCGTGACTCGATTGTTGAATCCCAATAAGGAAGATAGATTTTAGCAAATAATTCGTTATATGGAAATGAAATATACGGTAACATATTCAAAAAGTGATCGTTATATCGAAGTGTACGTTATATCGAAGGTCGTTCGACTGTATTTATGCTATAATACATATACAGTGATGGAAAAAAGGGTTCTTTTCCGTTATACATCCGCAAAAATAAACCCCCGATCATTTCCGTTATATATCTACAAAATTTGCGTCCTTTCATGAAAATGAACAAGGAAAACCACAAAAAAAACTTATTCTTTTGCTATTTCCTGACGGCTCGGTGCTAAACATCAAAATAAGATCAATGAGGAATCCATGCCGTAGCAATTTGTTGCAACACGCATTAGTAGAAATCGTTCTTTCCCACTTCCCACCAACGAAATTTTGGTGCCCTGAATGGAGCTTATCTACGCTAAAAATTGAATTTGAACCGCACTGTTTCACATAATGCGTCTGCTGAAAGTGCCACGTGCTGATCCATTGTCACAAATCCATTCAAGCCTCTCGCACGGATCGAAATATTCACGGATAGGTCTAGATATGCCGCAATATTAAAGGATTAAGGGCCTACTTATATTCGTACAAATATGGGACCTGGGCGGTTACTCCAGTAGAATAGCGACCCAAAACTTCCAAAGTGAATCGGTGATGGACTGGAAAGTGAAGGTTTCCGAGTACCGTTTTGAGCGTCTTTTCGTGTCGTTTTGGTTTTGTTTTTCTTATTCTCCTGATTGCAATCCAAATGAACATTTATGGGTCCATGTAAAACGAGGATATCGATTTACCTCAAAAGATGAGCTTTGGGATAAAGTACGAGAAATTTGGAAGTCGATCCCAGTGCCGAGGCTCGAGAAATTAGTTTGCAAGCATGTCGAAACGATTGGAAGCGATCATTAAAGACCGAGATGGCCCAGCAAAATATTGAATTCTTCTTTTTTCGACAGGAGCTCAATACTTTTTTCCACTCAATACTTTTACTTAAAAGTTCAGATTTACACTATCACTACAACAAATATATGCTTTAGAAATGCTGACGGGCTCTCCAATGAATACACCGATGAGCTATACGAGTATGCTCAGAGACCGAGTTGTTCCCGGGCAAAGAGAGACTGCGGCAGCAGGTGCTCCAACATATCTACACAATAGTGCTTTAAATATTAAAATTCTTTCTCCTGATCAGTGATATGTTGGTAGAAAAGGTTTCAGATTCCTCTTTTGTGACCTCAACCGTGGCTCTCGATGTGTAGCGAAGATTCGTTTGGGCGGCAACGTAATGTCAACAAAACGACGACGTAAAGTGACAACTTTAGTGCCTAGGTTATGAGGGAATGGCAGAGAACGCGTGCTATGAAGGCATATGCTCAAATGGGATTTGTCAACAACAGGTTTGATTTCATGGATTAAGAAGGATCTCCTCGTTTAGCCAAGAAAAGAATGGAAAACCGTGACATCGACAAGGTCGACCCCGCAAGAGCCTACGCCAACAAGGGTCTATTTTCTAAGTTTTAATTTTCATTAAACTTAATTAGCTCATTAAAACAGGATGACTGGTGGCGATTATATTTTTTCAAATCAAATATTTTTTTCCGAAACCTTATGTAGTATACCCTTTAGTTTAAATATTATTTATTATGCCAGAAATTTTAGAAAATAACCCGAAATCCCTGTGATAATGCTCCCAGTGGAGCGCTGAAAAATCTATGCGAACAATCAACCAAAATGGTGACCATGGCTAGACAGGTTTTATTTAAATGCTGTGTGCTTGGGTTTAACCTACCTATTATCATTGTGAAAAAAGACTTTCAGATGCCCAATCCTTTCAACAACAAGGGAATATCGGCTACAAGGCTTTCACCAGGAACGCCTCGAAAACTGGAGGAATGCTTGAATCGGAACTGCATCTGCCTCGCGTTAACTGGTAGCGATCCTTTAACTGATACTGATTTAATCCGTTTCCAGGATCTCAGTCAAACAATTGCTTTCATCAAGGAAAATCAGTCAGAAAGGCTAGTTGGAGAGAAATTTCTAAAGATCGCTAAGATTTACAGGGTGCGTCATAATTGTCGCAATAAGGTATCACGCGCGTTCAAGGACAATAACTCGTTGATTTAAGCTTTATTTCTGGGTTTTTTTTTGTGTTTTTATTATATTTGGGATATAATTGAAACTTTTTTCATATAAAATGTGTTGTTTTTTAGAATGCCTGGAAAATCCTCTATCGACAATCGATCATCGAATTGCACAAGCGAGGAGTCTCGGCGCCGGAGATTCAGAAGCCTCTTAAAGTTGACAGAAGTGTCATTTTCCGCACTATTCAACGCTACGAAGCTACGAGAACAATTGCTGATGCGCCAAGAAGTGGTAAACGCCCAACTGTCATAAAGACAAACATTAAGCGAGTGAGGGATCGAATTCGGAAGAAGCCAAACTAGTCGGCAAGAAAAATGACAAAGAAGATGGCGATTTCAAGCACCTCATTGCATCGGATCCTCAAAAATAATAAACTTACTGCTACATGAAAAACAAGGCTCAACTCGAATGCCGCTAAATACAAGCGAAAATTGAGAGCAGATCAGTTATTGATGTGCTTCAATGGAATCGACCATCGACAAGATCTTGTTCACAGATGAAAAGATATTTAGCGCTGCCTTCTTAACAAGCAAAATGATCGAGTCAATCTCAACCGAATGCTACGGTTTCTCGAAGTGTACATCCAAAGGATCCAGCCTATTTGATCGCCACCGTTGATGCCTTCCCGAAACAAGCGAGCCTGTTCAAATGCTAATGGTGACCGATTCGAATTTGATAGTTCATTTATAATTGTTAATGTACGATAAATATTATTCAGTTCAAAATTTGTCTTTTTTACTCTTGTCTGCCTTAAAATCAGAATTTTATTTTGTTGCGACAATTATGGCGCACCCTGTAGGTGATCCGGAAGGAATATCGAATGATGAGCGATAAGGAAAGAGAGAGATTCCACAATGCCGTTAACACGTTAAAGCGGAATGGGAAATATGGGGCTTTTGGTATACGATGAAGAGCTAAACGTTGATGAAAATCGTTTAGTGAGAACCCATTCGGGCATGAGCACGAGCTCGGGTGCGCATTGGGGCCCGGCTTTTTTGCCCTGGCATCGAGAGTTCATCAAACAGTGAGAAAACATCAATAAGCTTGCTCATTTTGTTTAAATAGGTTCGAGTTGGAGTTGAGACGGATCGATCCGGAGCTTTATCTTCCTTATTGGGACTCAACTCTTGAGTCTCGGCTGCCAGAACCCAAAGATTCGTCACTTTTTACGTAAATTTGTTTCAAATAGCCATTATTTTTTCACAATAAACAAAAAAAATCAATTTTAGCCGTGATCTTATTGGAACGGCACACGGGACGATTGTAGAAGGCCCATTTGCGTATTGGAGAACAAACACGGTGAACGTTGTTTTCTAGGAAGTAAATCAATTTCTTTTAGGGTGCTTCACTTCAGCGTCAAGTTGGCGATGAGGCCGGCTCTCATCCGATCATGGTTTACAGTATATTTTTCACAAAAAGTCTTCTCTAGGATTCTGAGATCAACCCATTACTGCAAACCAACAATCCAGCCTATTTCTTTGCTGCACAACCAGGAGCACAGGTGAATATATAGCTTTAGGTGGATGATCGTTTGCTTATACTGGGCTGTAATAGAGATAACTACAGGGTGCGCCATAATTGTCGCAACAAGATAAAATTCTGCTTTTAAGACAGACAAGAGTAAAAAAGATAAATTTTTAACTGAATAACATTTATCGTACATTAACAATTATAAATCAACTATCAAATCGGCCACCATTAGCATTTGAGCAAACGTTTCGGGAAGGCGTCAACGGTGGCGACTAAATAGGCTGAATCGAACTCTTCTCACGCTTTCAACAGTGATTTCTTCAAGCTTTTGATGTTTTTGTGGGGCTTTGAACAAGCTTTGGCTTCTAGAACCGACAATGAAAAATCCATTGGGTTGAGATCTGGAGAGCTAGGTAGCCACTCAGAAAAAGAAATGAAGTCCGGGAAGTTGTTTTGGCAGAACTCTTGAACTTTCTAGGATTTGTGGGCCGGTGCGCCATCTTGCTGAGTCCAAATGCGATTTCTAAAATGTTTACGAGCCTAGGGCAAGAGTTCATCCTTGAGAAGAGCTAGCGAGAAGTTATCGGAATTGACTTTCACGCCTTGGGGAACAAATATAAGAGGAGTCTTTCCTTTTGCAGTGATGTTTGTCTTTGTGATGACAGTTGGGCGTTTACCGCTTCTTGGTTCCCGTAGCTTCGTAGCGTTGAATAGTGCAGAAAATGACAATTCTGTCGACTTTAAGAGGCTTCTGAATCTCTGGCGCCGAGACCCCTTGCTTGTGCAATTCAATGATCGATTGTCGATAGGGGATTTTCCAGGCATTCTAAAAAACGACACATTTTATATGAAAAAAGTTTCAATTATATCCCAAATATAATAAAAACACAAAAAAAACCCAGAAATAAAGCTTAAATCAACGAGTTATTGTCCTTGAACGCGCGTGATAACGAACGCGCGTTGTTGCGACAATTATGACGCACCTTGTATACTCAATAATAACCTCTCTTTTAGGAATGTCCATATTATATCGGGTTCAACACTCTAGAGATATACCATGGTCTCGTTCATTCTTGGATCGGTGGTAAGTCGATAAGGTGGCTCGATTGGAAGGCTTCTCAGGTCAAATGTACGATCCGTGGACGTCGGCAAATGATCCGATTTTCTTCTTGCACCACTCGTTTATTGACCTCATTTGGGAGGAGTGGAGAACAAGAAAGCAAGTAGGAACAAGAAAGCAAACAGTGGATGATCCGATGTTTTTCTATCATAGAATCGACAACAACGAGAGTCAGTATACCCGGAGCAAGATGATCGCTGCTCATCTCCACAACACGCTGGCGGCACCGATATGCAGCCGTTTGCCAGTCAATCCGAGACTGCTGGAATCATGTAATAAACGCTTATCACAACACAATTTGATTTTTTTTTAAGAAACAAGGATGGGCTTTCAAATGAGTACACCGATGAGCTGTATGAATATGCTCCGAGGCCAACATGCGGCTGGGCTAATCGAGATTGTGGGAGCAGGTGTGACTCTGCATTGGCACTGAACTTGAACTTTTAGATTCCTTTTCTGTGACGTCACTCATGGATCTTCTAGATGTTTGGCTAGAATTCGGTACGGGGGAAATGTGAGTATAGGGAGAGCGGTCGCTCTGTTATTGAATGTTTCAGTGTACCGGTTATGAGAGAATCCAAAACGCTTGCCTTGAAAGTCAATGTGAGTATGGAGTTTGTCGCAAACAGGTTGTTTTTCCATATTTTCTTCTTTTTTCACACACAAATTATTTAGTTGGGAGATGTGAGACGAACAGAGCCAACAGCTAGAACGACAACAAAGCCACCAAAAAGAGCAACGATCACCGCAAGACCAACGATCACCGCAAGACCAACTATTCAAGCATACTACAATCACCGGCAAATCGGCAAAACCACTCAAGCACCCCGTCGAACGTATCAATCTAAACAAACAAGAGCACCCGCAATGAAATGTGGAAATGAAGAAAGAGGAACGGGTAGAGACTATCAGACAAATGGACGAAAATATTGGGATGGAAGGAGGTGGCATACAACTTACTGGATACATCCTGGGAAGAAAAGGTTGCTGAACTGTGAACCCGTTTCTGTGCCAAGGCCAACACCGAAAAGCAGATTGAATAGTTCTCGTCAATCAACTAGCTATCGACAACCGAGCAGCTATCATTCACGAACAAATAGCTATACACGAAATATATACAATCGACAAAAGCCGAAAAACACCCGGAGACCGACGGGCAGAAGGTGGTGGGACGGGAGACGATGGCATACTATTTACTGGGAAAAAGCTGGCAAAAAATAAGGAATTTGTCTTACAATAAGATTACTGTTAAAGTATTACTGTTTTTTGCGAACTTTTGAGAGATTGGCAAAATTAAATACAACTTTTGGATTAAAATCTTCACACTTCTTTCCGCTTTCAGCTATTGCTATTTCAGCTATTAGGTTGAAAAGAAAGTTCTCGAAAAAAGTTTACACGGTGATTCCTCAAAAACCAAGCCATCAATTCTTCCCAGATTTCTTCAACTGAAGTGACTTGGTCACTTTTTAAATGGCCAGCCTTTTGGCCAAGTTTTAAATGGGTTAATGAATAGGCAATGGGGCCCATTCAAAACCTAAAATCAAGTACTTAAAATAGGGAAAATTTGTAAGTAAGGCAAATTGAATCTTTGAATGCTTTAACTTTTCAGAATGAACAGTATTTTAGCAAACACTCAGTGCCAAGAAGATGAGACGAAAAAATGATTTTTTTCAAATACAGCTTTTATGTGAAAAAATTTGTTGGCCAAAAAAATAGAGATTATACAGATTATAGAGCGTATTGCTCATTTATGCTAGCTTTATCTCATAAGGAATCGTTTTTCTGCTGCAAAAAGCGAGCTGAATTCAAGCTGGAAAATAATGATTTTTCAAAAATAGCTGCACTCATTTTTTTGTGAGTATTTTCTTCGAGTCATCTTGTAAATAAATAGAATAAAATGTTCTTGAATTGGTGGATTCGTTTTTAAGAAATTCGAGTCAAAATCTTTTTCCAAAAACTTCTTTCCAACTTAATAGAATAGTTTTTTCACAAATCACAAATTTTCCCTATTTTAAGTACTTGATTTTAGGTTTTGAATGGGCCCCATTGCCTATTCATTAACCCATTTAAAATTTGGCCAAAAGGCTGGCCACTCAAAAAGTGACCAAGTCACTTCAGCTGAAGAAATCTCTTATTTTTTTGTCAATAATTTTTTTGAAATATAGTTTATGCGTGCCTTTTTAACAAAATTCAAACAAATCTTGAATTCAATAAGATCATCTATCTAAAAGGATTTTTATTTAACCCATTCGAAACTTCTGCAGCGAATAATCGCTGCAACAAAAACTCAGGAACGGACCGCTGCAGCGATTATTCGATTATTCGCTGCAGCGCTAATTGAGCTATTTTCATTCAATTAATTGCTTTTTTTTGCTGTTTTTCAGCATTACATGTATATTCCAATTGTAGCAGATCTACAAATTACGTGGGCAAAAAAGATGTTTCATATTTACCCGAAATCAATGCAGTCTCTGGTTTTGTATTGAAATGTTCCATATTAGCTCTAATCTTATAAAGCCGATCTCCTGCAGGATCCAGTTCATTATCACAAAAACGCAGGTTGCGAAGAATAGATTCAAATTTTGCTCTTGATATAATGTGGGACATGTGGGAAAATCCTCCTAATCCTAAGTTTATGCATGCCTTTTTAACAAAATTCAATCAAATCTTGAATTCAATAAGATCATCTATCTAAAAGGATTTTTATTTAAATCAAAAATTTCAATCAGAAAGTTAACAAGCGATAAACAAAGTTCTAAAGGCAAAATATCCGTTTTTTTATGACAATATTGATGTTACTTTATAATATTGTTGTATTTTCAGAGATTTATCAGTTACACAGCGCTTGTTTTCAAGAAAAAGCTTATCCAATTCTGTCTGCTTTTGCAAACTTATTTTACAATCTCTGAAAAAGTAATTAAACTGCTAAATCTGGCTAAATCTCTTGAGATAAAAAGATCAAATCTGAAAAAAGCCATAAAAAGCCATATTGCAGCCTGAAAATGCTTGCCGACACACTGCTAAATTGACTTGCTTTTTGAAATAGTTTATTGAAAATGATGGAAAGTATTTTGACTGATTTTGATGGGTTTATTGAATAAATATTTCTGTTTGAAATTAACTCATTACTTATCGGCAAATCCAATAGACACATATATAACAGACTGTAGTGTTTTTCCCGTTTGCAAATGGTCCGATCGTAACGTAGCCACTCGAGGTTCCCATCAATTCAGCCGAACTGAACTGAGAGTAATCTTCAACTTTGAACAAATCAAAATCCGATCTCCTCTCTTGCATTCATTGGCTTTGAATAGCTGAAATCAGAGAGAAACCTCTGAAAATAAGTCTTCAAACCTATTTATGATAAAATTAGAAATTCCTGCATTGATGCCAATGATCCTTTATCTTTTCTGGTCGTATTTCTGCTACTACAGTATGCTAACCACCAGCTCAAGGTCATTAAAGAAAAAAAAGAAGAAATCGTAAATAGGACTTTGCAATAAGTCTCCCAATTTCGATGATCGAAATGGTTGAAATTAACTGAAAAGATTAGATGTCATTGAATTCAAAGTTCTTCAATGGAATAGGGACTTTTGCTTTGTCAAAATTTAATATTTTGCATGATCTCGACGAGTGAATCAATAAAAATATTGTTTAGACAGAAAGAAAACACTCTCCAAAGATTTCCAGAATGTTTGTTTATAATTCAGAGACACCTCACATGTTTCTGCAGATTGATGATCCTCGTCAGCCAGTTCGTGCTTACTACAGGGCGTTTCAAAGTCTTAAACGCACCCTCTAAAATAGTGAAATTTGCATTTTGAGCACCGCTACAACTATTATTCTTTTTCTATTAGAAAGAGCATGTCTTAAAACCTAAAAAACACGAAAAATAAGCATACTATAAAAAGTAAAAATTATCAAAATAGAAACTTTTTGCTAAATCACCCGTTTCAAATTCTTAAACACATCCGCCTTTGCTGTTGTTATTTGAAATTTTTCGTTTTGTTGTGCATATTTTTTTATTAAATTTATAATTTTTGTTAATTTCCAGGTAAATGGCACACGGAAAGCTGCTCACGGATTATGAGAAAGGCCAGATTGATGTCCGTTTGAGGATTGGCGAATCAATAAGAAAAATCACAAAAAATTTGGGCCGATCCGACTCTGCCGTGCGAAATTATATAAAGTCCGAGTTCGTTTCTGCACCAAAGAAGAAGCCAGGATCAAAACCAAAGCTTACACCGCGAGCTTCACGACCGGTTGCATGTTCAATAATTGTCGAAGATCACCTATGGTTAGAAAGCTGCCTATGTTTTATTATTTTTTTTGCGTTTAGGTGATCTTTTCCGATGAGAAGAAATGGAATTGGGATGGTCCCAATGGCGTTGACTACTATTGGAGGGATCTTTGACGTGTTCCGATGGTGTTTGGAACTCGAAACTTTGGAGGTGGTTCTGTGATGGTTTAGGCCGCCTTTTGTGCTGATGGAACGGTCGCTCTGAAGATGGTTTCGAATCGGATGTCTAGATAGATATCTTGAACAATTGCTTGTTGCCGTTTTTGCTCCTAAATCCAACCGTTCCCGCTTTGTTTCAATACGACAACACGTCAATTCATCGAGCCGGAGACATCCGAGACGGGCTGAACAACAACAACATTGCAACTTTGGACTGACCCACTCGATCTCCTGACGTCAATCCGATAGGGAATTTATGCCGAATATTTGTCCAAGCTGCCTACAAAAATCATCGTCATTTTCAAGACGTATATTTGTACCTAAAAAAGCGATCCGTTTGGCCTGAAGCTATCTCGACGTCTTTGCTTTTCAAAATCTCATCAATTCAATGCCAGCCCGCATTTTTCAAGTAATTAATCGTTCTGGTGCGTGTACAGATTATTAGTTTTGATTTTTTACCTTTGATTTTTAATTTGTGTCGATAAATAAAAAATATTTTCATAGTGCGTTTAAGAATTTGAAACGGTTGATTTACCAAAAAGTTTTTATTTTGTCCCGAGAGGATTTGTTTTTGAAAGGTTATTTTGTATTTTGTAGTAAACTTGTTTGAATGACCTTAAAAACACACTGTGTATACCAAATACCGATTGTGTCTGAGTGTACTAGAAAGGGTGCGTTTCGAGCACAAAGTACAGGCTAACGCTTTGAAAACCGCATGGATCTCCAGCAATTCTGCACAGAAATTTCGCGATAGATCCCCTGATTTCTTATCAGAAACGATTTGAAACGAAGAGAGCTGAGTGAAACAATTCAGTTGCATCAATCGAAAAGACAGAAGCAAGAAAGGAAAAGAAAAAGCCAACAATAAGGAATTGCTCTTTTTTTCCTAATCTAAAAATGAATGCCCCTTTTTCTTTTTCGGTTTTTTTTCCCTTCTCTACTCACTGCACTAGTAAAATCCGCTTATGACTACAGAACGGGCTACTGAATCGCTTACTGAATTTCAGCTTTATTGATGTCTTTCACTTTTTTAAACTCAATCAATTTTCAATATTATTTACTTGCATTCGGACAATATTGACATTTTTGAAAAAGAAATTTCTCGAAATCATTGAAAGAATAAGTTTAGCCTGAGAAATCTGGTTGATTGACCAACCAGAAATCAATCAATCAATCAATCAATCAATCAATCAATCAATCAACCAGAAATCTGGTTGATTGATAATAAATGAGCTAAAAAATGAACAACTATACAATTTTACAACTTCCCGGCTCTTCTAAATACACCATCGAAAAGCACGCACTTGATTTGTTTCACTGTTTTGCACCTCAAGCTTCACCTCATTCAAATAACCCTATTTGAGCATTTCCCTTGTCAGTATAGCGATTGATTTTAAAACTATAATATCTGTAGGAAGTATCCTCGCGAGTAATGCGTTTTTTAAAACGCACTACGAGTTTATTTCCATTACTGAACACAAAGTACACGCAAAACCAGTAAAAAACTGAACTATGCTAGCTGAAAGTGTTAGTAGTTTTTCCTCCTTGAACTTCTGCAAAAATGTATGCACGAAGTGGGATTCGAACCCACGCATCCGAAGATACCAGAAAACCCGAACCCGCGTTGCTTGCGGGAAGCCGTTCGCTTGAGTCTGGCGCCTTAGACCACTCGGCCATCCGTGCTGTGAGCGGCAAGCCGGGGAAAGGCAATATGTCGATTGTTCGAATAAAAATTACGCATCTAGACTTTTCAGGGTTGGACAGGGAGTCGAGCACAGCTTTGTTTTTCTCGAAGAGTTCTAATTCTAAGCACTTGATCACTCTAGAATGCTTAGAATGATCACTTGATCATTCTAAGCACTTGATCACTCGTTTCTCCCACCTACCGCGTTTTCTAAAAGCCATCTAGTTTAGCAAATTACCGTAATCGAACCGTCAATTTACTCGATCAGCTCAAATTTTCTGTAATTTGATGAAGAATCACTCAGTCAAAATTTGATTGATTGAAGGTAAGGTTGATTAGATAGGCTTTCTAAAAGTTATGTTTTTTAAAAAACGCATCAACTATGTCCACTCTAGTCCAGACAGGCTTCCAAACATTAAAATGCCTGAAGTGTCAGCTCAAAGTTCCGGGGTAAACCTCTTTTTATCGGCTCTTTTACCCTACAAATATGTTTCGCACTCTCCTCAACACTCACGGGAGATGTTTTATGGGATTCTCTTGCCTCTTCTCCTTCCTTTTCTTTCCTTCAATACCCATGTCTTCTTGTTCTTTCTTTCCTACTTCTTCTTGTCTTTGCCATTCAAACAATTTTTCCAATTCATTCCAAAGCTTATCTCTTTTTTTTCCGTTTTGTCCTTCTCGTGGAGGGTCCCCTTTACACAGACACTCCCGAATTTGGAAATGAAACCTGGATTTTTAAAATGGGATTACTCATTTACACGTTTTCAGTTGGATTACATCACTTTGAAGGAGAAATTGTTGTTTGAAATGTGATTCCAATTTGAATCGATTCAAAGTTTCGATTCTGAATTGCTTTATCGACACTTTTTGAAGTATTTTACTACTCCAACTTTGATTTTTCAAGTGAAACTGCTTTGGGTTTTTGAAATGATTCGAACTTTTACTGATTTAAAGTTTAATTTCAGTTACTTTCAATTGTTAAAACCATTCTTTTCAGCAATTAGACCTACAGCCAAGAAATGGGTCGACTACGATGGTTGTGGACCGTTGCGGTCATTTTCTCTTTGCTCTTTTTGCGGATACAAGCCGCCGAGGAGGAGGAGGTCAGTAAGAAATTAATAGATTCGAAATTGATTTAGAAAATTGATTTGATTAGAGTATTCAATTAGAGTATTCAATTAGAGTATTCAATTAGAGTATTCAATTAGAGTATAGCAATTAGAATATAGCAATTAGAATATAGCAATTAGAATATAACAATTAGAATATAGCATTTAGAATATAGCATTTAGAATATAGCATTTAGAATATAGCAATTAGAATATAGCAATTAGAATATAGCAATTAGAATATAACAATTAGAATATAACAATTAGAATATAGCAATTAGAATATTCTAATTGAATATTCAATTAGAAATCGATTCAAAATAGAGTTAGAATTCAATTCAATCATTTTTTTTGTTTGAAGAGTCACAAAAACAAAGCCTCCAATTTCTAGGAATCAGGAATCGAAGGCGAAGAGGAAATGGAACGCTATCCGATTGCTGTCTTTGAATGGGACGAGGTAGAATCGACTTGTGCTCAAAAATGAAAACCAATCTTTCCTAGTGCACGAAATTCTTCAATCTTGCAAAATATTGAAAAGAGTGAAGAATTTACTGTGCCAGGAAGGGTTTGTTTACATTTTCAGGATCACAAAATATATCTTGAAAAGTGCTAAAGCTAATTGATCGTTTTTTTCTAGGTGAAAGTGCCATTAGTGATTTGTCTATGGTTGGTCGTTGCATCGATCGCAAAAATCAGTTTGTTTTGTACTTTTCTTTGTAAGCCAACTCATTTTTCAAGTATTCCATCAAGTGCCGCATATGACGGAAATGTTTCCCGATTCATCACTTCTTATCATGATCGGTTTAATCATCGGAATCGTTCTCAACGCTATTGGAGTTAGCAAGGTTGGGCAATGAGCAAGTTAGCAATGATTCGAATTCCAAAGCTTTTCTTTAATCTAATTTACTGTTGTACTGATGTGTAAACACACACTTTCTGGTACGCTAGAGTTTTCATTATAAAGCTAATTTCAAAGCTAATTTCTTTAGTAACCAGAGAGCCAGAGAGCATGCGTTTGTCAAAGCACAAAGTATATAGCTGGGTGAAATTCTGCACAAAGTAGATAGCTGGGTGAAATTCTGCGTACTTTGTGCTGCAATCCAAACATAAACACAAGCATGCTTCTGGTGCTCTGTTTAAATTAATAGAATATTAGATTCTAATGCTTACAACAATCTTGTACAACAATTCTTTCATCTTTTAGAGTGAATATTTCTTGAGCAAACAAGTCTTCTTCCTCTACCTCCTACCGCCGCTTGTCTTCGACGCCGGTAAATGATCCAAACATCAAAAAAAAACTAATTGCACTATCAAAAACGAATTATATTTTGCAAAAATTGGTCATACACCGTATTAAGTAAAGAAATCGGGCAAAAAATCATTGACTTGACTTTAGCTTTGCCTAAAAACCTTGCTGTTAAGTCATTAGTTACTGTAGTTGCGTACTACTGTAAATGAGTATAATATTCGCCTATTAGACTCATTCTTTTGCTTAATTTTCTTTTCAAAAGACAATTCCTAACGAAATTTGCATAAATTCGGACTCTTTTCAGGGTATTTCATGCCGGCTCGTCACTTTTTCGACAATCTTGGCTCGATTCTCACTTTTGCCATGATCGGCACCACGTGGAACATCGTGGCTATCGGTTTGCCGAAATATTCAAATTTCTACCATATCCGCTTTAGCGCTTTCCCTCTGGGCCATCGGTTTAACGGGGATTTTCTCCGTGGAAACCCCGCTCATTCACTGTCTTTTGTTCGGATCAGTGGCCGCCGACGTCGATCCAGTGGCTGTCATTGTCATCTTCGAAGAACTTGGGGTACGTAGGTTTCTTCGTGTTGTATACGTACCGTAAATGTAATAGACCCCACTTCCCTCGTACAGTCGCGTAGTCTAACTTCTTTATAGAAAATCATTTTTTTCTCAGCCAAGTATTTCATTTTTTTTAAAGCGCTCGTAGTTTCGAAAAATGCGTCTTTGGTATCAAAAAATAGCCCTGAATTTCAGCTATTTTTTAATACCTAAGCACGCATTGTAGCATAAACCAGTGCCGAGAAGAACGCGTTGGAAGCTAGACACACGCAACACTATGCATTCATTATGGAGGTAAAGCATTATTAGAATATTTACGGTATGGATTTCCTTGATTCCTTGATGTTGATGATACAATTTTGAGTAGACGAAGTTGATTCAACGGGGGGTAGTCAAAACAGCGGCGTAATAGAAAACGTTCAAAACAGCGCCATAATAGAAAACGTTCAAAACAGCGCCGTCAAATTTCTCAAAATCCAAAAAACCAAGCCGGTTCAAGTTTTATATCAAAAAATTGCTTGCGTTCTTGGCTACATGATGGGTGAAACAGTTTTTTAAAAAAGTTAATATTTCATAGATAAAAAGAGCACTCAAAATGTGTGTTGAGTGATACTCAGTTGGTTAACCGAATATCTTTAGAGACCCATTTTGAGTGCTCTTTTTATCTATGAAATATTAACTTTTTTTAAAAACTGTTTCACCCATCATGTAGCCAAGAACGCAAGGAATTTTTTGATATAAAACTTGAACCGGCTTGGTTTTTTGGATTTTGAGAAATTTGACGGCGCTGTTTTGAACGTTTTCTATTATGGCGCTGTTTTGACTACCCCCCGATTTAACAATTTATTTAAACAAAAATATTGGGTAATCCTTTTCAAAACAAAAGCTCAACAATGAACTTGACCAAAGAGAAACGATTGTGAAATGTGAAATGGCGAAATTGAAGAAATTATGAAATGGCGGACAAATAGGGGTACGGTAGAAGGTCCACTCTTTAGAAAACACTTAAGTTAACAAATATCTGTGAGAAATGATTTAAAGCTACTATTATATCTGTGAGAAATGATTTAAAACAACTATTAGATTCCTAACACTTAGAAACATATCTAACTTATATAAAAATTGATACTATTAGTCACCAAAAAGCCATTTTCCATTCCATTCGATTCCAAGTTCAGTCTGTTCACCCCCCTCATCCCCCTTTTCACCCCATGAATGTGGCCACAAATCATTATTTCTTGGTCCGTTATCTCTCAGCTTCTCCTTTTCTTGCTACCGAATTCCCCCCTTTTCTTTTCCACAACCATTATTACGCACGTGGCGCGATTGTAATTCCCGCTCTCGGAAAAGATCTCGACCAAAAGAGGTGTCAATCTTTGAAAATTTTAATGCAAAGCTAGAATTTAAGCAAAGCTAGAAAGCTATGAAACAAGAGAGTTGTCTCATGCATAGTTTTCCTCAAACAAGTTGTATTGAAGTTATGTCAGTGGCAAAACTGATTCTGGTCTTGTTTCAGCTATTAGTCACGTTCAGCCTAAGCCTAAGCCTAATCCGGGGACTGGCTGAGATCCAGAAAATGGGGGTTTAGCCCAAACCCAAATAGACTTAGTGCTAGGCGCTAGCCGCTAGCCTTCGCACTAAGTCCAAGCCTAAGCCTAAGCCTAGGCCTGAGCCTAAGCCTAAGCCTGAGCAGTTCTTGTTCAACAAACAGCTAGTTTTTAACAAACAAAACGAAATGATCGATTCTGTTGACTTGTTCACAACGCTGGAGTTTCCATTTTAAGTGATGACCAGTTTCGTTCGTTTCAAGAGAACTTAAAGTTTTAAAAAGCCTTTATAACTTGTCGAAGCAGTAGGGTTTTTTTGAAGAAATAACCTTAACAAAGAATTGTGTACCAGATGTGAAAAATCTTACGCTTCTTGTGACTAATAGTAAGAAGAATCGAGCTGCACACAGCAAGCTTGATGCAACGAAATGCCAATCGACTTGACTCGATCAATCTTTCCCTTTTTCAAAGGCTAACACCTAGTGAATGGAGTATTTTGCGAGTATTCGACTAGCATATCTGTTCATTAACTTCAAAAGCTTCAAAACAGTTCTTCAAAACAAAAACTTCATCATTAGTCATTGACCTCAAATCGATTGACCTTTTTTTGATCGATCTATGGCTGCTGAATTCCCGGTTGCTTTTTTTGCGTCTCTCGAATTTGGGAGAAGCCGTAAACTTGTACGAATCGGGAAGGAAAGAAAAAAAAGATAAAGATTTCTTCTGAAAAAGTAACTTTCAAAAAAACTGAGGTTGAAAGTTCAAAAAAACAAAAATTCTGAAAATCAGCTTTCAGGTGAACGATATCCTTTTCATTTCGGTTTTCGGCGAGTCTCTTCTCAATGACGGAGTTGCTGTTGTAAGTGATTTTGCCAAATATTTAGATAATCATGCTATTCTGATGTTTGAATATTTGAATAAAGAGGCTAGTTAAAGAAAATTCGAAACTTTTCTCCTTTGTGAATTCAACTTTCAGGTATTCTATCGCATGTTCGAGGACTACACGATTATCGGCGCTGAGAACTTGATCAGCAGGGTGAGTCGATCGAAAAAAGATCGATCTTTTCATAAGCATGAAGCTAAATCTCGTAGTTGATTTATAGCGATCAAGAATTGAAATCAAAATTTCAGGACTACTACTACGGAGCGGTTTCCTTCTTGGTGGTGGCTCTGGGTGGAATTGTGGTCGGACTGTTGTTTGCCGCCGGTGCATGCTTTATTACAAAGTGTGGTTTTACAAAGTTTTTTGTGAAATTTGATAAGTTTTGTGTAAACACGTAAAGCTTTGTGGTACTCCTGCAAATTTGTCGGCACTTTAAGCGGAGATCGAGGACTAAGCTAGTTGTACAGCTAGCTAGAGTCGTACAGCTAGCTAGAGTCGTACAGCTAGCTAGAGTTGTACAGCTAGCTAGAGTTGTACAGCTAGCTAGAGTTGTACAGCTAGCTAGAGTTGTACAGCTAGCTAGAGTTGTACAGCTAGCTAGAGTTGTACAGCTAGCTAGAGTTGTGCAGCTAGCTAGAGTTGTGCAGCTAGCTAGAGTTGTACAGCTAGCTAGAGTCGTACAGCTAGCTAGAGTCGTACAGCTAGCTAGAGTTGTGCAGCTAGCTAGAGTTGTACAGCTAGCTAGAGTTGTGCAGCTAGCTAGAGTTGTGCAGCTAGCTAGAGTTGTACAGCTAGCTAGAGTTGTACAGCTAGCTAGCTTCGACTATGCCTTCCAATTTTTGCAATTCAGATACACACGAGATGTGAACATCCTCAACCCGGTCTTCGTCCTCGTCGTCCCATATCTCTGCTATTTATTCGCTGAGATGTTTGCTCTTTCCTCGATTATGGCGTGAGTTTATGCAACTATTTTAGACTCATTTTTTAAACTTAAAACAATTTTTCTATTCTTTCATTCTTTCAAAAGAGCCGTTTCAAATTCAAGTCATGATTTTGGCTTTAACTTTGAATTAAAGTTAATCTAAGAATTCAGCTAGATCAAGATCAAGCTGCTTTATGAATTTGGACTAACTTAATTCATTTTCTATTACCTAGTAGACATAGGAACCGAAAACTTTTTCCTGCTTCGGTTCTGAACCGAGATTTTTCTGGTTCTGGTTCTGGTTTCAGTTAATAAAGTTGCTCTGTTGTTGTGGAAGAGTTTGTTAGATATATTCTGATATACATCTATGACGTTAGATATATTCTGATATACATTTTGTAGTGAATTAGGACTCATCTAGGCACTAGACATGGGAGCGATTCCGGTTTCGGTTCCGTTTCGGTTCCAGTTCTGCTTTCAGCTACGGAAAATCTCCAAAGCGACAAAAATCCTTCACAGCTTTAAGCACAATGCCACACGATAAAGCCACACACTCTTCTACAGCAACGGAGCTTATCTACGTGCTCTGTTGCTGTAGATTGGGTTGTGTGATTGGTGGGAATATTTGAGGGGTCAATAGCATAGACACTGGTTTACCAGTTCTTCGAATATCCACCCTCTGGTCCGGTCTTCATTTTGCTTAATCGTTCTTCTTGACCGTTGACTTCTGCTTAAAGCTGTGAAGGATTTTTGTCGCTTTGGAGATTTTCCGTAGCTGAAAGCAGAACCGGAACCGAAACGGAACCGAAACGGAACCGAAACCGAAACGGAACCGAAACGGAACCGAAACCGAAACGGAACCGAAACGGAACCGAAACGGAACCGAAACCGGAATCGCTCCCATGTCTAGTGCCTAGATGAGTCCTAATTCACTCCAAAACCCACCATTCAGCATCGTCTTTTGCGGAGCCGCGATGAAACAATATGTCAAAGAGAATCTTCCCGAGAAATCCTCAAATGCTATCTCATATTTCATCAAGGTTTCTCTTAGAATTTTATATTTCATCAAGGTTTCTCTTGAAAACTATTTCATTAAAACTTTTCTCAATAATTTTCCTAAATAGGTGCTCTCTCTCTCATCAGAAACGGTAATCTTTGTCTTCCTCGGCCTTTCGACAGTTTCTTCGGATCATCATTGGGACACTCCATTCATCATTCTCACCGTCGTTTTTTGTCTCATCTATCGAACTCTCGGTGGGTGAAAGAAGATTTCGATATATGAAAAACTTGAATTTCGTCATTTTAGGTGTGGTCGTGATGTGCGGGATTCTAAACCGATATCGGCTTTTTAAATTTACAAAGGTTTACATATAAATTTCAAATTATATATATGTTGTGTCCGATTTAGATTTCCGTCCGATTTAGATTGAACTTATCGCGGACGTCCGATTTAGATTACAGTCTATATCGGACGTCCGATTTAGATTCAATCTAAATATTATATATTAGGTTGGCAAAAAAGAAATGAGCGTCGTGTTTGTTGATTTGTATTTTATTCACAGTAAAAGATTTTTTTAAATAGTTTATTCTATTGGAAAGAGCGTGTTCTTGCGCATCGTTTGATATATAATTTGTCTATGTTTACTTTGTTTTTTTGCAAGAAAGAGTGTTTAGAAAATGTCGGACCAAAAATTTCGTTTGCTGGCCTGCTTGTGGCATGAATTTAAGCAAGGCAAATCGGCTGCTGAAGCTCATGGCGCTCTATCTCAAGTGTTTGACGAAGATGCTCTATCCGAAAGTCAGTGTAAACGATGGTTCCAGCGCTTCCGAGACGGCGACGAAAGCTTGGAAGACCAAAAACACGGACGTCGACCTCAAATCATCGACAACGACGCATTGAAGGAAGCCATTGAGTCGGATCCACGCCAAACCACTCGCGACCTGGCAGAACAGTTCGACTTCACTCATGTCACCATTGAGAACCATCTGCATGGCATGGGCAAGACGAATAGATGCGGAAAATGGGTACCGCATAAGCTATCCGACGCAAACAAGGCGACACGCATCGCAATCGCCGGAATTCTCACTCACCGCGCCAAGAACAGTGGGTTTTTCGACTCCATTGTTATGTCGGATGAGAAGTGGATCCAATACGGCAACACAGCAAGAAAGCGGCAGTGGTTGGACCCCGGTGAAGCTCCAAAACCGGACATCCACGGAAAAAAGGTGATGCTTTGTGTTTGGTGGAACAGTAAAGGCCTGGTATACTTTGAGGTTCTGGATTCGGGTCAAACAGTTACGGCGAACCTCTACCAAGGCCAATTGGACCGCGTGGACCAGGCGCTACGACGTCAAGGCGTGGATACGGCGTCGACAAAATTCCTCCGCGACAACGCTCGGCCGCATGTCGCAAAAATCACCCAGCAGAAAATTGAAGAAATGGGCTGGGAAGTCCTGCCTCATCCGCCATACAGCCCAGACTTGGCGCCTTCCGACTACCATCTGTTCCGATCAATGCACCACTTCTTGGCCGAGAAAAAGTTCAAGAACCGCGACGAAGTCCAAATTTGGGTGTCCAACTTCTTCGAGTCGCAGCCGGTCGAGTTCTTCAAGAAGGGCATCCATTCTCTGCGTGAACGTTGGCGACAAGTCATTGATGCAGATGGCGAATACCTTTTGGATTAATGTATTGTTATCTTGTTTTTATAATAAAATAAACTTTTAACGAAAACGCGCATTTCTTTTTACCAACTTAATAGATTGAACAATAATATAAACATGCTTAATATATGTTCTTAAGCGCTTTCTGTAGTTTTCTGCATTTTTCAAAGGTCTTTTATTGACTACAGTCTATATCGGACGTCCGATACAGGTCGAACAATAATAAACGTGCTTAATATGTGTTCTTAATTATTGTTCAATCTATATAAGACGTATTATCGTTCAATCTATATAAGATTTAGATTGAATCTAAATCGGACGGAAATCTAAATCGGACACAACATATATAAATTTTAACAATTTTTGATCAATCTTTAAAGATTTTCATCAAGAACATTCATTTTTTGACATTATTCTTCAGGTTGATCAATTCATCATGGCCTATGGCGGGTTGCGAGGAGCGATTGCCTACGGATTGGTAAGAGGGGGAACTGTTGATCGTAGTAGTAAACAAAACATATAGAACTATTCAGTAATTTAGATTTGTCAAACTTATTCATTTGATTTTTCGTTTCCTTATAACCATATATATCCCTCCTTATCTTAAAAAGAAGACTTTTTAGGTGGTTGCTTTGCCGGATATCCCCGCAAAGAACATGTTCATCACTTCATGTATCATTATCGTTTATTTCACTGTCTTTTTACAGGTTGGTCATTGGAAAATCATTGGAAATATGCATTTAATCAGAAAAGAGCACACAAAAAAAGGGAAAAATAACATAAATAACACAAAAAATGAACCAGTTTGAAGTGAGTGGGCACTGTTGAGAAGCTGGTGGAGATTTAGTTTAAATGAATTCCAGTAATGTAATTACAAAGTAGAATGTATATCTTTAAAAGTATTTAGAGAATAAATCAAAGAATAAAGATATTCAGTCTAAAAGGATAGTTGGAACTAGGGAAGATCAAAACTTGTGCGATGCCGGCCCTCGAACCCGCGACCTTCCGCCCACCAGCCAGCTGTGTTAACCATTACACCACAAAGCAGTTGGTCTCCCTTACTCCAGAGGGAATTAAGTGGATAATGGAGGCATAAAATTGCTTGCAATCTAGCTTAAGTTAAAGTGTATTCTTCTCGTTTTCTAAAACGTTTCAACTTTTAAAAACTACCGTAGTCTCTTCTAGTTTTAGCCTGATTCTTTGAGGATTCACAAATTATATCAAAAAAATACAAAAAGTAGATAGATTGGATAAAAATAGAGACAAGCTTACGATAGTTTTCGAGAGTTGGCACCTTTTAGAAGGCAGATCAGTGAAGCGGCTTCTAGTCTAGCACTACAAATCACATTCATTTCCCTGTTCAACTTGTGCATATTGAATGGATAAACTCGTGTGTTGTCCATTTCTCGATTGACTGTGTGTTTCCGAGTCTCTGCGACAAGTCCTCGAGCTTTCCCTTCTCGAGTTCACCTCTGTTCCAATTGTCGACGTCGACGGTCGGCCGGCTCTCGCTTGACTAAAATCAAGATTCATTTGCAATTAGACTCTCTAAAAATCTACATACCGTAAATACTGTAATATTACCACAATAGTACCCCACCCCCATAATGACGGTGCGGAGCGTTGCGTAGTCTAGCATTAGACGCGTTTTTCTCGACACTGGTTTATGCTACAATGCGCGCTTAGGTATCAAAAAATAGCTGAAATTTAGGGCTATTTTTTGATACCAAAGACGCATTTTTTGAAAGTACGGGTGCTTTGAAAAAATGAAATACTAAAAAACTTTTGCGACTACGCGACTGTACGAGGGGGTACTATTACAGTATTTACGGTAGTTCTTTTCACAAGTACTTTGTGCTCAAAAACGGAAACGTACCCATCCTGGTGCACTCAATTTTTCATGAATGACTTTGCAAGAAAAAGTGTCGCAACAGAGCTCGTCAAGAGAGAATTGAGGGCAGCTAAAGTGTTTCCTCGTTTATGAGCACAAAGTAAACAAAGAAAATTTGCACCCTGGGTTTTCGTAGGTGGGGAATTCGAATCTGACGTTAAATCTGACAATCAGCTGATTAAAACACCAACCATACTACCGGAATCAGTTTTATTTCGTACTAAATGGGCAAATATAAAAAAAGTGTCATCTAAAATTGTACCTAGGGACTGGAGAAGCTAAATCTATTGAAACCCCTATACATTTCCTATCAAAAATCAATTTATTGAACCGGTTTAATTACCCAAGTCTAGCCAACCTCATATCCGAGCAGTGTGCCGGATGCTGCTTTTTTTGCTATAAGCGACATGAAAAGAACGCACAGCTTGGCGAAAAGGGGAGTGTTCGCACTAAAAACTTAACAACTCTCTTCAAGTATTTAATATTTTTTTTTTTCGATTTCTCTTCAGATATTGAAACTAGAGACATTTTTCAACATTTCTATAATAGTTTCACTTCAATTAAGCTCAGAGAAAAAGTTTTATTTCGCGGATCTTTTGCCAAAAGTAAAGAAACAAATCGAGTTGTCAATCGTTTTGTCGTTTTGTCGTTTTGTTCGTTTTGTCGTTTTGTCAAGATTTGCACTCCTAACAGACCAATTGAGCTCATTTTTCTATGAAATTTTAAAAACGACTTTAGTTTCAATTTCTAGAGAAAATCGTGCGCTTGAAGAAAATGATTTTAGAATTTTAGAATCAGCTGATTTTAGGATCAGCTGAGGTATAGTCATAGTGTCATGTAAACCATGTACGGTACATTATTTTGAAAAACTAACGCCAGATTCGGATTCGCCATGCCCGAAAAGCCGCGAATACAAATTTTCAGCCCAATTGGCTTCAAAAAAACGTACTAAAAAGTAGATGTTCATCGATTTTTTAGAGTGATTTTAGGTCTTATTGAGTTGGTTGAGTTGGTTGAGCATAACGCTCAGGTTAATAAGCTAAATTCTACCGTAACCCGTCCTGATCTCCACACCATAGATCTTATTTGTTGTTATAGAAGTAAAGAGATGAATGGCAAAGAATTTGAAACCGATGGCAATCTTTATGACTGCAAAAGGTCGTGCTTGAGTTACCGTAACGCCTGAATTACGGCTACAGTAGTCGAGTGAATGTTGCAAGTCTAAGATTGAGTTTCGAGCGGCTGGATTACCCCTCATCATCGTCGTCGAAGAACAAAGATCGCAAAATATTCCGAATCGCCAACCACAAATAGACACCAAATAGCAAAAAGGGAATCACGGCCAAAATTAGAAAGAGCACCGTTTGGGCATCAATTTTCATCGCAACACAAATTTCGCTTTTGTTTTCCGGGGCAGAATCATTTCTTTTTCATTTCTTTTTCACAGGGGGTGTCGCCTAAAAACAGAAATTGAGGAAAATTGAACACAAGAAAATCGATGTTGATTCATCGAAAAAACATGAAAATTGAAAAGTTGGGAAATTTCAGGGACTCACACTGAAGCCGATTGCCGAGTTTTTGCAAGTCGAGCTGAAAAACGAGCACAAAAAGAACATGACCGAGTACATTTATCAAGAGGTAAAAAGAGATTTGATTTGAGCTTTGTTTCTGCTAGAAAGATAGATGAAGATAGGAAAATTATGAACAAAACCTTCACTCAATATAGTATAAAGTACTTTTTCTAAGTTCAAATTTCATGTAGAATCCGAATCTGCACTTAAAACTAAGGGTTTGCTAAAAGAAAGTATCACTTTCCACAATATTTGGGTATCAGAACCCCCTGATCAGATCAGGGTGGTCTGATACCCCAATATTGTGAAAATATTGTGATACTTTCTCTTGTCTCTAATTTATTTTAAAAAGGTTCCCAATTTGAAGATTGAATAGTTGCAAACGGAATTAAAGTCTCCGTGTTTCAGAATCATATGAGAATCGAGTTCTAAAACTATAGTAATCAATCGAAATAAAAATATACCGTATTTTCTCTAATAGTAGTGCACCCCGGCGAACCGAGTTGGTGACGATTTTACGGTTTCCAAGCTTTTGCAGAAGCTCAACACTCTCATCCCCCACTAGATCTCATCGTCAGCTACATTTTCCGACCCCACATCGATAGGTTCTGATAAGTGGTTCTCGAGATTTCGAGGAATTTAGGCAAAGCTTAGGGTGCACTACTATTAGAGAAAATACGGTACTCATTTAGTTAATTGACATGACAATGAGTGGAATGGAAGACATCGCCGGTTTCAAAGGACATCACTGGATCAGAGACACGTAAAAGAAGATTTTCAAATGAAAAACTCAAAAACACATTTTAGCTGGCAACACGTCAACAATCATTACATCAAGAGGGTTCTTGTCAATAAGAAAAGTCTCAAGACAATGGATCAAACAAAGATTGTTCGGATGTACAAGAGATTACAGATGCAAGACGCAAAAAATCTCGTTAAGGTCTGTAAACAAAAAAAATCCTATTTTCTGAAAGCTTAGTACTTTAAATCCAGGGCCTCCAAGTTACATGAGTAAGTAACTCAAAATCTACTTTTCAGGGCGGAAACAATCTACACAAGAATCAAGTCTTCGTCCAAGCACTCATCGACCACACAAGGAGTCGAACCGGTTCGGCGGGAGCTGGGTATCCACGAAAAACTTAAAATCTTTAAACGAAACTTTCAGAACCCCAGGTGGCGGCGCTGTGGGTAGTACAGTCATCAATATGAAAAACCTGCAAGAGCATCACGGAATCCCCGTTTATGACTCTGAAATAGAAAGCAGTGATGATGGAATGAGTCATACACAACGGACACAATCCTACTCTTTAGTTGAAGAGCGTCGTGTCGAAGATAGGGTGAGCAATTTCCTTTCGTCCAGACATTCAACCAACTTTAGGTGTAAATTTGCCAAAAATTCTACTCAATTTCGGAAAGGAAAATCTTTGTCTTTGTTTTGTTTTTTCTTTTGCTTGTACAGAATGATTAAATTTTAGAATTTTAATCAATTCACAAATAAAACCAAATACATCAAAAACAAATGCAAAATTAAGTAACATAAATATTATTATTATGCAAAATCTCATACAATTTCCTTACGTCGTCCCGTTTTGGCAAAGAGTAGCTAATAGTGGGAAGTGAAAAATTTGGAAATCCTTCTTTCGTGAAGTGAGCCCATTTGCGAGAAACTGGCAAAAGTTCAGCTTTCATCTAAAATTTGCACAATATAAATAAATTAGATGAGAAAATACCGAGTGAATTGGACGCGAAAGTTTTGCTGAGAGAAAAGCGGCCAGTTGATCAGTCTTCATTGGTGCCCATACCGCGGCGGATGTTGATGAATCAGCTTTGGCATTTGAATAGGCACTTATCGGAGATAACTAAAAAAGGATATTTTCAAGGATCTTCCTGCTTAAAACCCACCACATCTTTGCCTGTCTCTGTGATTGCTTTGAAGAATCGTGCTCTTATGCGGCCCTGGCTTCGAGAAGCGATGTCGGCGTTTTCCTTGAAAGAAATTTAACAATTTAATCAAAAGGAATACTCACTTCTTGTTCGATTTCGTTCACCCATTTTACTGCTCGTTCACAGAAAAGACTATCAATTGAATCCTTAACCGATATTTCTACCTTACTAAACTCATCGCTACCTTGTTAACATCTTTCATATCGGGAACAAAGCTTGATAGAAGTCGTATCGCGTTTGAGATTCCGAAAGAGGGCAGCCCTTCTCGATAATCGCATCCAGCCAGCAATGCTGCGGCTCGGGCTATTCCGGGAACTACACCTAAAGCTTTATTGCGAATTTTCTTTTTTTAAAGCGTTACCTAATTCCTTCAATGATGGAAGATCAACCAGTTCTGGGTTAGCTGCAAACAAATGTCGAACAACGGGTGCTGCGCCAAGAGCCAAAACATCCGAATCCTCTGTATAAACCAACTAAATTTGTTAAGTCCTATTCCACTGAAACCCTTTACCTCACAAACATTGTCCTTAACCAGCTGTACACATTGTTGTTCGGCTTCACCAGGAGAATCGACAAACGGAACTCCAAGAAGAGATAATAAAGTCTAAAAAAACTAGGTTTAAAAAAAACTAAAAAAATTACTTTTATATCCGTGTACTGCCCAGTGATTCTTTGCCCAGCCTGTGCCATTGGACGATCGGGTCGTTCAAGTAATGCTTCTGGGTGATTTGGTATCCACTATATAAAACATAAAAGCTAAAAATAAAACACACTAACTTCTACGTCATTTGCCTCTTTATCATCTCTTGAATTCTCGATCACCTAAAATTTTCACATTTGAAATATTCTCAAGATAAATTACCTCGACCTCTTCCCATTCATCTTCGGATGATTCGTCTTTTGCCGGCCTTTTGTTGGTTGTTATTGCACTCCGAGCGTTTAGGGTGGACATCACGTCCTCTATAGCCTTAAACGTTGTTGCATTAAGATTAAACATAAAAAAGTACCCTTGATTTGCTTTGCCAGTGCCAATGCGAGCTAGCTTTGACAGGGCTCTTGTTCACAGAAATTTCGGGATTTTTCTTTGGCGATCCCAATATAATTACCGCTTTTTCAGGCGAACTTTTTGCCTAAATTAGAAAACTTTAATAAGTAGCATTAAAACAAACTCACACCATTCTTCCCAGAAGAAAACTCGTTAATCCAGCATGACATTCCTCCTTTCGACGACCTTCTTCATCGGACTCACACCCAACAACACTAGTGTCTTTGTTTGTTCTAAGAATTTGCATTACCTACTCGATATAGCTAAAAGAATCATACCTAAATCGTTTAGCCTTTGGGATGTAATCTTCCGTGTCTTGACTTGCTTCTTCGTCTCCAGTCCAGCTTGTAACAAATTCGCAAAATGAAGTCGAGGCATTATCATCGTCCGACCATGAGTCCAAAAGGATCACATCACCATCGCTACTTTTTGAGGTATTCGCGGCCGATTTTTGACTACTCACAAGTTCTAAACAGTATAATAGACCCACGGTTGCTACAGTAAGTCTACCCTTTGCCGCCTTTTTCAATTTTATCTGTGTTTCTCTCGGCAGCGTTGGAGACGTTGTAGCAGCTACTTGTCGTTCCAACTAAAAAGAACATTCAAAAGTTTAATGCAATAGCAAATACCTGAGTTCGTTTCTTTTCGTGTGAAACGTTAGCTCCTTCAAAGACCATCACTGGACGAATACCGTTGGACATCAAGTGAAGCGTGCGCCGGAGCACCCCATTGACGAGACTTACACTGCCCGATTCGAGTTGTTTCATCACCAGTGGAAGATCTAAAAACCAAGATGAAAATTATTAGGTAACTTTAAAACGAAAAACAAGAAAAACCTCAACTTACCAATCGCTATCGAAGCTCCTTGTAGAGTGGCAATTGAGACGGGCATTGTGTAGCCGGAAGCCAATTCCCATCCGTTTGAAATCCCCATCTTTAACTCTAAAATTAGAAGATTACCACATGAACAAATAAATTTAAGCTGAAAACGTGTTAAAAAGTCTAAAAAATTAGTAATATGATTGTAGAGAGCGGTTGACAAATTTAAACGTAGTATTTGAAACAAATTAAGATATTCAGTCAAAAACCTGTGCACTAGTTCACTTAAACTTATTGTTATTTTAACAGGGAGGTTCTCTGAGAAAATTCATTGTGCAAAAGGAGAAAACAAGTTAAAACGGGGAGCCAAAGCAGTTTCAAAAGGCGGCCCTACAGCCTGCGACTCTTTTCACATGCAATCCGTGCGAAAACCAACTTTTAGTCCATTGAAATCCCTCTCAAAAGCCGTTTTTTATCTCTGAAAACATTAAAGTCTTTCGATTTTCTTGATTTATTTAATTTTAAACGCTTGAACTTTAGAAATGAGACTTGATTGCAACGTCTTATTGGAAAAGAACGGAACCCCATGGAAACGAGCCCTCCGTGGGTATGTCTCAATTGGGAAGGGCACCATGAAAGGACCGACGTCATCGAAGCGCTACTTCCTGAACGTCGTCACAACGAACACGAAAAAGGAATTGCAATTCCCGTTGGACTCGTCGGCTCCCATTGAAATCATCACCAAATTCGCCGCAGCTGGCCGTCTTTCGATCATGATGAGCTCTGAGAGGTCTAATCTGTTCATCAGCAAAGCGAATTCGTCAAATCTTCAGAAGTTCATTGCATGTCTTTCAAAAGCGCTCAAAGGAGAGGAGCTCACTTTAACTGAGATCAAAGCCGGTCAAATCCCAGTGATTGGACCTCGATCAATGACGGTTTCTGACAAGTCGCAATACCCTAGTGATGGATTTCCGAAAAGCCTAGAAAAGTTGACGATGGCCTCGTTGAATCTTCAGAAGATTGATGGACGCTGGTTCTCGCTTTCTTTACTCACAGAATTGAATTTGGCAAACAATCAACTCTCGAAAGCACCGAATGTGGCACTCTTCTCAAAAATCAATCGTCTCCCAAAATTGGAATCGTTGAATCTGAGCGGAAATGGGCTCAGCTTTCTACCAGACGAGTTTTGGTCGTCTTTGCCAAACGGACTAAAAAGCCTTGATCTCTCTAACAACGCTTTTTCTACGTTTCCCACCGGAATTTGCAGGTTGATCAATTTGCAAACATTGCGATTCAACGATAACCCGCTAAATGGACTTTCCGATGAGTTGTTTCGCCTTCCGTTGCTGAAAAATTTGGACGTCTCCCGGTGCCTGCTAACCTTTCTACCTTATGCGATGCATACAAAACGAATGCAGACCCTGAATCTTTTTATTTCTGGAAATCCTTTTCTTGAGGCTGACCAATTGCCGATCACATTTGACTTTTCAAAAATTCCGCCATTGGAGGAGATCGCTTTATCCAAAATTTTAAACGATAAGCTCGATTTTTCCATTATACCCGAATGCCTCAAGAAACATTTCAATTTGTTAAATACAGTTTGCTCTGTTTGCTTGCGTTTTACGCCGATCAGCTTTTTGCGTGTTATTTTTCGTATAGAACAGGCAATGACTTTAGCCACCACCACCGATGGCAATAGATCAGTCCCACTGAAAATTTCTCTTTGTCTTTCTTGCAAGAAATATTTTTGATCTTATTTTTTCAGTTAATTTTTGTCTTTGATAAATTGTTCAATCTTTCAGGATATTCTCCCAGCTGTTTTGGATGTGTACGGCGGGCAAAAAGGGCTCCCGCGACACAGAAGACGATCCGCCAGGTATTTTTTGCTGAAATAAGCTGTTAGTCTTATTTTTAATCGCAAAGATTAAGATACAAAGCTTATCTTACTGCCTATACTAAATTATCTTTAGGAAACTCAAATGGCACTCTACCAGGCGGAAGCACTCCATCCATATGTGAACATCGAGCAAAGAAGAACCAATTTGGACGCAAGGTGTTTATTCCGACTTTTTGAAAGGCTTACATGTTTGAAATTTTCATGCATTCAATGATGATTTTTAGGCCATAAGTGCCAAGTTCAAGAAAATGCGAGAACTTCACTGTGAAATCTGTGATAGAGAAAAGGCGGCTGATGCTAACACAAACGGAGTTGTAAGTTTTAAAAGACAATTACATATAGCATAAACGTGTACTCTAGGATAAGAAGGAGCTCTTGATGTGCACGGCTTGTTCGGAGGTAATGTGTGTAACTCATTCAATTCAACATCAACAAGCGACAAGAACCGGCGATTCCCATGCAATTGTCATCTTATTGGGTGATGAATACAAAATTAGGTAAAAAAAAACTTGCGTTTAACTTTATTGACAAAAGTTTAACTTTAGATGCTCCAAATGTGATTGTGATTTGTATCCACTGGAAAGCGGTGGTGATCAAGTGAAAGCTTTGTTGGATGAGCTAAATTCGAAGCGGGTTGGTTTTAACTATTAGAAACAACTGATCTTTCAAAATTTATTTATATGTTTTGATCTTATCAAATTTAGAAACTAGTGCACACTTCTTCAAAGCCAATTACATCTGAACCAAAAGCTGCACCAGTTGCCGTAGCAGAAGACGCGGATGAAACTGGTGACGAAAAGTTTGAGAAAGATGGGCGACCAGGCAGCAAGTAAGACACTAAATTATTTTCTTTAAAATTTACGTTATCAAGGGATAAATCGCACAAAAAGGGAGAGAAGCGAGCACAGAAGGATAAAGAAGACAAAAAGACTGAGAAACAGTCCGTCGGAATATTTTCAGTTCCCAAGGTTTGATTTATTTAAATTGCCCTAACGCTGAACTTTAGGGATTGGCAAATCTGGGAAATACTTGTTATTTCAACTCAGTCACACAATCTATAATGTTCACTTACCCGATGTCTTTTTATTATGAAAGGTGGTTGTTTTAGTTTTTCCCGAAAATTTCTTTTTTTAGGTTTGGTAACGTTAAAGAGCTTGTGTTCTCCAAACAAGAGGTTGTAGTCGATGAAAAGAAAGTGGAGATCGAGGTAATTTTTATTCACTTTTAAGTTAAATATTTGCGTATAGCCGGCAAAAGCTACAATAACGATGGAGCAGAAGCCGCTTAACATTGCCTTGAAGCAGTTGTCCCTTGATTATGACTTGGTAAGTTTTGGTTGGTTGATTACAGAATAAATAAATTCCAGGTGCGAGGAGGCTTGAGTCCGAACAAATTGATCTCGTTGGTTCAAAGTAAGGGGAAAATGCGTGTTTATCAACAACAGGATGCTCACGAATTGTTGAGGTTGTTAAAGTTTTAGTTTGAACTGATTATTTACTAATTTAGATACTTGTTGGATGCACTACGCAGCGAAGAGACAGATGCTTATAAGAAAGGAATTGCTAGCTTTATTCTTAGCGGACAGGAGAATCCGAAAAGCAAAGTCGAGGACGTTCAAACGAAGCGAAGGGCCAAAGGTGAGCCCGCATTAGCCGCAAAGTAACCAAAACATGTCAGCCTATCTGGAAGCTTCCGGACGACCTTTGCTCGACTCGGTCTTTGGTGGACGTCTTCAGCAAACAATTCGTTGTTGCGAATGCGGGCACATCAGTCAGCAGTAATACACATTTTTATAATATCAAATTATTTCGTTGTTTAGACCTGAAAATTTCTTGGATCTCTCACTCCCTGTCCCATCCGAAACTCGAATGATTGCTGGAAAAACCGCGGCACAGAGAAGGCGTAGTGTTAATGGGGTAGTGGAAAACGGAAAAACAAATGGTATCTTTTCGATTTTCCTTTGAAACGTTTAAATTGTTTAGGGAATGCTGATATTGAAGCTGATTTGGATGACTTAAATCTCTATTATGATGAGGACAAAGATCCAGTTGGATTCACAGTTTGTTTTCACTAAAATAATCATTAAGTACTTTATTTGCAGGAAACGCTTGTCCAATGCCCATCTGAATTTGACTCGGGAAGAAATGTTGGCCATTTGATGCAACTATTTATGGCCGAAGAAACCCTTGATGGAGCCAACAAATATGAGTGCGAAAAATGTTGTCAATCCTATAACGTGAAGGCAAGTCGTACAAGTAGTTAAAAAATATAATTTTTGTTCAGAACGGGCTCAAAAGCACAGCAAAGAAAAAACAGAAGGCCATCAAGCGTTATCTGATTTGGGAACCACCAGCCATTCTGACACTTCACCTTAAGCGGTTTTCGCAGACTCAATTTGGGCGAGGCGGTTTGCAGAAAATTTGTAAGTTTTCTCATTTCTTTATGTTTTGCACTTGCTTGCTATCTTGTATGTTTCATATTTTTGTATTTGTGTAGACTGTGTGCAAGCGCTTCCTTTGGATGTGGCAACTCGCCGTCAGAAATCCAAAAAACGTGTGTAGCGCCTAAGTTCTTCTTTGCACTAATTTTTATTTGCACACGAATGCCAACATCTAGGGTCAGGCCCATTTATGTGTTTCGGTGTTTCGCATGTGCCAAAAAAGATAAATTTACGAGGCTAGCATTCATTTATAAGCCAATTTTTCAATTTAGCTGGTCACATCGATTTCCCCGAGATCTTCGACATTGCTCCATTTTGCTGTAAAAACGTTGGGGTAATTTTTGTTCTTCTATTTTTACATTATCAGCGATTCAGCGAGTGGCGCCTTGTCAGAAGAAGATTCTCTACTCTGTCTATGCCATAGTGTGTCATTCTGGAACAATGCATGGTGGACATTACATTGCATATGTCAAGAGCCGAGCTCGGATTCCACAGGTAGCTAACTCGTGGAAAGCTATTTAAATGCGCCTTTCAGGCAAAACTTTTTGTCGAATGTGCCCGACTGCAGTGTGCCGATGAGCTCTCAAATTCGAATGCCGAGCAAGTACAAGAAAAGCGAGAAGAAATAGAAGGAGAGTTACAAAAGGTTTTGCAATCAACAAAAGTATAACAATAAAAAATACTTTAGCTTGCCGATACAACCGTTCAGCCACCAGAAGGTCAATGGTATTACATCTCGGATTCCACTGTTAGTAGGGTGAGTGTTCAAACCAAGTTTACTTTCAATTGTCCAATCATTTAGGTATCCAAAGAGAAAGCTCTCGGCTCCGAAGCATACATCCTCTTCTACGAGCGAATTTATTAGCTTAATAGAAATTGTTACTGTAATAGGTGAAACGTTTTACATTTTTCGGAGTACTATATTTCTTATAGAAATACTGCAAAAGAGTACCATTGTTTTATTTGTTAATGTTGGTTTAGCATTTCCTGGCTTAGCTGGAGCGGTAGATGTCTAGTTTAAGGTGTGCACTATTTCTCTACCGGTATTTTTATTTGTTATTGTGTGATATTTGAGTTTTATATGCACTAGTCCCTGAATGGTTTAAGAAAAACTCTACTAAGTATCTTGTCTCGTTTCTTTTTCCCTGTTTCTCGATATCCCGTGTTTCCCTACAAATGTTTTAGTCGTACCTAAATACTTTTTCTTTACGGGTGTGTAATAAATTAGGATTTCTATATTTTTAAAGTTCCATATTTGAATAAATTTTTATACGAATTGGAGGATGAGCAAAGACCGATAGGCGGTAGATGTCTGGCACTTGTGCATTTTTAATTTGCCCGTTTGAGAAGCTAATGTTGTAAGTGTCCGTGCATATCTTTCATTAACTTTGATTAACTCAAGTGCATAACCATTTTATTTAGATGAGCTCACAAGCGAGCGATGTTACAGACGAGGAAGTACACGCTTCCATCGAAAAGGTATTTTATATTCTGTCTAAAGTTCTCTATTTTTGCATAGATTCTTTTCACGGAGTGTCAGCCGTGTACAATTTTGAAACTTTCGAGACGAGCTAATTGCATAACAACTCAGGCTTACAGGTAGAATCTGTTCTTTAATAACTTTTAAAGCTATTTATTTAGGTGCCTTCACGATTACTATCTCAAGGCCAGAAAGAAACACGACGGATTGCGGCCAATCCACATTGTCAAAGGCTTCCGCGAGAAAGATGGTTTGTCTCGAATCGTTATGTCTTTTAGATTATTTTTAGGAATCACCATTGAAATTACGCGACTTGCTGAAGCAAAAGATTTGGAGAAAATTCAAAGCGAACTGGAAAATAGTGAAAACCGTGGAATCTATGCGATTACAGTTGGTCCCATACAGGTTAGATGTGCATTTTAAATAAAAACTCATTTGGTTTGTTTAGGATTTACACTCACTTTTGCAAGGTGATCACGTCGAGAGCCCTCAATTTCAATAGTAAACCTTTCTTATTTTTTTTACCAAGTCACTTCAGTGTCGATGGGCATCTCTCGGCCGTAGATGGTGAGGAATTAGCGCTTCGATTTCGATCTCAAATGAGTGAAGCTGCTGAGGCAGATAGAGCCGCTGCTGCAGCCGCTAATGAGGTAAAGAGTTTTTGGCGTAAAACAAACATATTTTGTTAGGCTTATGAAACGCAGATCAGACAGGAGCAAGAAGCTAAGAAGAAACCGCCAAAAAAAACCGACCCATCAATCCAAGCCATGTTTGAAAAGGTTCAACAACGAACTTCTCCCAAGGTTTTTCTTTACATCATTAGTTTTTTGATTAGTTTTTATTTATGGATTCAACAGCCAAACTGATTTGTTTAGAAAGAAACTTCGAAGTCACCCTTTGGCTCCCCACTCAAGAAGGAACAAACTCCTCAAAAGTTCGTAAAGTTGCCTTATGAGTTTATTGAAATTTTTTTTAGAAAACGTGGACGAAAAGTTGTAGTAGAATCAGATGATGAAGATTCGCCAATGAAGAAGATTTCCGTTGCCAGTAAAAAGGAACTCACTCCTGTTCGTGAGTCTTCTAAAGCATGTAAGTTCAGTTTTGAAAATCAACTTTATGGAAATCTGTTTAGCTGCTTCAATTGATGACATTTTTGATGCTGATGATGCAACTCCTGAGAAAAAGCCAACGCAAGAAGATGATGATGATGATGATGTGGAAGAAAAGAAACCTGCACCCAAAAAGACTAAAACCGTTACGAAAAATGTGAGACAGCCGTCATTCAAATCATCTGGTAGTTTTTAAAAGAATAAAGATAAACGCCTTGACGTTTATCTTTTTTCAACTTTTTTTACTTACAGCTCCGATTCGAAAGGTTAAAGAAGTTAAGTTAGAAACGAGCAGCTCACCGGAAGTTTTGGATACGACGGCAGCGGGGTTAGTTATTTATGTTTATACATTGCATAGAAGTTTAGAGAACCAAAAAGAAAAAAAATCATCAAGATTCAAGGACAGGAGACCGTTTTGGATGAAGATGGATTTATGGGTGAGTGAAAAACATTGTCTCACATTTCAAACATTTGTTCAAACAGTTACTCGCCCTGCTATGGTCGAGATGGAAGTCGACGATGATGAGGAACAGAACGAACAATCACAGAAGAAGAAAGATCAAGTAAATATTCATTATTCAACCACCTCTATTCTACTATTTCAGGAAAGAGCTCTCAAACCAGCAAATGTTGTTGTGGATAACAAGACCAAATCAAAGCAACAAAAGCCAGCTCCCGGTGGTCAACGCAGCATCTCTTCATTTTTCGCGAAGAAAAAGTAAATCCCACTGCTTGCTTTACATTATTTGCTCATTTTATCGCATTTTTGTGAATGCCCATTTTTTATGTTAGTCACTTTCATTACTTGTTTTTTTGCAAACGGTGTATTCGATTATGATCTCAGCTGTGTAAAATATTCTCAAACTGGTTTATTTTGTCTTCACTTTACGTTTCGCAGATAAAATGTCGATAAAGGGATATGTTCGAGAAGGCGAGAATTACCGCTTTCATGGGCGAATAAGACGAAGAGTAAATTGTAAACGTGTGTGGTGTTTGTGTGATTGGGGACCTTAAGCGGTGGTCCATTGGAAAGGGGCGAGAACGCGCTCGCTTTAGGAGGGTCAACTTACGAGCACTGTGACCTGTCATCTCCATCCTCTTTCCTAAACCCCAATCGTATTTGTACATGCATTCACGGCTTTTCCCTTTCGTTTCCCCCATACAAACCCTCTAATTACTTCCACTAAAACAATCTCATTCAATGATCCCATTGTTGATTCTCCTAAATTTGTGTCTCGGCGACGAGCTCGAGACATTCAGCCTGGACACTGTCGAACCACAGGTAGCCCGTTGAATTTTTTTTTAAGTCTTTGAAATCTTTCGATCCTATAATCTTTCCTTGAACAGACTATTTGATTGTCAAGTCCTAGAGCCTCGGGCCAGCGCTAAAGCCGGTGTTCCTTATCAATGCGACTCCAGAGGTTAGTGCCCTTTCGTCTTGTCATTGACTATCCGAGACGAGACCATTCAAAGTTGGCAGCTGTCAATATTTGCTCATATTCTTATCTCCAAAAATGCTCTCGTTGCGTAAAATAAAGCGTACTCGGTGGTTTCGAAAAAAAAATTTTTGAGACGCGTTTAGGCAGTGGAACAATTCATGGGAATCGCCCACACCGCAGGGCTCACCCAGCACAGAAAAGTTGGGTTTTCAAGAGACGCACAAAAGCTCTGAGAGAAAGTTTTCTAGGCTGTAGAGTTGGATGTGCTCGTGGGCACGTTGAGGCCAGAGGTTCAAGCGGCTTTTCAGGTAGGTGGAAGCACTTAGAAATCGACAGAAACTCAACTCGTCAGACCTACAAAGCTGAAGCGCTGATGCTGAAGTTAGCTCAAGATGAACGGTACACGGACGCAGTGGCCAAGGTTTCAGATTTAAGCAAGTGCTTTCAAAAAAAAAGCAATTAATAGGCCCACTACGTGATAGCTCATTTGAATGCTCTCAAATCGAGTCGAAATATTGGTGACAACGAGAAAAAGAAGCGAACCGAGATGATATTTGCCGAATTCACGACTTTTCTCGTTGACGCGATAACAGAAGAGGTGAGTTGGCAAATGAAATCGAGCCAAACCAAATCTCTAGGTGAGCAATGTCGTCGAAAACATGATGCGAATGATGCTCAGAGCTGTGCTTTTTACAGAGAAATGGGGCTCTTGACCTGTCCATTCACAATAAAAGATTTCTCATAATTGAAAGGAGCTTTGATAAACTTCTTTGACGCAAACTTTGATGTTAGTGTGTTTTAATGCATTTTGAAACCAACGTTTTATTGAAGAAACACTTTAAATAACAAATCTAAAAAAACAGAGTGCCTACTCAAAGAAATCTTCTGCGTGAACAAAATCAATCCCTAAGAAAGCAAAAAATGATTATCACAATCAACAACAAGATGTTATGGTTATTGAGGGATATCATATAGATGTTAATGGGTGAGATGTTTCTAGATTTTTTGGAGGCCCGAGTATTGTGAAACATTGAAATGGTAGTTATCATGGTGACACGATTTTGGCACAATACTCGAACGCTGGGGGACAAAAAGCCCCTGACAAAAGGTGTTTGGTTTAATATGGCGATGGAAAAAATTTAGTTTGGATACGTAGGTCTAGGGAAAAAGACATCTTGATATAAATGAGAACAAACAAAAGAAATGAATACGATGTCCACAGAAATATTCTTAGGCCTGGCTCTCACCGCCTTCTCCGTTGCTGCCACGTCCGCGTCCCTAAAAGCAATCAATGAATTACAAGTTGTCAAATTTTAAGCTTAATATTCTAGCATTATAAATGCTCACACGTCCACCACGTCCTCGGCCTCCGCCTCGACCTCCACGTCCACGTGGGGCTCCTCCGTTCTCGCCTCCCTCTTCTCCTTGTGGTCCACCCTGGAAGTAAAATATTAGTCTAATCAGATCATCAAGCTAAACATCTATTTTAAAGTAATAATACCTCGCTTTCACTGCGGCGACCACCTCGACCTCCTCTATAGCCACCTCGACGGAATCCACGTCCACGTCCCCGGAAGCCACCTCGACGGCGTGGCGCCTGAATTTAAACAATAAAAACTAAACTCAAAGACTTCCAGAGAAATAGACTTAAAGTTGTAATGTACCTCTCCATCTTCCTCCTCTTCTTCACCTCCTCCCATTTCTTCTCCTCCTGAGCGACGAGGACCTCCACGGCGGTAGAAGCTAATTGCAAAATTTGAAAAAAAAAACACAAATCAAGCTTACCGACGGCGATAACCTCCTTGTCCTCGAGGTCCTCCTGCGGATTTGTCAGCGGCGTACTTGCTGCCTTGCACGGGATCTCCGTTTGGCCCGGTCACCTAGACAATACATACAGAATAGAACCCTCATAAATCACTTACATTTGAGGCTTCAGGTCCTTTGGCTCCGGTCACAACATCAAAGAGCACTTCCTCTTCGTCCCCAACGAGCGAAGGAATTTGTTGGGGTTGTTCTTGGTGATAGCCGTTTGGTGAACGAAGATGTCCTCGTTGACATCCTTGCTGAAAAGCCACGTTTATCATCGATTCATTATTATCTCCTATTTATAAAAGTCTCAAAACAGTACCGGCTGATGAAACCGTATCCGTTCTTGACGTTGAACCACTTGACAGTGCCTGTGACACCACGAGCAACGACGGGCTTCTCGATGGGGGCCTCGTCCACTGGCTGTTGCTTCTTCTCTTCCTAAACAAAACAAATATTAATATAATAGAAGCGGTAAACAAAGAGCTCACAGTTTTCTCGGTCATCTTTGCTGGAATCACGGTCCTTGGCTATCTGCACTGACTGTTCTTACCTGTAATAAGAAAAATTAAAATGATTATACCAAGCTTTAAAACTTACCGGTTGTTAGCTGGTGGGCAGAGTTCTTCTTGCTCCCTCGCCAAGCAGCGATGTTACGCGGCTGAAAATGCAAATATATTAAAAATCAATGTAAAAATTAAGAAAATGCAAATAGGAACGGAAGCTATTCAAAAAATGAGAAAAGTAGCAAAAAGCAAAACTGCGGGAATGGCCGCGACGCGAGGAGTGGCGCGTATTCCTTCGTGTTAGTGGTCACAACATTTGGCGCGCAACTGGCGACCAATCAATGCCCTCTCGACGCAGGGATAGAGAAGGGGGGAAGAGGGAAAAAGAGGGATGAGGAAGTGAAAGAAACGAGGCAGATGAAACAGAGGGGATGTGGGGCGGATCTCGAAGAGGGTCGAATGCTTGGGGCTAAAGCGCTGAGTGTCCCCCAGCTCCGCGCTGGCTCTAGGCTCGCATTGAGTGACCAAACAGCTGTCCCGGCACGACCCGATCATTTTGATTTCATACGGGACTTTTCTCCGGGCTATAGGGGGTAAATGTTGGGTGTACAACGAGGAAAAATTGATTTTCGGTTAGAAGTGGAGGAAAAATGATAGAAATGGAGGAAAAAATAAATCTTTTCAAATGTCGAAAGAGGTACCGCACTTTTAGACAATTATTTTCAGCCAATTGTTAATAAGTATATAGCGAAAATGGATCTGAACTACTTTAACACAAAAAAGGCAAAAAATTTCTTCCATTGAGTTTTAGGCGGTTCTCCGCACGCCAAGATTGTGCAAGTTTACACTCTCGCATGAGTCAGATGCGTTGAAAGTGAAAATCTCCCGATAAATGAAAAGCCATCGATTTTAAAACCGCATAAAACATGCACAGAAAACGGCATAAAACTTATTACGAGAATTGCAAAAATGAAAATTACCCGATTATCGTTTCTAGAAAACACTTGACTAAAACCACAACTTTAACTTGAATTAAACATATATTGTACATCAATTAAATCAAATTTTACTCTTCGAATTTCTTCAATGCATCCGTTTCCTTCAGCAAGTAGGCAAAGATGAAGCAACAAAAACCGGCGAGCATATAAACCGGCGATAAAGCAAGCATGACCTGCGTTTGAATCTTTCAGGGCAAAAACGAAATGACAAAATTTCAAGCCCCAAAATATTTTTGTTGTGAATCTGGATATCTAAATGAGCCAGAGTTTTAAATAAAAGCCTTTCAAACCTGAATTCCTTAACGCGAACAAATCGATCATTAATGAATTGAGACACTTGTAGATTGAAGACATATTTTCTAAAAAAGTTTGTGCACGAAAGAATGCGAAAAAAATACCTGCTTACTTCCGAAGCATCTAGCTCATCTTCTCGAACATAATTAGGAAATCGAGGCTCAACTTCGATAGTTTGTGAGGACTAAACACGATTTTCAGCAGTTATTGGTTCAAAATCATTACCTTATCCATTCCCTTCACATTCACTTTGATCGTCAAGTCATTTTTCTCGCAATACCCATTCAAAAGACCTCGGTACAAAGGACCAGCTTTTATTAGATAGTATCTAAAAAAAAATTTGTTTACGCCACAAGAAACAAAAGCAAACTCCGGTGGTATAGTCAAATAAGTAAAATTTGGATCTGATGCGTCCTTTACAAGCGGAAAAGTAATCTTTGATGGATCACCAGTTCTGGTTGCTATATTTGCGCTTTTAAACTCGAATAAAGTACCAACTCACCTACGACATCCACTGTAAAAAATCAAAGCCTTTCGTATCTCGTCCCTTGAACAAAAATACGCGCAATTGGAGAAGTCCCACTCACAAGTGCCACGTTAGAAGAAAGCTAAAAAGACACATTTTATTAAAGCATTGAGAGGCTTACTCGAATTGTCGCATTATCCGGACTGGCTCAAGGTTGGCTGATACGTTTCAACATATCCCTGAAAATTTATATAAAAAAATATATTAAACAATCGTCCATATCCTTTCTTAAATCTGTGTTAGTGGCTTGGATTGTCAGGCTTCTAAAACAATAAACAGTATGTAAGACAAGGACAAAATTTACGTAATAAGTGGTTCGCGTAAATCCCAGGATGTCTTCCGGTCGGGTGTCGGTAAAACGTGAGACGGGAAGTGCTGAAGGAAGGCTAAATTTGTATTTGAAGTTGTAGATCACTAAAAAAGTGTATCAATAAACTTAATTATAACAAGCTAAATTGATTTAGAGTCAAACACACCAATGGCGCCACCAAATGCAATCGATGATCAGTGTATACCGTTGGATCGTTAAGGTCGACTAATCTAAAACTTTGGAATCACTTAGAAAAATTTAAAACCCTTACACAAATTTCTTGTGTTTAAATGAGAATGCGAGGTATCGAAGCGGTTTATCATAGTTATTTTGACATCATCGTTATTTTCGTTAAATCGTTAAAACATCATCGTTATTTTGAGCCACACACGAGTATTCTCTCCACAACAACAGGAATCGATGCATGTTTTGCAACTGAAGAATTTCTTTAACAATTAAACACTGAAAAAGAAAACCTGGGCGTAAAGGTGGATCAAAGCAAAAATGGCCACACATATCGAAATTTCTTTCTTCAGAAATTTGTCCATTTAAATCCTTGAAGAGAATGATCGGTTTGATTAGTCCTTTGCTCACACCAAGGCAAAAAGTCGGGTAGATTCGAAAATTTGAAGTTGGAGAGATTACTAAAAAAGTTTATCAATAATAAAAGTTCATAAACTTATCTTAGCAAGCTAAATTGATTTAGAGCCAAACAAGGGTAACAAGGGTAATTCAATGCCAAACAAGGGTATTGAATTCTAGTTACCCTATTCATGATAATTACAAAAGTTTATAAGCTACTTTATAAATTTTTGTCGTATCTTCATGTAACCCTTGAATGAAATGGAAAGAAGTATTCCTCTAAAGCCGGGTTATAGAGTTGAACAGCCTTAAATGAAAAAAAAAAGTGCTATGAAAACATTATACTTAATAGGCTTTCAACCGCTAAGTACCCAATAATATGACAAAGCTCATACCTGGAAAAGTTTTGTTGTACGCTCACAAAGTTTTGTTGTACGATTGAATTCCGATCCAGCCAATGAATATTCAAACGTCTTCGGATTAAAGTGCAAAAACCTTGTCACGTTCAACTTTGAGCGCTATTCAAAGTCCTAAAATAAAAGATAATAATGTAAAGGTCCAAAAACTGTAACTAACCTCGAATTCTTTCCATTTGAAAGACTCGTAGAGGAAATTCTCGGAAATGGATTTGCTCTCTGCTCGGGTAAATTGACTTTTGTTATCTACATAAAAACAAATGCTACAAAATCAAATTTCGCATTTTCTCAAGTCTACAAAGTCTCACAGGCAGACCAATTTTCGAGATCTCGGTGAACAAGATCTCTTTTTCAGAAAGATTCTTCACTGAGAATCACAAAGAACGCTTGAAATTGGCCCGTAAGTCTAAGATGTGCGGGTCAATTTCAAGCCTGGATCCTATCCTTTAAGACCTAAATGGCGAGGGTGAACGAGATCTTTTTTGGCTTAAAATTATTGGAAACTTCCGGTGTTGGATTTCGAGCCGGCACTTTACACGTTTTCATTTCACTCCTGTTCTTTGGCAGGGCCGCGCGAACGCAGCCCCTCACGCAAAAATTAAGCTGTTAGCGAATCCCAACTCGGGACTGCCACACAGGTCAACCCAGCCTAAAGTGCAATGGCCGAGCCTCGCCATGGGGGTCCCGCCTTGATGATCGCGAGAGCCCCCCAGCCAGGTAAGTTTATGAGTCGAGAATGGGTGCGGGTTATGAAGGGGACGGGCGTCAGATGGCGAGCGATTACGTGCCCGCACAAAGAACACACAAAGAGCGCATGAAAGAGAGAAGGAAAAGAGGGGAGGCGCGGGGCTCTCAAGCCACCCTTTAGCCTAAAATTTTCACTCTGTCATGTTTATCTTCAAAACATGATATTAAATATTAAAAAAAATTACTTGTTTGTCAAGACATTTGATTAAAACGAGACTTTTGGCTAAAGCGACAAGCTAGAGAAATTCGATAAGAAGTCATATTTTTGAATAGAATAAAATAAAACATTTTTCTCGACAGTCTGAAATTGTTAAATGCTAAAGTCAAATGTAAATTTGTTCATGTTTGAGTTTGTCTTTAAAACCGGAAATTTTTGACAACTGACAATAAAGTGTTAAGTGACAGAAACGTTCAAGGTTATCATCATTGAGAAAAAAAAGAATCGGGGTTGTTTGCCATTAGTTTATTGTCTCAAACATTTCCAAAGTCTATATAAAACTTATCGAAAATTCGTTTTACTCTGTGCGTCTAAATGAAAATCGTACTACTTTATGCTTTCTTCTTCAAAAGCATGCTCACAGGTCTAGCTGAATTTTAAATCACATTAACATATTTTCATCAACATGTGTTTTCAGAAAATTCAGAAAATTCACAAAATTCACAAAATCCACAGCCATTTCCTTTTGGCGAAGATGAGGATGACCGAATCTTCGCTCATAAACTAAAGTGAAGCTTGCACAAAATTGCACAATTGCAATTGCTTGACAATTGCACAAAATTCTCAAATTTCTAGATCTGTTGCTCAAACTCGATCTCGAGTTGATCGGCCATTTCCAGAGCAACTTTCATCGAAACGATCATCCCAGGTATGAAACGTAAAACTCTGAAAACGAATTATTTCAGGACAGAGTTACTCCCACAGAAGATCTCTGGGCAAACCCAAAGTTTGACTCGGAAAACCATTGGGGCTTTGATACGTCAAGGTTGAGCGCTGTTCGTGTTTTCCTAAAAAGATTAAAAATTCCAATAATAGGAAGAACGTCAATTCATCGAAGCTTATAAAAATCGACAAATCTCCTCGGAAACTGCGTTGTTAATCAAGGTAATTACGGGAAAAACTATAAAAAAAACAGTGTTTAGACAACGACCCTTGCTCCACTCCAACCGGATCCGTACAGGCGAGGCTTATTAAAAGTATTGTTATTGATCTAAAAACTTTCAATGTAGCAGATTTAGGAAGTTGGTGACGTGAATGTCGGTTTCGGAGTAGGGGTTGGCCCGTATGCATCAGTTAATACAGGAGTTTGTTGCTACAAGACTGATTAGTTTGAATGAAATTTCAGGTCGGAGTTCAGCTTGGAGGCTCTGGTCCGGCGGGTGCTTTGAACGAAGCACTTGGCTATGACATTTTTCCGCGACAAGTTGTTTAATCTCAATTGTGTGAATAATCATAAGTCTTTCAGGGTGAGCAATGGGTTCTTGACGATTATACCGGTAACAAAGATAACATTGTACCGGATAGATGGCGTCAATATTGGATAGCTGTTAGCGTGAGTGAAAGCAAAATACTCAACATGTCTAACATTTTAGGAAGGCAGAATACAGCCTCCACCCCGCTATGCACCACCAAAAGAAGTGGCTGGTGTAAAGGGAAACGTTGGTATCGGTCTTCCCAATTATCATTACGCATTTCACTAATTTTCCTCCTATGCGTAACAGTATTTATGTGGTTAAAATGGAAGAAATACCAAAACCACACATTCTGCTCATTCGATTCGATAACGCCCTGAAATTCAGGAGTATAAAATATGATTTTGTGCTATGAGCGTAGAAATAGCGTGATGAAATGAAGCTTTTCGAAGCGAAGCACAAACAGTATTTATGTGGTAAAATATTAGAAATATCAAAATCATAAAGCTTGAGAAAATTGACAAACAAAAAGTAACCGTAAATAAAGTAAAGGAGTAAAGTAATGAAGAGCACATACTACCTCAAATGTCGAGATCGTCGCTGAACTCGGTCTGTACAAGAAAACGCAGACGAACCTAAACTTTTAGCTATTTTTATTGAAATTCTAAATTTTACCTGAGCTTCGTTATACACGATATACTCGTTGTAAAGTAGCGAGCAATCTGTTCGATCGGTGACACGTTCAAGTGGGCCCATAGGAACAACAACATCGTCGAATCTAAAAGTAGCATAAAAATACATTTTCAGAAAACTTCTGGATGGCTATAATCTTATCTTCGGTTTAAAAAATTACATCTTCTTGAAACTCTGCTTTCCAGAACTCGGTGCCCATTGTCCCATTCCAAAGGTTGAATGTTTTCCAGCTGGTAATTTAGAAGCATCATAATCGGCCCCTTTCTTCTCGTTTACAACTCCAAGTGAAACCTAAAAAAGTTACTACTTACACAGGTACTCGAAAAAGTATACTTCTGCCAAAACAAGTAATCCCTCTTCCTTGTTCTTTGGGTAGCAATAGTTTCCGGATTTCGATGAAGAGTCAGCAAAGTAGATTCCCTTACCAAACATGTATCCTACAATAAATATTATAACATAAAACAAAATTGATATAACTTACCAGTACATGGCGCCTCAGGAGGAGCAATTCGAAGGCCGTGAGATAAAATTCCACAGAAGTTAGTCAAACGCGAACCATGCCACAAAAGCATTCTAAATTTTTGTTCGCTTTAATTCTATCATAAAGTTTTTACTTATTTCCATGATCAATAAATCGTTCATCTTCCACATGGCGTTTGACTTCAAAGACTGTTTTAATCTAAAGACAGTATTTAGAAATTAATCTAATCAAAAAAAAAACCTTCATAGCAAATGTATGTGTAGATGCATGAGTCTTTTGCATGTAATCTTGAATCATCTTGAAATTGGCACTCTTTGGCGACACCACTTGAAAATCGCATTTTAGTGAAAGATACATGCGATCAATCGGATTTTGCTCTTCCTGAAAATACATAATTTACCATCAATAAGCAATTAATCCAAACCTTGATTCCATTTTCTCCTTCCTTGATAGTTTTGATGGCAATTTGTACTTCCTTCAAAGTATCAAGCAATTCACATTTTGCTTTGACTTCATCCATATCATCAATGACCTTTGGACGAGAAAATCTAAACCAATGTTTATCCTGATGTTCTCGAAATATCGAAATAGGTTTAAAGTTTTAAAGGTCAAAATAAATACCCCAGACTGTGAGGAATATTTGAGTAGAAATCGTTTGTAGCACGAATCAATAATGATCTGTCACACTGAAATTTCGGTGTTGATTTGTCAAATCGATTAAAATTACCTTCTTTCGCTTTAGTAGATTTTCGAGTTCTTTCAAATTTTCGTAGCCTCGTTCCAATTGAGCAGCCGTCAGTTTTCCTAAAAATATAAAGTAGAAATTTCGCAAAATAAAAATTTACCTAGTGGCATTTTTTCTGAATTCTCGTAGCTGAGCTCAATTGAGCGAATTCCATTGGCAAGCATCGACAAATTGGTGATCATTTTGATAACTTCTTGAATTTCAGCTGCTAGGACACTATCAGGCACCTAAACAAGAACTTTTATAGATTGAACCGTTAAAACTTACTTCTTGTTTGACCTTATCATCGGCATCTTGCTCATTGCCTTCATTCTCTTTATCAAGCGTGTCTTGAAACTGGTCAATCTAAAACCAATAGGTATGCAAATTGACAAAAAGTTGTTCCAAACCTCGACAAGACGGTACTTTCCATAGACAGCTGCCTCGTTTCGCTCATCCCAAGCTAAGCCAGTTTTTGCCGAAAATTTGCTGCAAAACATCTGAATTCTTAATTAAATAAAATACTATTCAATAAAAAGAACATTTGTAGCTCCAATTGCACTAGGAAAACGGGCCAGAGAGTTTTGCCCGGCATAACCGACACGACCCCACCAAAGAAAGCATCTAAAGTTAATATCATTTTTAAATAAAATAAATATCCTCACCCGAATTGGTTATTTTCTAGTTGAAGCACTTGAATTCCATAAAATTTATTGTTGTTGTTGCCAATGTCCGTTTTGTTGAGCATTACACTGTATACGGAATCTTGCATCGCGTAAACCACAGACTTTTCCTAAAAAGAAAAGATACAAAAATAATCTGGTAAAAAAATAATCTTTACCTTTATAGAACAACTTTCGAAAACTGGTGCCGGGCCAACACAGCGGACAACCCGAGGTGCACTCTTGTGGTTTGTCTCTGGCTTCTCTTCTTCCTCTTCATCGGCATCCTTTTCCTCTTCTTTGACCTTTTCCTTTGGTTTAACCGCACCTGGCGCCACACGACGTCGCTTTTGAGCTGGAGCATCGGAAGGCCCAGGTTGATCCTATAAATACAATAGTTGGTTTTAAATCTTCTTATCGCTAATTAATAATCAATGTCTTCAACACTTACCTCAACCGGTTCGTCAGCAGCTTGCTCAGCTGCCTTGGCTTGCTTTCGAGTCCGTGCCATTCGCTCACTAAAGTTTATTTATCAAAATCGACTAAGTAAATATTTCTTTAAAGATCACGAAATTAAAAACAACATTAAAACCCGTAATCACATTAACAGAATGCATTCGAAAATTACGCAAATTAAGGGGGTGGCAAATTGCAAACAACACCGACCGTATCAAAAGCACTGTAGAAGAAAGAATTTTTCAATGGAAGCTCATTTTCGGAAAGAGCTTTGATAGCTTCTTGACCAATAACTCCTCCAACGATTGCACAAACTGGTGACATTTGTGGGCCAAGGAAATATTCGAAATCCTCTTCTTCGTATGTGAATCGAGCACAATCCTGGCCATTTCGTTCAACTTCGGCTTTCCAGGCCTCTCGCAATGATTGGGTATCTGCAAATCCTCCTTGATCCGAACCGTGAAGACAAGCTTTGATTGGATAGTAGACTTGCGGAAGATATCTCACGACTTTTCGAATGTACTTTTTACCGGTCCAATCAACCGAGAAAAAGTCTTGAAGTGAAGGATAAGAAACTTTTTGTTTCTCGAAACGATCGTCTTCAATCGTGGTCATATTATCGACAATCGGGGCATCAATATCGCCGGTGCCGAATTGTGGTGCCTTGATCTTGAACAAGAAATCGTGATTGTTGAAGTCAAAGAAAGCAAAGCCAGCGCCACCGAAGACGGATCCCGCCGCAAAGCGAACTTTAAGTTCACGGCATTCCGCATCAACACGACGTGCTTCCTCAAACGGTTGATCAATCAAAATGACAATGTCGAACTTTGACCAAGTTTCCTTGCCACGTTGTTTCAATCCATCCGTGATTGTATTCAGTTCCACCATTGGGTTGAGTTCTTTCGCTCGATCAGCGCTTCCTTCAGCCAGATTCATTCCAACAAAATTCTCATCCGGAAGCAAGAAATTCGCCATCTTATCCTCCGGAGTCGCTATTCTGTCATCCATGAGAGTGATGCTTCGAAGTCCGGCTAGCATCAAATTTTTCGCCACCTCGGCTCCCAACCCAGTCAATCCAACGAGGAGTGCCGTCGAGTTTCTCAGTTTGTTTTGGGCCTCCATGCCCCAGAGACGAATCTGCCTAAAAGAATAATTTGTAAACAAAGAATAAGCAGAACAAACCGATCATAAATCTCCCTCTCCTGTGCGCTGATTTCCTCCTCGATTCGTTTATTCTCAAGGAGAACGTTGCTCGGCGAGTAAACTCCAGACGTCGACATTACCTAAAATATTTTATTGTTAAAAGATAAAATTTAAGAAAAAATGAAGCAAGCAAATGTTGAGAACTATTTGATTTAAAAAACCCCGCTTTTACTGGCGTTGCCGTGTTCAAACGCGAATTGGGCGGGACAAACTACGAGAAAAGAGGAGAAAGAGGGGAAAGACAGAGCTCTTTTAGGACAGAATCAAGAAAAGAGGGGAATGGGGAATTCTTCCAAAAACAGTGCCCAAATGTCTTGTATCATCAGAAAATTTGCTATTTCCAGGAAAGATAGGCTACAATTCATAAAGTCTAGTTTTACTTAACGCCATCTACGTTCGGGGAAAGCCAATAAATATAAATTGCCACCGGAAAGCGTTAAATAGTGCGAAATACAAAGACGGATTAGATTAGGGCGTAATTTCGAAAACGAGGGAAACAGACAATTGTACCTTTTGGTTTAAAGCCAAATTGAATAGGTTTGTCTGGGGGTGGGAAAAATGCGACCTTTTTTGCGCACCTTTTTTTTGCGCACCTTTTTTTTGCTGGAAAAGGCCTTAGGCAAGGCCGTAGAGCTTCGAAAATTTCGAAAATTTTTCCATATAAGGGAATCGTATGCGTAGATTCCGAATTTCGACAAATCGGACCTCGCTGACACGTCAAATTTGGGCTAAAAGGCAAAAACTACGGAACTTAACGCTTAAGTTCCGTAGTTTTTGCCTTTTAGCCCAAATTTGACGTGTCAGCGAGGTCCGATTTGTCGAAATTCTGAATCTACGCATGCGATTCCCTTATATGGAAAAATTTTCGAAATATTTTCGAAGCTCTACGGCCTTGCCTAAGGCCTTTTCCAGCAAAAAAAGGTGCGCAAATGTCCAGGTGCGCAAAAAAAAGGTCGCATTTGTCCCACCCCCCAAGTTTTCAGAGGAAATTCCACAAACCACCTGAATTGGGTATAATCATTGACAAAATTATTGCACAAAACTCGAAATTTCGTATTCTCTAATGCATCAAAAAAAGGGTGTGCCATAAATTTTCGGTTCAATATCATCCCCTTCATGGGTGCCAACAAGATCTCATTGCACACGATGAATTATTTTCGATCCTCGAGGCAGCTCATATGTACACAAAATTCTCGTTTTCCTTTTGCAAGGCCAAAATTTGTTTACTTGATGATACAAAGTTGAAATTGATTTTTTTCTATCTTTATTGGTTATCAAGAAAAATCAAAGTCATTATGGACTTGTTCATTTTCTAAAATGTTCAACTTTTAGAAACTACCGTAAGCTTGTCTCTGATTTTTATCCAATATACGTTTGGTTTAATTCTGTGAAGGTTCACGAAGGATACTCGAAGATACGAAAAGTAAATAGATTAGATAAAAGCTAATCTATTTACTTAAAAGCTAATCTATAGACACGGTTGTCAAGTCAAGAAAGTTGACACGGTTTAGGAAACGCTTTAATTAAGAAATACAGCTTTAGTCTACTGTAGCCTTTGTCCTATAGCTGAGATCTTTTCCGCTTTCATCGTTTCAAGCCTTTCAACGTTGGCTTACTATAACTGATTACAATACAATGCGTGCAAATGTTTTCCTTGTTTGTTTTTTTCCCCAACATCATCTCCTTTCCTCTAAATGAAACATTCCCATCTCACGGGTAATATACACGATCTTTTTCAGATATAAATTCTCTCGATTTTCTTCCTCAAAAAGAGAAGAGACTGGTTGCCCCCGGTTACAATTTGAGATTTATATTCACTTCATTTTTTTTTTCTTTTCTATTTGCTCCTCCTTTTGGGATCTCAAAAAACAAAACAATAATCTTTTTTTTTCAGAATGTGCTCGCCAAATTAACAAGTTGATCACTTTTAAAGGAAACTTGAACTTGAACTTGCACAGTTCAAATTCCGATCTTTCTACTTCGATTTGTGATTCGATACGATTTCTTCGAAATCCGAAAGTATTCTTAAAAAATCTACCATTTTAAAGATCAAAACTATAGCTATATTAGCTACAGTGCCCTTTTATCTACTGTACTTTTTTAGAATGGGATCAAAACTACAACTATAATACTATTGGCAATATAACCGGACAGTACTGTAGTAAATAGTACTGTAGCTGTAGCTTTGATCCAAATAACCATACCTTTTCTTCTCCTTTCTTTCAACCAACACATTCGCTAATCCTTTGCCCGAAATTCTCGATCAACCCACCTCATTTTGTCACCGGCTCCATATCCGTTTCCTTTCCTGGCCTCAGCCATCCCCCCTTCTCCGAAATAGACTGAACACAATGATGGATTTGCTCACAAAATAAGGATCTCTTGTTTTTTCTTCCTCTGTCATCTCTTTCCTTTTCTTCAAGAAGCCAATCGCTCCCTTTTTTTCCTTTACCTTCTCCATCTCCATCTTCTTCCAGTTCAGTCACCCCCGCCGAGGTGCACTGAGTAATTGGGCCTTCACCCCAGCCCCAACTGCTCCTCATACTATCACTCTTCTGGGGTATTCATTTCTCCAGCCTTGTAAATGAAGCTGAGAATTGGAATTGGCTTGGTGAAGTTGTACTTTCCATCTGTACATTAAACGATTCTTTACCTCAATCTTTAGCTGATTAGAAAGCTGATTAGAAAGCTGAAGCTGAAGCTGATACATTGTGTTTTGTTTTGTCTTTCTGTACCAGTCTCATTTCCTTATCATTGACCTCTTCGATGTGCACTTTGTACATTGAAACGCATCCTTTCTAGTGCACTCAGCCTTTCATTCTTCTCCAGCATCAAATGCAAATTACTGAGAAAATGGAGAACTACTATAAGTGCGCCAGAAAGGATGTGTTTTCATTTTATTGAAGCCACAGAGTACAGAGAGCTGAAGAGACAAGCCAAATACATAATGCGTTTTCTAAAAGGTAAAACTTGGACAACTTACTGTAGTTAAAGTTAGCAAATGAAACTCGAGTTAAATAGAATTCTATCCAAAACTTCTAAACTGTTTAGAGCCACAAAAACACTCGCAAAAATTCAAAAGCGGACTTATAAGCGGATTTTGCTTATCAAGCCCTTTCCTCCCAAGGTAGCTGACCTTTCCAATCCATTCCATTCCTCCTCTCATCTCCATATTTATGAGATTCTCGAGGTAATTCCCGGTTTGTCTCTTCTCATTTCAAATGACCATTCTCTACTTACATTTTTCTTTCTGAATCCATTGTAACATGTTTATTTTCCGAAAGCTACCGAGGTCAACATTCTCTTCATTTTTTGCTTTCGAAATCTCGAAAATTTTCGATTCTTTAATACTTGAAGCTCGAGTTTATTGTAAACTTGTTTATTTTACAGCATTCGATAGGGTACATGAAAAGTTCTTTCCCCTCTTCAAGAACCATTCGTAAAGCTCTTTCCCCTCTTCAAGAATCATTTGCAAAGTTCTTTCCCCTCTTCAAGAATCATTTGTACGGCTTGAACCAAGAAATTTACAGAGAATGGATTCAAATTTGAATTCTTTGACTATATTTCCCCTTCTTCAAAAAGATTTTTGTTTTGAAAATCGTTTTTTTTTTGGCTAAATTGTCTACGGATCCACTTGGCTTCTTTGACATTTTAGCCCTTTTGAGCGTAAATTTTAACGATGCTTAAAAAATGGTGAGCTCTTAACCAATCTGACTGTAAAACGGCTAGTTTTAAAGGAAAAATTTTCTTTTTTCTAATATTTAAAAAAAAGTTGATTTTATTGCAGCTTTTTCATATTTTAAATCAATTAGCATTAGAGATTAGCAAAAAAGAAATTAGAGAAAGCATTAGAGAAAGCAAATTAGCAAAAAAGTAAATAGGTTCGAAAAATCAAGTCAAAAACAGATTTTCGAAAAAAAAATAGTCAAAGATTTCAAATTTGATGTCCTTTTATCTCTATTTTATTTTATTTCATTTCATTTAATATTTGACGATCTTTAGAGAGAGGACAGAACTTTTCAGGCAAAAAAAAACCTGTATTTAAAACCCGATTTCAAGTCATCAAGTCAATTCAAACTTGATCCAGATTTCAAGTCAATTCAAAACTTTAGTGCCTACGTAACACCAAAGAAGATCCTCCTTTGAAGATCTTTGGGTGATGGTTGATGGGAGAGATGGGTTAATCGAGTCGAGAATCGATGGACCACTCTCCCCGCGAAAGAATCGACGACACCCATGGAATCTCTCGTCGATATTTTGCTGTTGTCGATGTGCACCGATCAATGTTGCAGAGGTTTTTTTTTAGCACAAGTAAAATGTAGCCTTTTAACTCTAAAACATAGCCAAGATAAGCAAATTTAGCCTTTCAATTCCACAAAGCTTTTCGAAAAGAATCAAGTTAAAGCCCACCGAAACAAGCCTTTAAATGAAGCCTTGAGCTTGGTTTAAACTAGAGTGTGTTCCTCGCGAGTAAGTAATTACTCGAGTAAATTTGCATGATTATTTTTTATTCGAGTAATAGCTCGAGTAATTGTCGAGTAATGCGTTTTTTGATTCCCGGGCGAAAAAAATATAAAAGCAATTTTTTGCGCAGCTTTTGGAATAGGCTACTTTGCGCCAAATTTTTTGCGCAACTAGGTCTTTTGCGCAACTCGCCATAATTTTCTTCTAAGTCGGCCAATCTTTATGATTTTGGTGTCATTTTGTTACACTTATTGAGATATACAAAATGACACCAAAATCATAAAGCTTTATGATTTTGGTGTCATTTTGTTGCACTTGTCGAGCTCTACAAAATGACACCAAAATCATAAAGATTGGCTTACTTGGAAGAAAGTTATGGCGAGTTGCGCAAATAAAATGGCCAAAATTAGCCTACCCCGGTTTTCCAAAAAAAAAAAAATCAGTTTTTACATTGGAAGGGGAATTTCCCACCAAATCAGTTAAACGGCTGAGTATCTTTAAAAAGTGTCGTATATAATTCGGGGCCCGTCATTTTTGCATCATCTTTTTGCAATAATTTTTGCTAAAAGTACGGTAATTTTTCCCCAATTGTGCGTTTTAAAAAACGCATTACTTACGGGGAACACACTCTAGTTTAAACTAACAAAAAGCTTTGGCTTACATTGATTTTGTTCAGAAATGTTCAGATTTTGTTCAGAAATTGATTTGGTTGTCGAATTTGTATTGAAAAATTCATTCTTTTCCCCGACTTTCCTCTTTTCACCTAAAATTCCCCAATTTCTTCCAAGCACTAATTGAAAAATTTGTTCTGAAAAGAAAAGTTTTCCTTTTTTTTTCTCCTAAAATCTTCAATAGAGTACAAATTTTGCATTTCCTTGTGCATTTGAAAGAAATGAATCACCCTACAACAATTGCAACAAAGTAAAAAAAATTGTAGAAGTACAAATTTTTGGTTTATAAAGTTTAAATGTTAAAAATGAACTAGATAACTGGCTTACAAGCTTGATAAAGTTGATTTGTTTATCTTGGTTCATCTTGGCTTATCTTGGTTCATCTTGGCTTATCTTGGTTTATCTTGATTTATCTTGATTTATCTTGGCTTATCTTTATCTCCAGGCTTATACCTACCCTTGGTCAACCCTTTCATCCTTCATCTAAAACCTTTTTCACAAAGTCCCTTCACCGGTCCGCTTTCACTCCGATTTTGAATGGAATCGAGCTCGAATTTCCACTTTCATCCACAAATACATGACCACTCCACACATCCAAAGTGTTCACTCACATAAAAGTCGACCTCATGAAAGCTTTACACTTCTTTTTTGGTCAGAGTTTGAGCAAGTTTCAAATGTTATGCTTTCAATAACATTTGAAAGCTTACATAACATTTCAAATGTTATGCAAGCTTGTAAGATTTAAAGTTAGTATTTATAAAAATAAGATAAGATTGAATAAACGGTTGTTATGGGCATTTTAAAGGAGTTGTTTAAAAAGTAGTTTTCCGGGTCAAGCCAGAAACCCAAATCCTGGCTTCTAAACTTTTTTGAACTGGACTCTGGTCAACTGGACTTCTGGCCTGGTCTCTGGTCTCTGGTCTAGCTTGACTCCACTACATTCTTGGTCCACTGACTGGGTTACGGAACTTTTCAGTCCTGCGTCACTCCTTGAACTTGCCAGAAGCCAGGCCTGCACTTGTCTTAGCTAGCCTTGATTGAAAGTCCTAGGATCCGGTTGGGATATGGACACATTCCTGCCTCGAGTACCGAATGAGTGAGCCCAAACACCCCACCCATATCCATCTATCCCTCCAAAGGGGATCCTCATCGTGTGTGGATATTAGGGTCATCGAATGCTTTTCCGAAAAGAGGAAAAGAGAGATAGATAGAGCAAAAGGGGTAATGAATTGCTTGACGGGATTACTCTCCTCCTTCCCCACTCTCCCCTTTCATTTCCCCTTAACCACCCCTAAACACCAATCCCCCACCCCTTCTTTGGAACACCCACTCCGGCTTTAAAAGCTAAGCTATTAAGCCATCTATGACTCGTTAGATTCAAGTTGAGACGACTCTAGAATTTGTTATTGTCTTAACTCACTAAGATTTTAATTGTTTGTTGTAGGTTTTTCAATTCCATCTGTCTAGTTGAGTCATAGTCAGAGTCTCAGTTTTGAGTATTCTTAAGTTTTTCCTCAAATCCAGATTCATATCTTTGCAAAACGGGCAAAAAACGGTGGAGCCCACTTATCTGACGGAGAGAAGAGTTGAGGGTGGAGGGGGTGCACCTTCAAACCGCCTCTTTGGCATTGCCATCCACATTTCAGTCATCCACCCATCTCCACCCTGCCCCCCATTGCATTTTAACCGGGGTTTTGCAAACTCCTGGTTTCTACCCTCCTGGTTCCTACCCTCTTTGTTCCTATCCTATACAGGGTATTCCGAAAGTTTAGAAACTTTTAAAAATTAGTTTATTTTGTGTTATTTATGTAATTCTTTTTGCATTCTAGCTTCTATTAAAAACTAGAAACTTCTAAAATAGCTAAATTTTTTTCAGTCACTGATTTAAAGGATGAACCGTAATCTTGGAGCTACACAAGCAGCTACACAAGCTCTTTAGCTTAATGGACATTGTTAGAGCGACCGGTTACGTCAAATCTGGAAAGCTATTAATCGATACAAGGCATTAGAAGATGATAAGGACCGACCCAGGAGTGGCTGTCACGGCATTGTTGTCACGACTGTCACGACTTTGTTCGTGTTTTCCGGCATCACGCCTGAAAACACGAACAAAATCCGTTGCTGTATTCGCCGGAATCCCACGCGGTCGATGAGAAAAATGTCGAAAAGTCTCGGAATCAACAAGAACAGTTTCTGGAGAATTGTCCACAAGAAGTTTGGAATGCGCAGCTACAAATTCAACCGGGTACACTTCATGAATGACAACATGAGGAAAAATAGGAAGCTCCAATGCAAGAAAATGATTCGGCTGATCGCAAATGGACAAGGTTGTACTTACTGATGAGAAGATTTTCCAACCGATCGTCCACAATCGCCAAAGCCATCGCCAACTTCTTAAACGAGCCCTCAACAACACTTTTGCAGAAAAACTGATGGTACGGCAACATTTTCTTACTCCTGTAATGGTCTGGGCGGGCATCTGCGCCACGGGGAAGACTCCACTTGTGTTTTTGGATCGAAAAGTGATGATCAACGCAAGAAGCTATCAACAAAAAGTCCTGAAAAATGCCTTAGAACCGTGGGCAAATCACTTCGGACAGAGTGGCTTTACTCTTCAACAGGATTGGGCTCCTGTTCATGGAGCTCGATCAATTCTTTCTCTTTGCAACCAACTATTTTCGGGCTTTTGGGGAAAGAACGTCTTCGAATTTGACAGATTTAAACCCGTTAGACTTCTCGATATGGTCAATTCTGGAAGACAAGCTTTCAGGCAAACGATATCAAACAGTGGATGCTTTAAAAAAATGTTTTGAAGAAAGCCTGGCCCGCTTCTGTGATTTCTGTGAAACAGTGTGCGATTATCGTCAAGAACTTCCCCAAGCGCTTAAACAAGTGTATTGAAGCTGATAGAGGTTTCTTTACAGATCCTATCCAGCCTTTATCCAGTCCATACCCTACCCACCCTCACCCCTTTCATATACGGGTGCGAGTTCTTGGCAAAGAGGCGAATCCAATCCGTCAAGAGCACGAACTAAACGAGAAAGGAGGGGAACACTCAGAGAAAGAACTTCAGGGGTCATCCAAGAGAAGGGGAAAGGAGCTAGGTGAAAGAGGATGACGAACCACAGGGTCTTCCCCATTATAGATTGGCGGGCATCGAAGAGACCCCAGAGACAATCCCCGATGGATGGAGTGAATGCGGGAAAGAGTGGGCGATGTGCAGAGGGTGGAGAGAGCCCCCAGGGCCCTGCCTAGGCCCTAGGCCCCCACACACTCTGCACACACAAGAATTGATCACTCCCCTTTTCCTTTTTCCTTCAGCCACACATATACTAGGCCCCTTCTAGTCGCTCAACCAGCTAGCTCTCTGGCTAGACCACCACAATGTTTGACCCACAATTTTTGTGATTATTTTGAGTTTCTTTTTAGAATCGTTTCTGTTTCTAATCTTTCTATAATCTTTTTATTCAAATTCCGATAATTGTCTAGATTTTGGTTGGTTTTCAAACGCATTGATTGGGTTTTGAAATTTGAAGAGTTTATTCTGATTTAACAATAAGAAACCAAGACTATGATTGAAGTTAGATAAAGAAATTAAAGAAAAGGGTTTTCCTTTGTTTTCCTTTTCTTCCTTTCCCAACTATTCCATAGGTTTTTCCGTGTTTCTTTTTGATTTAAATCTTTCTAACTCAAAGTGCTTTTATTAATTTTTTGTTTTGTTTAAATAGCAAATTTCAATGATATAAACTTATTTTTATGTAAAAACAACGAGTTTTCTGTTATATTTCTGAAAAATTTGCATTTCAAAGGCTTTAAAACAACTGATTCTAGTGTGCGATGGGACGTTTTGGATATGCAAATTTTGATTTTGAACATATAACAGGATTAGATTTGCTTAACGGTTCTCTTAACGATCCCTGGACTAAAACTTGGCATAATTATGCAATATTTTTAAAAAAAACTAATTACTTTGCTGACATCTTCAGATTTAATGAAGCTTGATAAATTTTTGTAAAAAACGAAACACTTTGACTGTGACCGGAATCGACCGATCGAAACCTTCATTGTGTGGGTAGCGTTAAGAAGCATCCGTTAAGCGTTAAGAAGCATCCGTTAAGCGCTAAGAACCATCCGTTAAGAGTTAAGAACCATCCGTTAAGCAATTCTAAACAGAATTTTATTAAAACAACCTTCCAACTTGACTTTCCAGCTTACAAATCAAAATTTCAGCGCGGCTCGGCCGCCATGGACGCGCCATCATCGTCCAACACAGGTCAGTCAAAAAAATGGTGATGATGCTTGATAATATAAGTAATATTCTATTGTACAGTAATATTCCATTTGTAAATGACTACAGTTTAAAAGAAATCTAATGTAAGACCTGTCTGATAAGTTGAAGTCAATAGTCGATGGAAAAGATCGATCTTTCTGTTCAGAATAATCCAACTCTTGCCAACAATTATACTAGATTTGATTTAACATTTGTTTCATACAAACTTTAAAATTCAATTTTCCAGGCGGTTTGCCCGAAGACGTATATCGACAGATTCGGGCCGTCGACCAAGCCACATCAACGCTGACACGAGGAGCGATTCTCGGGCTCTCGGCAAGGGTTCTTGACAAGTAAGTACCCAAAAATCTAGAAAAATACCCTATAAATCTAATCAAATATCTATAGTGTCATAGAAATTGCCAAGCCAAACAATGTAAAGCATCTAGACGGCTCAAAAATTTTGTAAGCATGAGAGTAATAAGCTGAATCGGGTAGCTGAAAATGCATTTTATTACATTTCTTGCTTTTTCCTGTTTTAGATTAGGACTTCTTAATATTCAATGCTAATCTTTAAGCACAAAAGATTTCACTATCCAAATATCTAATCCAATTTCTAGATCCGAATTCCGATCCCCGCAAACCGGTGAAGTCTACGTGGTACAACTCGTCGAGATCATCAAAAAACCTGGGCAATCGCTGGGACTCTTTTTAAGGTCAGTGATTGTTGTAGTAGTAGATTAGACTGTTGTAACTTGATTGGCTTGCTTGTGGAATAACAGTTAGTGTTTATCTAGAGTAATGAAGACGAATAAAAGAATCACAATCGATTCGTACACAAAAATGTAAGGAAAACAAAAAACCAACAAAAATCAAAAAATAATTCAAAATAAAAAATGAAAACTGAGCGAAAATAAAATAAAATGGCACAGACTACGGGACGTTTCTAGTGACAACCTAGACAGACGTGGAAGGTGCACTTTAGAAAACGACAATTTTGTGAGAAGTATAAAAGGCTCTCTTCCCAACAGTGATGAAGATGTGGGTTAGGCTAATTTCCGCCATTTTATTTGCGCAACTCGTCATAACTTTCTTCTAAGTAGGCCAATCTTTATGATTTTGGTGTCATTTTGTTACACTTATTGAGATCTACAAAATGATACCAACATCCTAAAAATTGGTCGACTTAGAAGAAAGTTATGGCGAGTTGCACAAACGACCCAGTTGCGCAAATGACCCTGTTGCGGAAACTAGCCTGAAAGATTAAGAAAGAGGAAAGATTGATTGTTGATTTAACATAATGATGATATCTGTTTTACATTTCTGCAAACATTTTTTATAATATTGTGTTCTTTTCAGGGAAGGCAATGGAATCGATCGAGGCTCAGGCGTCTTCGCGAGTCGTTTAGCCGAACAATCCGAGCTGACCAAGTGGGTTTTCTTTTTTTTAAACTTTTTAAACTTCAAGAACTTTACTTCAAAACTTCAAAAACGAAAAACATTATAGCAGTTAATCGATGAATAATTTACGGGAGCGGGACAAATGCTACCTTTTTTTTTGCGCACCCGGACATTTGCGCACCTTTTTTTCCGCACTTAGCCCATTAGCGCACCTTCTTTCGCGTTTTAAAGAAGCTCTAAAAAGCTAATATTAACCAATTTCTATTCCAAAAGTTGTTTTTCTAGGTAATTTGAGGGTGTCGAATTCAAATTTTGACATAACAGAGCGTGTGGAACCAATTTGAAAGACAAAACGGCTAGGTCAAATTGCAGAAAATTGTCGATTTTTCTCTTTGTATAACTCCGCCCGTTTGTTTCCACAAGCTCTGATATGCCAAAATTTCGATTCTACGCCCTAAAATTACCTAGAAAAACAACTTTTGGAATAGAAATTGGTTAATATTAGCGTTTTAGAGCTTTTTTTAAAACGCGAAAAAAGGTGCGCTAATGGGCAAGGTGCGGAAAAAAAGGTGCGCAAATGTCCGGGTGCGCAAAAAAAAGGTCGCATTTGTCCCACTACCATAACTTACAACTGTTTTAGGCTAAATCTACGACAGAATTTTGTAGTTTTAAATAGTAGAAATCTTTTAAACTTTAGATGTGACGATTTGATACGACCCGGCGATGAGATTCTCAGCATCAACAATGTTGAGGTGAGTGTTTCGATGTGAATTTTTAGTTATTTAAGATTTTGGACCTATATTATTAGAGCTATGATTTCTTTAAAAAAACTTATTTAAAGCCTTTTCACGCCAATATTAGAAAATTTTTGATTTTTGATTTTTCAGGTAGCAAATATGAGCATCGATGATGTGGTGTTGATTCTCTCGATTCCACGACGATTACTTCTACGAATACGGTCTGGTTTTATAAAGATTATCTCTAAGCCATAGCCGACTAAGTCAACAAATTCATATTTTATGATTTTGCCTTGTGATTTTGATCTTGAGCTTTAACCGAGCTTATGATCTTGAGCTTTAATCGAGCCGAGCTTTAACCGAGCCAAGCTTTAACGGAGCTTATAATCTTGAGCTTTAACCGAGCTTATGATCTTGAGCTTTAACCGAGCCGAGCTTTAACCGAGCTTATGATCTTGAGCTTTAATCGAGCCAAGCTTTAACCGAGCTTATGATCTTGAGCTTTAACCGAGCCATTTATTAAATTGTCTTAATAATCTAACTGTAAAGTAGTATCTTTTAAATTTTAAAGTTTCTGTTTAATCTGAAAATGAAACGATTGTTGATTCAGATTCAGATTCAGATCTAGAAGAGACCGTAACTTAGCAAATTCTTTATTTAAATCAAAAATTTGATCGTTTTATTAATTGTGATGAACAGTAAACGCACTAAAGTACAAACTAGCTTTAAAGCTTTGATCCTGATCATATCACCAGCTTTGAAACGATATAATACCACTTTTAGTTTATTTTATATCTAATCAAAAGCATGTCGAACTTCTTTAATCAAAAATTTAAGTTTCAACAAGAATCGCCGTGAACGCGGCGCCTCATCGAGGCAACCAGCCGATCGTCCAGTGGTTGTCTTTCACAAAGTAAGTTATAAATTTGCTTAAAGTGACAAAAATAAATTAGTTTAATGATTTGGAGTTGAAGAAATTCAAAGAGGTGAGCTGATTTTGATTGGGATTTTTCAGGAATTGTAGAAAGCTTCTAATTAGGCTGTTCACAAAGTTTTTTCATTTCTTTTCTTTGGGTCTATCAATTGGGTTTAAAAAACTAAATAATCGTTTCTTTTCACTTTTCTCTAATAGTGTTGTTGGATAATTTTTTTTAGCAAAACTTTTTAATATCTTAATAATTTTAGTACGAAGAGCGACCTCCAGGCGAGCCAGCTCCGTGCTCTCTTCTCTCACAACCCACATCTACCGCTGATACATGGTTGGGGAAACGGGCAAGACAACAGTCACAGGTGGGATTATAATAATGTACTCAATCGACTTTCTGTACTTTCTCACAAGATATCAGATTGATTTTCTGTTCTGTATTATATTGGTGTTCTGTATTGGTGGTTTTAAAAGTTCAAAACAGTAATCTTATCTATGGACATACACTACTGGACAATGAAATATCATATTTGAAAAAAGATCGTCACTTTCGCACGTCTGTAACTCCCTTGTCTTTGCCGTATTTCTAAATATTAATATTACCATTGTGTAGCCCTTGAAAAGAGCTTTCAGAAAATGTATAACACTAATAGTTTAAACTCAAAGACAAGGGAGTTACGTCCCGCGAAAGTGACGATCGTTTTTCAAATATGATATTTCATTGTCCAATACTGTAAATCTAACCTTGTTGATCATAAAATTGCTTTGAAATAATCTTAGTCTTGTCATTCTTCAAATCTTCAAGAAAACTTGTCAATGTGTCAATGTTTCGAGATTTTAAATCAGCTCAAAAAAAAGTGCTCAAGAGATCTCTCAAAATGGGGGTGGAAGGGGGTTTTTGCAATTTTCTCCCCTCGGAGGGTCGTCCCAAAGTTTTGTGTGGCCTGGATGGATGGGGAAAAGATCGGGAAAGGAAAGGGGGCGTTTCACTAGCCCCAATTACGTCCCTTTCTCTCACCCCCATCTCTTCCCTTCCCTTCCTCACCCCTCAGATCTTTTCCTTCTTCAAGCTTCTAGTCTGCTCACAAAACTCCATATTATCATACTGAAATCTTTTAAGCTAAAGGCCTAAAAGAATTCTAAAGCTTTCTGAGTTGAACTTGAACCAAATTAACCTGATTTGATAAAGTTTTTCTAATCCACTTCTTCTTTATCGACTTGTAACTTGAATCTTCAGGCTTAAGCCAGACTTGAGCTAAGATAAGCCACAAATCTACAGAACTAATTCAACCCCAACTTGCCCAACTTTTTAAAACTCCTTTGCTAACTCTACCTAGTTATGCATTTACTTTTAGAGTTCTAACCAATAGATCTCAATTTAATTCTTTACCTAATTATCTAACAGGTTAGTTCTAAAGCTGTTGCCAATCTATGTTTTGATTTTGATCTATATTTTGATATTTTGACGAGTTTTTCATTCGATAACCAAGATTTTTATTCGATTTTCATTCGATTTTCATTCGATAACCTCTCCCCTTTCTCTCATTTCATTCATTCCTCGCCATTGCCCATTTCACTGAATTCTTTATGCGCAAATCTTTACTCGAAGCCTCACCACCCCTTTTCTTTCTTTTTTTTCCTGAATCAATTCCATTTGCAGGTGTAAATGATTTTGATTCTTTTTAATTTTGCTAGAATTAGAACTCTGTCTTTATGGGTTTTAGATTTGGTCAGAAAAGTGGTCAAGGTCCCCAAAGGTATCGAATGGGAGAGATCGCGTGGCTTTCTCTCCATTCTCACTGAATAGCCATTATTCCATCTTTTCACTTATAGAATCTCTTAAAAGAATGGGAGGAGGTCTGGCTAGGATTGGCAAAAGAGTCAAATTCGAAAAAAGTCAAGTCCAAGGCAAGCCAAATCTCCAGTTTCCAACTCCAGGCCTTTAGTTTAACTTTGCTTGACTTTCGCTTTTGGCTTTTTTCCTGGCCTTGGACCTGGGCTTTTCCCTCCCAATAGGTCCCCCACCCATATTGGTTTTTGTCATCGTGAACTGCTTTCCCTTTCCTCTTTTTGCCATTCTTCCACCCTATTCTCAATGTTTTGTGAGTTCTCTTGGGGATTCATCTCGCGTTCGCTTCTTCCTCGTTCTTGTTTCCCCATAGCCAATTTCTTGTCCTCAGTTCTTAAGACTAAAATTTAAGTGACAATCGTTTAATAACTAATCAAATCGATTTCCCAGAATGCTAAAAAGTGCTCGAGCTTTCAGATTCGTCTAATTGTCGTCTAGAAAGTACTCTAATTCCTTTCTCTTTTCCTCAAAGAGACACCCACCTATTTCCTTATTCTCCCCATGATTTGCATAATTTCTTGAGAAACGGATCGGCTAACCAGTGCTAAACGTTGAAAAAAAAGCAGAAAATGATGTGGCTAAGATCAATGATCGTTTGACGTAAACTGATGAATGAAATCAAAAGATGAATGAGTTGAAGAAATCTCAATAACTTGAGCTGCAGTTAAACGTCATAGATCGTTCTTAATGCAAATTTATCTGTGTAGAGCACTTGGTACTTTGGAAATAAAATTCCCATTTAAGTAAGTTTCTAAATTTGCATTAAGATTGCCTGTACAATGTCATGCAATGAAAGTTTACCCAAAAATCTTCAATACGATCTGCAGATCGTTTTTCCCACCTCGAAACGATCCAAGCTTTATTGTAACATAATAAAAGGAAGAAAGAGAAAGTGAAAAGACGAAGAAGAGAATAGAAAAATCTTCATTCATACACATAGGCAAAAGAAGAAGAGTCGACGGATTTCTCGGGAGGGATGGAGGGGAGGGGATGGAGGCGAGAAGGCCTTGTTGGCGGCTCTAATCAAATCTTCCCCTCCCCCTCACAACCATACCTCGAACGTCCTTCCCCTCTCCCTATTTCTCTTGCTTTTCCTCCCAACACCTTCTCGTTAGTCAGGTATTCAGCAGCAAGATTTCCTCTGTACAGTATGGCTTTTGTTTAGGTAAAGATACTGTTTCAACTATTTTTATGCTGTAATTCGTTCTATAACTTTTCCGTCTAACCTACTACCTTTTTAATAAGCTAGATTACTTTTACTGTTCATTTAGCTATTTAGCTATTTTGCTATGCATCTATACAGCTATACAGCTATACATTTCTCGTTTTGCAAAGTCCTTGTTTATTTTAATAGATTTTTGGTGATAAAAACATTTTTTGGCTTGGTTGCCGTTTTAAACCCTATCTATGTTAGCTGTAAATTTGAAAATTTATTGCTAAAAGCATTCTGGAATAGAGAATCTGAATCCGTTATTAGTTTTTTCAGCAAATTGAATTTCCGAGCCAATACCTTTATCACAAAACTCTCTAAAAACTTGGGTAATTAAAACAAATAAAATATCCAAAAATAGAGCAGTTTTCTTTAAAAATCAACTACGGATTCGGATTCCTTGACCTCGAAAACCCCTAGTGCAAATTTTTAGCCCAATCGGCCTCAAAAGTGCTAAATCCATTCCATTCCAATCCAATTCAGTTCAGACATGGACTGAATTGGATTGAAATGGATTGGAATGGATTGGAAATGCCTTTATTAAAGTAATCTTACTGTTTTTTTTTATAATTTTAAGTATATTTCGAAGTTCTTAACTTCAATTTGATTCCTTTTTGACTCATAAAATTATTTTCTTCACTTCTTTATCTTTTCAAGTCATTGATCAGCTCGGCCTTACAAATTTTAAAGCGTCAAATCTTTAACCCAAAACATCATTCATTAGGATCTATCTATAGTCAACTATCTATAGCCAGATATACAGCTATTCATTTATGCATTTATTCTCAATATTTACAAAATTTTCAAAAGTTAACCATTTTTCAGGAGATGCAACGCAGCGGCATTGGAACAACGATTGGAGGCGGTGGGGTCGGTCCACAGTCGCCGTATGGGAGTGCCTATTCGAGTGGGTAAACAACTAGATAATAAGTAAACAAGTGGATAAACAAGTTAGTTAACTGTTCTTTTTTTTTCATCATCACTAGCTTTGACTTGACCTGAGAATTCAGGCAAGCCAATGAATTCAATTCATTTCCTAAGAATTCAGTCTAAAAAGCTTTGCTTTTGTTAATTTGGAATATAGTAAGTCTTGATCTAGTTGCCAGGGTTGACAAGGTAGACCAGAATTCTTTCATTCTGCTCTGGCTTGACTCCAGACTGATTCTGGCTTGACATATCAACTCTAGGCAGTGGCGTCAATATGCGAGCCGGGATGAGTTTGCCAAATGGGGACCTCGTCGGCCGATCGCAGAGGTTTGTTCGCTTAATTTTCTAATATTCAAATCATGTATAATTAATTTGATGAAAAAATTCTTTAGATTTTCCGACCCGGATCCCTTGGATACGGTGTCGCGAACGGCGCGAGTGATTCCCTCAAAAATCTGCTCGACGTCGATGCGAAGAGCTGACAGTTTCGGCACTCAACCTATACAATCTGTGGTTTGTTCGATACAATTTGAATATAGAATATAATTAGATTCATCTTCCATATAGAATATAATTAAATGAATTTAAAGATTGAATGTTTAAATGACAATTTTCAGGGCTTAACGCTACCGCGCTCATCCACGGCCGTCCCACCACCCGACCCATTGAGGGATACGATTGATCCGCTAAGGTTTGAGAATGGGATATTGATTTGATAACAGAAATATCGATTACTACAATAATCAAATACTGTTTTCATTTCCAGAGACCCACGCGAGCCACTTTCCGCTCGTGAGCCATTAATGCGAAGCGGGTGTTCCCCAGTGATGCCTCGATCAGCCCGTCAACCTCTCCCCACAGCCACCTATGACACGAGAAGCAATAGTCTACCAAGGAGAAGGCAAATAACAAAAAAAATATTCAATCTTAAAGCCTGCAATACTTTAAAAATCATATCGAAACTCTTTCAGAGCAATCTCCGGTCCTCGAAATGTAAAGTGGCGCCCCGATGTGGTGACTGATCTCGGCGAGGAGTCAGGTAACTTTAAAAATATATAATCTCATCTTATATTCATATTTTACAATATTAACTATCGAATTAAATTCGAAAAATCTCATCTTTTGAATCATAGTTAAAGAAATTGAAATCATTTTTTCTAGATGGAGCCACCTCTGCTCCGGAATTCGGCGGCTATTCAACGCGATATTCGAATCGTTCGTTTTCTAACAAAATCAATATTTCTCTGACTTTTTAAACTCTTAAAACAAAAAGCTCCTATTATCTGAAAGAGAAAAGGGATTCGGAATTCTTAGAGAAAAAGAATTTTTTCCTTCCTTGAAAGTTTCCGGAAAACGCTAAATGAGGCCAAATGAATGGGGAAAAGTTCTTAGGCTTTTTAGCGTTTTCCCCCCAAAAAAAAACCCTCGTTTCATTTAGCCCGGCTTTCTCCTGGTTTAGGGATTCAAAAGGAAAATTCAAAGCTTTGAGCGTTTTTTGTGATGAAACAATTGTAGATTAAGCAATAGGCTAATAAAAAAGGATCTTTTCCAATCAATGCAACATGCCCTGGATGGAGAGCACTTCCAAAATGTAGAAGGCCTCAAAAGGTGGCTCCAAGCCTATTTTGACTTGAATAAATATTGTTTTGAATTTAGGATCAAGACTTAGTTTACAATCTAATACAAATGCTCAAAGCCTACTTTCTTGTTATACCAACGTCTCAACAAATTCAGGTCAATAAATCTTTTGGCTTAATTTTATGCCAGCTTTATTGTAAAGCTCTGAATGATAACTACTTGTCAAGTAATATATTCGATTATTGATCTCAATACAATTTGTAGGATTTCTTTATTAAATGACGGTGCTTTGTTCATTTCTAAACAAGCAAAGTGATGAGTTCTCTTTAAGAACCAAGTGATGCGTTCTCTTTCCACCAAAATCACTTGCTAAATTTCTCTCGAAGTTTGATTTTCTTTCGAATTCAAGAACTTTGACTTTTGAATTGGGTATCAAAAAAAAAAATAGTGACTTTTCTTAGATTTCTAGTCACTCTTTTCTTTCTTCCTCACCCTAAACTCTTCCAATCCATTGCCCTAATGCCTTTTGGCAGATCGCAAATGAAGTAACGTGAATTTCGTCTTTCCTAAAAATATATTCATTTACACGAATAATTTGATATAAACAATACAAAAGCACAATCCTTAAGCCCTAAAAATATAGAAAAAAAAAACCATATATGAGAAAAAGAACGAATAATCTAGCCGCGGGATTGAACCGTTGACCTCCCGTTGAACGGTTGACCTTCCAACTAAGATAAAGGACGCTTAGCCAGTTGGCTATGCTCTTTGAACGCAACAAAACTGAGTAGTTCTCTTTACAGAAATGAGTATTTCATTTTTTATAGTACATTTTTTCAAATTCAATGCACTTTATTGGTGAATCAATGTTGCAAATTAATCAAAGCCATATGGTTGGTGGGTGAAGAGAAAGGAGCACTTGACCAACGGGATTTTCCCGCAAAAAAAAAAGTTGGCCACCGAAAAACAGGGATTGTCATTTGAGAATAGATTAATACTAATCGAAAAATCAATAAGAATAGCGACTTTTTTTTTTCAGCACTCCGATTAGCGAACGGTGGCGCAGCAGTGGGGCGAACGGTGAACGAGCTTTTCTCCGGTGGAGAGCACAGACATTGGGCCGATTTGAGGCAACAGGTGAGCATTTCGACTATGTTCAGCATTCTATCGAACATCTTCAGCAATACCTACAAGCCAACTATCCGAATCCGCAAATCTACGCCGGACAGAACTACCAAAATGTTCAGTTGACCACGCCCGGCTACGCGCTGCCCCCGATGGGAGTGCCGATCGTTGGTGGAAGGTTCGAATGATTGCCCTTTTTCCGAGAAAATCCTGGGTTGGCGCTTTAACGCGTGGTAAAACTACCGTAGCCCTCCTAATTTGCAGGTGTAAAAGAAAGTGCGCAATTTCAGGGGGTGGGACAAATGCGACCTTTTTTTGCGCACCTGGACATTTGCGCACCTTTTTTTTGCTGGAAAAGGCTTTAGGAAAGGCCGTAGAGCTTCGAAAATATTTTCATATAAGGGAATCGTATGCGTAGATTCCGAATTTTGACAAATCAGACCTCGCTGACACGTCAAATTTGGGCTAAAAGGCAAAAACTAAGCAACTTAACGCTTTTCCGCAGTTTTTGCCTTTTAGCCCAAATTTGACGTGTCAGCGAGGTCTGATTTGTCGAAATTCGGAATCTACGCATACGATTCCCTTCTATGGAAATATTTTCGAAGCTCTACGGCCTTGCCTAAGGCCTTTTCCAGCAAAAAAAAGGTGCGCAAATGTCCGGGTGCGCAAAAAAAGAATGAAATTGCGCACTTTCTTTTACACCTGCAAATTAGGAGGGGTACGGTAGTTTTACCATGCTTTAAAGCGCCAACCCAAGATTTTCTCGGAAAAAGGTCGCAAGTGAATGATTAATTCTACAAAGTTACTAAATTTAAACTAAATAATTTATTTGACCAGCTTTCATTATCTGATTATTATCTGATTCATTATCTAATTTCATTATCATTATCTGACCAAGTTTCAAAATTGTTATCAATATTCTTTATTCAGATGGTCTCAACCGGCCGATCTGCGTGGTGGGACGAGATCTTGTTCATTGCCGAGCCGAAGTCTCGTCACGAGCTCACTCGTCGGAAGCCCGCAACCGATGAGAAGAGAGCCGAATGTGCTTGATCGGTGAGAGATTTGACAAATTTACTTTAGTACTTGAGATTAGGGATTTGTCGAACTAGTTTGCCCAGTTGAGCAGTGATCTAATAGCTCAGTCGGCCTAGGACAGGTATCGGACCTGATCTGGCTGGACGTAAACGGAATTTTTGGATGACTAGCTAAAATTAGTGTTGACTTGTAAATGAGTTGACTGATTTTGATCGGTTATCGGACATTTGATACGCGCCCCGCCCCTTTTGCCATTGAAAATCTAACTTTGAGCTCAAATATCTTGGTGTTGGATTTTCTAATTTAAATATTCTTGGTATCATTGGATGCGCCAAGTCTTTCTCTGTCGATTGGTATAAAAAGCTATTTAAATTGGACAGCCAAACACCAAGATATTTGAGCTTAAAGTTGGATTGCGAAAAATAATATCGTTTTGCGAATTCCCCGACCCCGAAAACCCCCTATACAAATTTTCAGTTTGATCTGATCCACCGGTGGGTCAGATCGTCACGAATGTGTTCATTTGCATTTGAAGACAAACTTCTTGAAAAAAACTACTTTCATTCATAATCGGCTAGCCGGTTATGATTTTCGCTAGCGAAATCATTTGATTCATAATCGATTATGACATCTAATCATTTAGATATCACGTATCTCCGCTAATGAATCGACGGGCGCCGCTTCGACCAGCCGGCCCTGGAATCAATGTGGATCGATTGAACGTGAACTCACTGACGGGGATTCTTTTTGTTCAAGTGAGTTTGAAACTTTAAAACTAGAAGATTTTATTAAGATATATTTCTTTGAAAGCTCATCTTTCAGATCCTCGAGGGACGAGGACTGAAGATTCCCGACAAGCAACGAGCTGTTACTGAGGAGATGTACTGTGTGCTGGAGGTGAGTTTCTTACTGCAGTCTTTACAACAAATACATTACCCTAGATGTACAATGTGCTATCAGTACATCTTTTCTTTTAAGGCAAATCTTTTAAGGCAATTTTAAGGCATCTTTTGAATACCTTTAAGGCAAATTGCTATAGGCTAAACTATAAAGGAACTATAAAGGAACTATAAAAGAACTATAAAAGGAACTATAAAGGAACTGAAGAAGAACTATAAAGGAACTATAAAGGAAATAAATAGGAACTGAAAGGAACTATAAAGGAACTAAAAAGGAAGGCTCGTAGCCAGGATTTCGGTGTTTTTTTTCGAGAATCACTAGAGCTTCGTTCAGAAGCACCCAATTAATTTACACCCAAAGAAAAAAATATAGCAAAATCTTTAGGCTACATCATGACTATAATGAAATTTTTCTAAAGTAAGATTCCTTGGAAAAAAAATTTGAAAAATGGTGAAGCTTTAGAGGGTAGGGGGGGGGACAGAGGCTTTAGACCCTTAGCCGTTATCCAGTAAACTTCTAACTGCCACCAATCGATTCTCCATGTTGGTTTACATAGGATGTGTGAAATAAAAATCCCATTTAAAGCTTGTGGAGCGAGCTAGAGGAGCCCAAAGTTGGATTGTCACGAATTTTTTTGCGTCTCTGCTCTTTCCGCTTGAATTTCATGTTAGAAAAATTTGATTGTAACCATGATGTAGCCTGAAAATTTTGCTAAATTTTCTTCTTTTGGTGTAAATTGATTAAGCGCTTCTGAACGAAGCTCTAATAATTTTCCCGAAAACACCGAAATCCTGTCCTGGGCTTTTCAGCAAAAGTTTTGAGCTCAATCCGCGAGTTGACTTAAATACGAAATGCTTGACACATTACATCTTGATCTTGATCTAAATATCAAAATTCTAGGTGGATGAGTGTCACCGAGCGCGCACCGGCGTCTCCACATCCGAGCAAAGATACCGTTGGCGAGAAACCTTTCACATCGACGTTCACAACGCGACCATCACGCATTTCTTCATCTACAGTTGGCATCCACAATACCGGTGAACAGAAAATAGATAACGTTTTCAATTTATCCGATTTAGGCACAAACTTTGTCACAAGGGTTCACTAAAACTCTTGGAGGCGTTCGTCGTCGATCAACTGAATGGGGATCGCATTTTCGCGCTCTCCTTGGAGCCACGGGGACAATTGATCGTGCGGATAGGTAGGTGCCAAAATGTATTCAAATATATAGCAAAAGATATGCTATTTACTACTATGTACTGTATATATATATCAAAAGCTTCATATGGTTTATATGACAAATTTTCTCAGGTTTTCACGATATGGACACCGTTTTCCGGCGCCAGGTCAACACCAGAAGTGACGCGTGAGTTTTAGGCTCAAATTTGATTGTAAAGGTGCTAAATCTAAACAAAAAATACTATAAAATTAAAAAAAATCTCGACTTTTAGAGCATTCGGCGTTCCCTTATCGAGACTCGTACAGCGAGAGCGTCGTGAAACCCCAGTCGTCCTCTCACGTCTCATCCAAGAGCTTGAGCGACGAGGCGTCGATTATACTGGACTCTATATTTGTGAGTTAATAGAATCCACTTACTTTTGTGCTTGATTTTCAAAAATGGAGAATAGAAAATGAAGCCAGCTTACTATTGAGGCCATTGAGGAGTTTCGTTGCAGGCTTAAATAACCTTAGAACATCGAGATTGTTTCAGCTTTGTTGAGCAGTTAACCTCGACAAGTCAGAGCCACAGTTATCGTTAAATTTAAATCGGAAACTTGAGCCTAGGCTTTTTTCGCAAACTCTTAAATATAGATTTAGCAAAAAAACTTGCTATCAGCCATTTTGAGACTTTATAATACAATGTAATCTGGAAAGATCACTGTAATGATTGATACATTGAATCGATTTCTAAACCTAATTTCAGTGTGTGGATCGGTGGAGAAGAAACGAGTGCTGAGAGATGAGCTCGAGTGTTCTCCATTTGGTACCGATCTCGGCATTGACAGTGTTCCCGATACGAATGTGCTCGCGTGTCTCATCAAGGTGATCAAAGAATATTCACAAGTAGATATGGATTTACTTTAGAATATAGAAATATAATTCTTGCTCTTGCTTGAGAATTTGACTCGATCCATGGTTTATAAACTATTAGTTATTTGCCGGTAAACGTTACTTTGAGCATCAATCTAGCTCTAGCTCCAGCTCTAGCAGTTAACCTAGATCAGTTCTAGATTTAATTCAAAAACATTCCCAACATTGACATTCTCTTTAGGATTTTCTGCGTGAACTACCCGAACCATTGGTTCCCCTTCAAATCCACTCAATGTTGTTGGATGCGGCGGCGGTGATGCGACCGAATGATGTGCAAGACACGAGGAATCTCGTCCTATCCGTCATCGATTGCCTCCCAACTCCGAACAAGGTAACAGACCCAAAGAACATGCAAAAACTTGTCTATTCTCATCAGAAAATGATTCCATTTCGATTTCTAACGATTTTTGTGACCCCACCGATTCCAAATCCGTACTCATAAAATGCAAAAATTGTGACCGGAGCATGAAACAATGCTTCTACGAAGAAGGACACTGTGATTAAATCCGATCTTTGCTCACTTTTGCCGCTCTTGATTTGCGGGACCCCTATTTGACGTTGTCCCAATGCCCGAGCGGCCCAAGGGGGAGTCGAACCCCGGTCGTGTGACTGAGAGGCCACAACGCTAACCACTTGACCACAAATGCAATGAACAGGAGGAGGCGAGAAGAGGATTAAAAACTTCGGGTTCACTGTAAATTGTTGGAAAATAGATTTTCTAGGGCTTAAGTACTCAAATATTATCAAGAGAAAACTTAAAAATCTACTTTTTCTTTAAAAAAAAATACTTTAACTTTAATTTTCATAGCATAATTTTGAGTTTCAATTTTGAAAAACTTTTTGAATTTGTTCATTTATTTGTTTGTTTATTTGTTTGTTTACAAATTTTCTTTTCCAGAACACATTGATCATGGTGATGGATCACTTGATGCTTTGTTTGACTTCGTCACCTCATAATGGACTCTCACAAACTCGATTAGCCACAATTTTCGCGCCACTTCTCCTTTGCACCACCGATCCGCCACCAATTCAGGTAATTAATCAATTTTTCATACAAATTTATAGTTCTTAATTAACTTATAGTTAGAAATACTTTGTTCTAAGCAAGGTTCTTCTAAAAAAAACAAAAAAAAACCAAAAAACCAGATTGTAACGGTTGTAAAGTCAAGCGGCCTATCTTTTATTATTGAATACTGTCAGAAAAGTGATACTGTCTATAAGAAACAATCTTTTGAGTGACACTCTCTATAAGAAACTATCTTTTGAGTGACGCTATCTATAAGAAACAATCTTTTGAGTGACACTCTCTATTAGAAACAATCTTTTGAGTGACACTGTCTATAAGAAACTATCATTTATTCCAGAATACTGTCAGAAAAGTGAAATTTTCTCCTAGGTTCTCTATTCAATCACATTAGACTATCTATTTTAAGGCTCTAATCAAGTCTATTTTAAGGCTGAATATCTCTTTTTTAAAATTAAAGCCAGAAATACTTTGTTCTAACCAAGGTTCTTCCAAGAAAAAACCAAAAAAACCAGATTGTAACGGTTGTAAAGTCAAGCGGACTATCTTTTATTATTGAATACTGTCAGAAAAGTGATACTGTCTATAAGAAACAATCTTTTGAGTGACGTTCTCTATAAGAAACTATCATTTATTCCAGAATACTGTCAGAAAAGTGATACTGTCTATAAGAAACAATCTTTTGAGTGACGCTCTCTATAAGAAAGAATCTTTTGCGTGACACTGTCTATAAGAAACAATCTTTTGCGTGACGCTCTCTATAAGAAACGATCTTTTGAGTGACACTCTCTATAAGAAACAATCTTTTGAGTGATACTGTCTATAAGAAACAATCTTTTAAGTGACACTGTCTATAAGAAACTATCATTTATTCCAGAATACTGTCAGAAAAGTGATACTGTCTATAAGAAACAATCTTTTGAGTGACACTATAAGTATAATATATTCCTAAATATAAGATAAATAGGAAAATAAAAGTAAATTACGAATAAAGATCAGGATAATTTAAAGTTTAAAGTTTAAACTTTAAACTGTTTTCACAAAACTTTTATTAGATTCTTTTATAGATTCTTTTATAGATTCATTTTAAACCTTTTATTTATCATTTTTTGACTTTTCTTATTTTGAAATTCCAAATTTTCTTCACCAAATTAACTTTTTTTTTTTTGAGAGAATAGAGAAAAGTTGAACAAACAAACAAACAAACAAAAGAATAAACAAAAAGAATGAACAAAAGTCTTTGTGATCGATTTGAGAGAGGAAAAGAACGAGTTCTCGAAAATGTTTTAATGGAAAGAGAAAGAGAAATGGGAAAAGTAAAAACAAAAGCACAGAAATACTCTTTTCTTCTTTCTTTCTTTCTTTCTTTCTTCCTTTCTTTCTTCCTTTCTTCTTCCCCTTCTCTTTCCTTCTTTCTCAATGTTCAATGATCAACAAGGCAAAAAGTGAGCATAATGTTTGAACTTTTTTGTAGTTGTCAGTAAATCATTTTTTGCAAAAATCGATGTCAACAAGTACACTTAAAGTTAAGATAATGCCTAATTAAGATTTATGCACATATTTCCTTCTTTCCTTCTTCCTTTCTTCCTTTCTTTCCTTCCTTCTTCCTTCTCCCTTTCTTTCTTCCTTCCTTCCTTCCTTCTTCCTTTCTTTCTTCCTTCCTTTCTTCATCCCACTTGTCTTTCCCTTTTTCTCTTGACAAGTTAAGGTACCGGATAGCTCAATGGTTTAGAACAATTGCCCGGAAAGTAAAAGTTAGCAAAAGGTCGAGGGTTTCAATCCCCTCTCCAGAAATCTACTTTTTCTTACCAATTCCTTCACTTCTTTATACGGATCTCTATTAAGCTAGATGTACGGAGGTTGAACTCAAAAGATTTTAGTTGAATTTAAAACAAAATATGATGAAAGAAAAGAAAGATGAAAGAAAATTGCGAAAAAATGAAACAAAATATGTCTAAAGTCAGTCAAAATATGTCTAAAGAACCAACATATTTATTTTTTCGTTTTTACAATTTTCCATTAAACTTAACAAATGGGAAATTCAAATATGACACTGATATTTTTGAGAAACTGTATTCTGTATTCTGGAATAAATGATAGTTTCTTATAGACAGTGTCACGCAAAAGATTGTTTCTTATAGAGAGGGTCACTCAAAAGATTGTTTCTTCTAGAGAGCGTCACTCAAAAGATTGTTTCTTATAGAGAGTGTCACTCAAAAGATTGTTTCTTATAGAGAGGGTCACTCAAAAGATTGTTTCTTCTAGAGAGCGTCACTCAAAAGATTGTTTCTTATAGAGAGCGTCACTCAAAAGATTGTTTCTTCTAGAGCAGCGTCACTCAAAAGATTGTTTCTTCTAGAGAGCGTCACTCAAAAGATTGTTTCTTTCTCAGATCAAAACAATTTGCCTGTTAGTCTTGTTAGTTTTATCAATCTTCAAGTTCTTAAAGCTTCATTAAATCATTCGCATTGATCAAATCAAATCAAATTATTTTTTTGTTCAAGTTAAACCAAAAAGTTTTTGGATGAACTTTTGGATGAACGATTTTCATTTAAAAAAGTTCTAATCTACCCAATTGATCCTAGAAAAGCTCCAAAATTTCCCCCAAAACAACGTAGAATGAATCCCTCCTTTTTTTTCTGATCCCTCCTTTTTTTCTGATCAATTTTTCAGATTAATTTTTCTGATCCCTCCTTTTCTGAGGCAAAAAAATTAAGTTCAATCTATCTATTTGATTCCCTCACTTTGAAATTTCCCTCTCAAATCTCTTTCCTTGTAGTCCACCAAGCATCCACCAAGCAAATATCTCCTCAAACGATCTCAATTTCCAATTCTCTTTCGTCGAAAATACTCAAAGTACTTGAGATTTTTGATAAAAGGTACGATTAGAGTTTGGGGTGGATTTGAGAGATCCCGGATAGATCCAAAAGTGAATCTCATTAAAAAAAAAAAAAGAAAAACAAGAGAGAAAGTCGATTTATATCACAAAAATCTTCTCGTTTTGAGAGAAAATTGGATACACTAGCATTCTCTCACTTGTTTTGTTTTTTTTCTTTTGAAAGGAGAAAGTGAGACCGAAAATTTTCAGTAGAAGAAGAAGAAGAAAGCGATAAGATTTTCTCATACGCAACAACAAGGCTTACCAGTTTAATGGAAAAGTTGATATCAATTGAAAAATTTGATAAGTGATGAAATTGAGAGAGATTTTCGGTGAGATTTTCGCTGGTGAGCGGTGAGCTTTCGCTGGTGAGCTTTCGCTGGTGAGCTTTCGCTGGTGAGCTTTCGCTGGTGAGCGCTTTTCATTCAATGATGGCTTACTATTAGAGCTCTTTCTTCAACACAAGAGCTTTCGTTTTCAAAAAACAAGTTAATGGAAAAAGATATTCAATTGGCAGTTAGCCACCTCTCAATCGTTTTCGAAAACCTCTCGAAAACAATCGTAACTTTGGAATTAGATTTAATTAGAGCTACGGTAGCTTGTTTTTTCTTTTGTTTTTAAACCCAGGCTACGGTAGCTTGTTTTCGAGAGGTTTAGAAAACGATTGAAAGGTGGCTTACTGTCCATTAAGCTTAAGCTTGTTCTAAAAATTGTCAACTTTCTCTTTCTACCTCTAGCTTTTATCAAATCTATTCAATTTTTATATCTTTTGATATTGAATCTTCAGAGAATCAGAAAAAAAAGTAGTGATTAGATAAAAGCTAGAGTTAACAATATGAAGATTGAAAAGATAAGATGAAAAGATGAAAAGACAAATGAAAAGACAATTGAAAAGACAATTGAAAAGACAATTGAAAAGACAATGGAAAAGATAACATATTTTCGAAAACATATTGTTTCTTATAGACAGTAACACTTTTCTGACAGTATTCTGGAATAAATGATAGTTTCTTATAGAGAACGTCACTCAAAAGATTGTTTCTTATAGACAGTGTCACTCAAAAGATTGTTTCTTCTAGAGAACGTCACTCAAAAGATTGTTTCTTATAGACAGTAACACTTTTCTGACAGTATTCTGGAATAAATGATAGTTCCTTATAGACAGTGTCACTTAAAAGATTGTTTCTTATAGACAGTATCACTCAAAAGATTGTTTCTTATAGAGAGTGTCACTCAAAAGATCGTTTCTTATAGAGAGCGTCACGCAAAAGATTGTTTCTTATAGACAGTGTCACGCAAAAGATTCTTTCTTATAGAGAGTGTCACACAAAAGATTGTTTCTTATAGACAGTATCACTTTTCTGACAGTATTCTGGAATAAATGATAGTTTCTTATAGAGAACGTCACTCAAAAGATTGTTTCTTATAGACAGTGTCACTCAAAAGATTGTTTCTTCTAGAGAGCGTCACTCAAAAGATTGTTTCTTATAGACAGTAACACTTTTCTGACAGTATTCTAGAAGAAAAGATAGTCCGCTTGACTTTACAACCGTTACAATCTGGTTTTTTTGATTTTTTCTTGGAAGAACCTTGGTTAGAACAAAGTATTTCTGGCTTTAATTTAAAAAAAGAGATATTCAGCCTTAAAATAGACTTGATTGGAGCCTTAAAATAGATATTCTATTGTGATTGAATAGAGAACCTAGGAGAAAATTTCATGTATTTGAATTTGAATTTGAATTTGAATAGACTAGAATTAAAAAGCCATCCCCTACAGACTTTCGAGAACAAAATCTCTTCATTTTCCTAGAGCAAAAGATTGAGATGACCGTGAAAATCTTCAAAGTTCCGGTTGTTTTGCCATTTTGACAAAAAAAAACGATGCGCCGATCCTGGCGGAGAAAATTTCATCACCGCTAGCATTAAAGAAAAGCCAGTTCCACAAATGTAGAAGAAAAAACAGCAAAGCCAGTTCCACAAATGTAGACCGATTCAAAAGATTGATGAAAATGGCAGTTGAAAAGCGGAAATGGAAACAAAAGTTGATTTGATAGATTCTTAAACATTTCAGCCATCCTACTCGGCGACTGGAGGCCCAAAAGAGTTGGTTCGACCACTAGATGTCACACAGGCTTCAGCCACTCTGCAACTCCTTTTCGATTTGTGGCCAAGCAGAGTCAGTAAGTTCTGAACAAAAGTTGTTTTCAAGGATGATAGCTTTATCGTTTGTTGGTATTTATAGCTTGAGCATAATGCTTTTTCGTTTGAATAGCTTTAAATAAAAGCTAAATAAAAGATATTCAGTCTTGAAAGAAAGCAATTAATCAAGAAAGACAAGAAAAACGATTTTTCAAAAAATCACTCAAGTAAAATATGCTTTGTTTAACGTAATCTAAGATCTACAAGTTAAGTATTTAGTGTTACAGTAAGCTTTACGGTAACTAAGTACAGTTAGACTACATTAGCTGGATTAGTTAACTGGACTAGTTAACTGGACTAGTTAGCTGGACTAGTTAGCTGGACTAGTTAGCTGGATTAGTTAGCTGGATTAGTTAGCTGGACTAGTTAGCTGAGTATAGCTCTAAGTATTCAAGTACTTCAAAAAGAACTCATTTTTCAATTTAAAGCACATTATTTCTGCTAAATTCGTGAACTTTAACATAAAAGAATTCTTGAATTTGAAAGATAAATAAGAATTTTTATATAATATTCTATTTTTAGACGGAGACAGTTCGAGCGGGAGTAGCGCCACGCCGACGCGAGCCCTCGCGGCCGCCTATGCTGCGCTCGCTGCGGAATCAAAGTGTTGAATGACACAGAAGAAAAAAACACGAAAATCAAAGCTTTAATCAAGATTTTCTATGGATATCTAATCAATCAAATTTGAGTATTTCTTGAATATCCCAGCATTCTAGAGCTGGGAATTTGAACTATTGGGTTGGTGAATTGAAAACTGCCATTGAAAACTGCCATTGAACTAAAATTTATTCAACATAAAACCATGAATTCATTCCAAAATAATTTCCATTATTATTGACGACTTTTGCCCATTTTACAGGCAATTTGCGGATTCCTCTTTCGTTGTAGGATTTTTGTGTTAATGAAAATTAACAAATGCCATTCCGAGGAAATGTATAGATGGGTAAAATTAAGTAGAAAAGTACAAATTTAACATATAAACCACCTAATTAACCGACCAATCGACCAAAATCTGCCCAATCTTTTTGAATAACCTTATTCAGTAGTGTGACTAACAGAAAGGCGCATAAATTCTTTTATTGGGTTGGTGAATTCAAAAATGCCGGACTTTGAACTAAAATTTATTCAACATAAAACCATCAATTCATTCCAAATAATTTCCATTATTATTGACGACTTGTGCCCATTTTACAGGCATTTTGCGGATTCCTCTTTCGTTGTAGGATTTTGGTTTGTGTGTGAGACAAGTGTGAGACTCAAAAATAGAGGACTGGAGATGGAGACTGGGGATCCCAGTTTGAGCACTTTCTTCAAAAGAAACCCATTTTGGTGTCAATAGAAAAGTTGTAGAGAATCAAAAATTAGGCTTATAGCCAAATTTCCAAAAAGATACACTTAGTAGTTTCGCTTAAAATGCAAGTTTTGTGAAAATTCGTAAATTTGGCAATTTCTTGAAAACCGGTTTTTGAATCGTTCTGAAAATTTGGATATAAGCTTCATTTTTGATTCTCTACAACTTTTCTATTGACACCAAAATGGGTTTCTTTTGAAGAAAGTGCTCAAACTGTCACACATGACAATAGCCGGCAGTTTTCAATTCACCAACCCAATAGAATCGTTTTGAAATCCTTTCAAAACCATGTCATTGTGAAATTTTTCTTCCTAATAATAGGCTTTTCGAAGCGTTTTTTTCAATTTCATTCACGGGTTTTCAATTAAACAAAAAAAGAAAACACAAATAACTTATAGATCATGAGAGAAAAGAAAGAATTCCGATAGTTTTTGGAGGACGGGGAAGAACCTGGGAAGAACCTTCTTGGGAAGAACCTGGGAAGAACCTTCTTGGGAAGAACCTTCTTGAGAAGAACCTGGGAAGAACCTTGCCTCTTTTCTTTTCTTTCTTTCTTTTCTCATGATCTTCTCCCCTTGAGCTCATTACGGGTTTTATCTTATTAATTTCTTTCTATTTAGTTTCTAATTTTAAACATATTATTTATTATTTCTTCATCATTTTCACCAAAAAACTTTTTTCCTTCTGCCGTTCAATTTTTACAAACTTTCCCCTCAAACCAAGCAAAAAAAGAAGCACTCATCTCCGTCTTTCAAATTGTTCATTTTCTCGCTTTGTTCTTTTTTTTTTCTTGTCTCAATCAATCCTGCCCTTTTTTTTTCTATGTTTCAACTCTTGCTTGTGTAACATTTTTTTTGCGAGAGAAATTGCCTTTAATGATTTATGCTTGAGAATAAATGTTATTTGATTATTTATTCAATAAAGTGGTATGTTTATTTCTGTACATACACGTGAAAAGAGAACCAGTTTTTGAGATTATTGAGCGATGACTTGTTGGCTTGTTGTTGTGTTGTGAGAAGAGATCAGACACGGTATCCAGAGGCTTCGACCTTTGGCGCCTCAGCAGCGGGAGCGGGTTGTTCAGCTGGGGCTGGGGCTTCCTCCTTTGGTGCCTCAGGAGCTGGCTCAGCGGGTGCAGGAGCTTGATATCCAGCGTCAGCGGGGGCGGCTGGGGCCTCTGGGGCGGGAGTCTCGGCTGGGGCTTCTGGGGCTGGGGCTTCAGGAGCGGGAGTCTCAGCTGGGGCTTCTGGGGCTGGGGCTGGAGCCTCAGGCGCTGGAGCCTCTGGTGCAGGTGCCTCAGGAGCGGCTGGAGCAGCTGGGGTCACGGGCTCATCTCCGTACGAGTTGTCACGCTTCTTGCGGTATCCAGAGGCTTCGACCTTTGGTGCCTCGGCAGCGGGAGCGGGTTGTTCAGCTGGTGCTGGTGCCTCCTCAGCCGGTGCCTCAGTAGCTGGCTCAGCTGGTGCGGGAGCTTGGTATCCAGCATCAGCGGGAGCAGCTGGGGCCTCTGGGGCGGGAGCCTCAGGAGCAGGAGTCTCGGCTGGGGCTTCTGGGGCTGGGGCTTCAGGAGCGGGAGTCTCAGCTGGGGCTTCTGGGGCTGGAGCCTCGGGAGCGGGGGCAGCTGGGGCAACGGGCTCATCTCCATAGCTGTTGTCACGCTTCTTGCGGTATCCAGAGGCTTCGACCTTTGGCGCCTCAGCAGCGGGAGCGGGTTGTTCAGCTGGTGCTGGTGCCTCCTCAGCCGGTGCCTCAGGAGCTGGCTCAGCGGGTGCGGGAGCTTGATATCCGGCGTCAGCTGGAGCAGCTGGGGCCTCTGGGGCGGGAGCCTCAGGAGCAGGAGTCTCGGCTGGGGCTTCTGGGGCTGGGGCTTCAGGAGCGGGAGTCTCAGCTGGGGCTTCTGGGGCTGGGGCTTCTGGTGCAGGAGCTTCTGGAGCAGGAGTCTCAGCTGGTGCAGCTGGGGCCACGGGTTCGTCTCCGTACGAGTTGTCACGCTTCTTGCGATATCCTGAAGCCTCAACTTTCGGTGCCTCGGCGGCAGGGGCTGGCTGCTCTGCGGGTGCTGGTGCTTCCTCAGCTGGGGCTTCGGTGGCTGGCTCGGCGGGGGCTGGGGCTTGATATCCAGCATCAGCGGGAGCAGCTGGGGCCTCTGGAGCGGGTGCTTCGGGAGCAGGAGTCTCAGCGGGAGCAGCCTCTCCTCCAGAAACATCTCCACCAGCGGGTGCAGCGGGCGCAGCGGGCTCTTCGGCAGCCGGGGCAGGGCTTTCCGCTGCCGGCGCAGCAGGTGTCACTGGCTCATCTCCATAACTGTTATCCCTCTTGACAACTGAAATGAAAAAATGAATTTGAGAAGAAAATGAAATCACTTACGAGAACGGGCGTTGGCAATAGCCAAAAGCGCAACGAGACCAAATAGGAGTTTCATGTCGGCCAAAACTAGGCAAAGGATGAGTACGATTTCCTAGGCCGACTCGCCGCCTTTTATAGCAAAACCCAGAGATTTCCACCTCAGTTGGGGTTTTTCAGGGCAACTCTTCGTTTATTTCCATTTCCCAATAGGAAGCTTTGAAACAAAGAAAAGAAAAATGAGAGGAACGCCCACGAAAAAGGAGATATGAGAAAAGGGAAAAGGAGAGGAATTAGCGAGTTCATGACACGTTCGGGAGAGGCTAAGAAAGATGATTTTTCCTAGAGGAAACACTTCTCGAGATTTCTCCCAGATGTGTGAGAAAAAAGGTATCTAGCAGTTGCAGTAGTGTGAATGTTTCTCTCATTGTTTCTGTTATATTTGTTTGTTTTGTTTTGTTTCTGTTGTTTGACTGCTGTAATACTATAAGATTGCTATTTTAGATCTCACTGTTAGCAATTTATTTAAAAAAAATAGAAATCAAGAATAAAGAAGAAGAAGAGAAATGATTCAAAAATGAGACTGACGACTACGCGTCGCTCCAGTTGACACGTACAAAAGACAAGACGAGAGTTAGTGCAAAATAGAAAAGAGTTTTTGGGAATCTTTTCGCAACAATTCATTCAACATTCTTTCTTTTTCATTTTCTTTAGATTGTTTATTTATTATTGTTTATTAGATTGTTTAATGGTTAATAGCTTTACGCTTTAATGTTTAATGTTTAATAGCTTTAATAGCTTAATGTTTAATAGCTTTACTTTGAGCTAATCAATTGAGTAATTGTTTACACAAAACTGGAAAGCACAAACAGGCACATTTAGCACAAAAAGGATTTCGAAGCTTTGCAGTATGAGAAGAGTTGTATTAGTAAATATTAGTTCATTAGCTCAAAGTAAAGCTAACGATGATCAATAAACAATCTAAAGACAATGAAAAAGAAAGAATGTTAATAGTAAAGACAAGGCAAGACCTGGATTCTAGCCTAGATTGCCGAAAATTGTCTCAAAAAAACAACTCAACTAGGCTCGTTTTTTCACTCTGTAAACCCTGGTGGCTCAGATTAAACCACAGCACTAGCCAAAAATGTAGACTTGATCATATAGACTTGATCATATAGACTTGATCATATAGACTTGATCATGTAGACTTGATCATGTAGACTTGATCATGTAGACTTGATCATGTAGACTTGATACTCTCCAATAAAATCCAAATCTTCACTGTGACACAAGTTGCTTAACAAGCCTTAATAGCGGTGTAAACTTTTTGATTCGAAATCTACTCTGGCCCTCCTGATTTGTGTTGAATTCGGATGTTTTTCACAAATCCGATGCTACTATGTGTTTTTGTTTCGTTTTTACTCTCATCAATTCAAAAATTCCCATTGACCATCAAAAAAAGGGAAAGAGCACCGACAAAGAGTGTTTTTTTCAGTGAAAAAAAAAAGGAATGATGGCCGAAATGCGATTGACGTCCCTTTTTCGGCTCGAGCACTGCTAACAGTTTTTTCCCAAGTTGGGCTTCTTTCATTTCGCTTTCTCTCAAAACTCAAGGTCACTCGAAAAATGGAAAATAAGGAAAGGGAAAAGTTTGAAAAAAAAAAGTGAGATTCTTCTCCTTTTTCTCTCATCAATGGTCACTAGGAGATGATGCAAATTTTCAAGGATACTGGTTTATGAGGCGGAAAACTCGGATTTTACTTTTTAAGGGTTTTTTCTGGAAAAATCGAGACCCTTGAGTTTACGTGATAAAAGTTTCCTATGATATCTTCTTTTCCTGAGAGATTTCGGGTGCTTTTTGAGGTGAGAAATGATAGGCATTTTGGATGATTGATAAAAGTGCGGTTGGGGGGAAATTTGTGATCAATTTGCTTTAGATCTCTATACTTATGGATTAAGTGAAAGTGTTTAGTTTGGTTTGGTTTGGGAGAAGTGAGTGAAAAGTGTAGAAAGAGCTTTCAATTGGCATCTCAATGTGTATTAGACCTGGCTAAACGTTGGGGGAAATTTGTGATCAATTTGCTTTAAATCTGTACTTCTGGATTAAGTGAAAGTGTTTAGTTTTGTTTGGTTTGGGAGAAGTGAGTGTGAAGAGTGTAGAAAGAGCTTTCAATTGACATCTCAATGGGTATTAGACCTGGCTAGATTGGTGAAAACATTTAAAAAATCAAATGCATGAGACTAGGTTGTTACATTGTTACATTGTTATTGTTATTGTAAAGTGTTATTGTATTGTTAAGCCTACAATTTGATCCAAATACCTTTTTTTGGTAAATAGAATTGCGTAAACAACAAGCAAGAGCTAAGAAATGATTATACTAGATTCTTTTTTTAAACAAAAGCACTGTTCTACAACTCTTGACTCTTGGTAGATAGGGCAGTGATTTTTGAAACGAAAATTTTCATCGTGCGCCTTGCACAACGATTGAGACGAAAAGGACTTGCTAGTCCGATCGGCAGACGCTTTCTTTTCATCTTTTTTTTTCCCTTTTCACTTTGATCATCTCTCGCTTACTCGAGAGCCACAAATGACAGTCTCTGGGTCGGAGCAGCTCACCCAAAAAGTGCTTGGCACCGCCCCACTGCTCGGCCTACTCTTTAAAAGGAGTTGACCAGCCGAAATCTTCACTTGTCAGTCATGAAGTTCCTCTACGTTCTCCTAGCAGTAACTGCCGTTGCGAGCGGACGATACCGTAAGTCCTTCATTAATTTTCATTTATTGCTCATAAACACATTGTCCACTGATACTGTGTTAGTCTAGTGATTAGTGTAACCCTAGCAAACTTGGCTGTTCTCTACGTTTAATTTTATCTTGATTTCAGTCGTCAAGCGTGACAACAGCTATGGAGATGAAGCGGTAGCACCAGCTGCCGCTGCACCAGCACCAGAGGCCCCAGCACCAGCCCCAGAAGCGCCAGCTGCCCCAGCCGGAGACTACCAAGCACCAGCTGCTCCCGAGGCTGCCCCAGCCGAGGAAGCCCCAGCTCCAGCTGAGCAACCCGCCCCTGAAGCCGCCCCAGCACCAGCTGTCGAAGCCTCCGGATACCGCAAGAAGCGTGACAACTCGTACGGAGATGAGGCCGTTGCTCCAGCTCCTGAGGCCCCAGCCCCAGCTCCCGAGGCCCCAGCTCCCGAGGCTCCAGCCGCTGAGGCCCCAGCCGCCCCTGCTGACGCCGGATACCAAGCCCCAGCTGCTGCCCCAGCCGCCCCAGCCGAGGAGGCCCCAGCCCCAGCTGAGCAACCCGCACCAGAAGCTGCCCCTGCTCCAGCTGTCGAGGCTTCCGGATACCGCAAGAAGCGTGACAACTCGTACGGAGATGAGGCCGTTGCTCCAGCTCCTGAGGCTCCTGCTCCAGCCGCTGAAGCCCCAGCTCCAGCCGCCGAGGCCCCAGCTGCTGAGGCCCCAGCCGCCCCCGCTGACGCCGGATACCAAGCCCCAGCTGCTGCCCCAGCCGCCCCAGCCGAGGAGGCCCCAGCCCCAGCTGAGCAACCCGCACCAGAGGCTGCCCCTGCCCCAGCTGTCGAGGCTTCCGGATACCGCAAGAAGCGTGACAACTCGTACGGAGATGAGGCCGTTGCTCCAGCTCCTGAGGCTCCTGCCCCTGAGGCCGCCCCCGCTGCCGAGGAGGCTCCCGCCCCAGCTCCTGAGGCCCCAGCTCCAGCTCCAGAGGAGGCCCCAGCTCCAGCTGAGCAACCCGCCCCTGAAGCCGCCCCAGCCCCAGCCGTCGAAGCCTCCGGATACCGCAAGAAGCGTGACAACTCGTACGGAGATGAGGCCGTTGCTCCAGCTCCTGAGGCCCCAGCTCCCGAGGCCCCAGCTCCCGAGGCTCCAGCCGCTGAGGCCCCAGCCGCCCCCGCTGACGCCGGATACCAAGCCCCAGCTGCTGCCCCAGCCGCCCCAGCCGAGGAGGCCCCAGCCCCAGCTGAGCAACCCGCACCAGAGGCTGCCCCTGCTCCAGCTGTCGAGGCTTCCGGATACCGCAAGAAGCGTGACAACTCGTACGGAGACGAGGCCGTTGCTCCAGCTCCTGAGGCCCCAGCCCCAGCCGCGGAAGCCCCAGCTCCAGCCGCCGAGGCCCCAGCCGCTGAGGCCCCAGCCGCCCCCGCTGACGCCGGATACCAAGCCCCAGCTGCTGCCCCAGCCGCCCCAGCCGAGGAGGCCCCAGCCCCAGCTGAGCAACCCGCACCAGAAGCTGCCCCTGCCCCAGCTGTCGAAGCTTCCGGATACCGCAAGTAGAGGACTCTGACTTGTTTATAAATATTTTTTAATCTACGACACGAAGCTTTCCATGATATGGGTACTTCAATAAAAATTTTCTCATACGTTGTCTTCTTTCTTTCAAATTGCATACCAATCCGAATCACGTATCAGCCTCAAATGCACAGTATTCTAGTTGGATTTAACGTTGAGCATCGGACAAAATAAAAATAAAGAGTAAAAAGTGATAAAAAATTTATTGCTTGCTTGTGTTGCCAAAAAAAACAAGGAGCCGAGATGTGTATTCAATTTATTGTTAGACGAACAAAGCTTCAATAAAGTTTGCTTTTCCCCAGGAAGCTCGTTCGAATGGTCCCGGCCAGCTGTAGGTGTCCCCTTTCTTCTCTAACGAGCAGCATAGATATCGAAACTGCACGAAACTGCAAAAATGCATTTAACCGACCGTACTTTTAGCTTTACAAAACGGGATTTTACCAGAAATATTTGTCAAAAGTGGGCTTTTTATAGTTTTGTTTGCTAAAATGCACTCTTTTGTAATTGTATTTTTAATTTTGTAATTATCCCTCTAATAGAGCCCCACTCCAAGATTTGTTTATTGTTTTTTGTCTTCGTGTACCTGTTTTTTAAATCAAACTAACTTTTCTATTTTATTAAGTTGTCCGGAATGAAAATACCCTTTTAATAAAAAACAAATTTATCTCCACAAAAAGAAAACAATGCGCTTTAATCCAAAAGATATTTTCCGTTGTTGGCAATAGTCTTTCTCCATTTTTTATTTCAAATCTCGGATCCCTTTGCTGAAGAAATCCTGAGGCTGCAAATCGAAGTATTGGCCTACCCAAATTCGGACTTCGTATTGGTCCTTGAAGTGTTTATCGGCCAGTAATTGCTTTATAGATCGAAATAAGTGGTAGTCTGAGGGTGCCAGATCTGGAATATACGGCGGATGCGGCAGCCATTCCCAACACAATTCCTCGAGTTTTTCCTGCGTCTTCTTTGCTGTGTGTGGGCGCGTGTTATCTTGCAGATATCTCACAGTCGATGCGTTTACATCTTGATTCTTGAGAGCCTGGTCTAATCGTTCCAGCTGTTGCACATATAGATCTGAGGTGACTGTTGGACGAGAAGGTAGAACCTCAAAGTGTATAAGGCCACGAGAATTCCACCAAACAGATAACATAGCCTTTCTTCCATGCGGATCACGTTGTGGCGTCGTTTTTGGCTGTTCTCCTGGACTATACCACTGCCGCTTCTGCGATGGGTTATCGTAGTAAATGCATTTTCCATCCGCCGTCACAATAGTGTCCCAAAAATCTTTTTTGATTGACGAAGAAAAATACCAGCTATGGCCATTCGATTAGCTTTATTAGCGTCACTAAGTTGATGGAATACCCATTTTCCGACGAGATTCGCTTTACCCAAACGATGTATTGGGTTGGTGGAAAAGGTCCTTTCGGATTTTTTGGGAGAGTACCTTAAATTTGTCCAATTTTGACGTTTTATAGCTCATCCTAAAGCTGAATTCAATACGGATCGATTGGGAAAAACTGTTTTGAGATATCTCTTTTCTAAAAGTTTTTACAGCTATTTTAGTAAAGGGCGACAGAGCCAAAAAATGGCTGTTTTCACGTTTCGGTAGTTTTTCGTGCAGAAACCTTGGCTAAAAACATGTTATTCGTGATCAGCGTCCAAAATAACCCCTAGACACAAATTTTCAGAATCTTAGCAAAAAATTTTTGACAAACATTGTCACCGGTGGAAGTCGAACCAGCGACCCTCAGATCAATAGCCTTTCCACCGCTTTTCGCGATTTTCCTTCGTTTTTCCACTTTTTTTTGTTTTATCATTTTTTTGATGTTGTCAGAAGGCTTTTTTCAGGAATTTCAGGAAAAAACGAGAAAAACGAAGGAAAATCGAGAAAGGCTATTGATCTGAGGGTCGCTGGTTCGACTTCCACCGGTGACAATGTTTGTCAAAAATTTTTTGCTAAGATTCTGAAAATTTGTGTCTAGGGGTTATTTTGGACGCTGATCACGAATAACATGTTTTTAGCCAAGGTTTCTGCACGAAAAACTACCGAAACGTGAAAACAGCCATTTTTTGGCTCTGTCGCCCTTTACTAAAATAGCTGTAAAAACTTTTAGAAAAGAGATATCTCAAAACAGTTTTTCCCAATCGATCCGTATTGAATTCAGCTTTAGGATGAGCTATAAAACGTCAAAATTGGACAAATTTAAGGTACTCTCCCAAAAAAATCCGAAAGGACTTTTCCACCAACCCAATAAATGGTCCCCAATGGTTGTGTGACCTAAAGCAAACATCGTTGCAAGTTCCCGAGTCGACTAGGTTGGACCATCTTCTATGGCTTCTCGAAGATCGTCATGGTTGGGCGCTGGAGGGGGGTGGTCACGTCCTCGATCCTGTAGAGTTTCGTCTCCTTCTTTAAATCGTTGAAACCATTTTTTACAAGCTTCCTCTAAATAAGCAGCTTCTCCAAAAATTTTTAACATTGAGCTATGGCTTTCTACCGGGCACTTTTTCCTTGTTTGAAGTCGTAGAGCAAGCACACCCGAATTCGGTACTTCTGATCTTCCATTCTAAAAAAGTCAAAATTATAAGGCAGTAAATTTTTATAAAAACATAGAATTAGAAAAGATATATAACTTTAAAACAAAACAAAAATCAGATGCGAAACTGTTCGCTAAACCGGAAAAATTGCAATCGAAGTTGAGGGTATTTTCATTCCGGACACCCTAAATAGTTCAAGGCTAGAAAAGTTCAACCAAAGACACGGGATTGTTTTTCGAACATGGATCATGGTTATGAGAAGCAAAAATGGCGGAGGATCGATTTCAATTTGAAGAAGCAACTTTTGGATCTTTCAACTTCAAAAGGATCTTCTGAAGTTGCGCGAATTGTTGGAGTACCTCGTACAACAGTGAAAGGGATCATCAATCAGAGGGACGCAATCTTACAAGTGACTAATGATGGAGCCCAGTCGAAGAAAGCACGATTGTCGAGCGGAAAATATGAGGACATTGAGAAGACGCTGATCGAATGGTTGAAAGAAGTGCGGAGTCAAAACGAGTGTGTTGATGGGGTCTAGTTTCCAAGAAAGCATTAGAAGTCGCAAATGTAATGGGAATCGAGGATTTTCATGCAAGTAACAGATGGCTAGAAAAGTTCAACCAAAGACACGGGATTGCTTTTCGAACATTGTAAGGAGAAGCCGCCGATATTAGCTACGATGACGTTAAGAAATGCAAAGATGAAGTGTTGCAAGAACTCTTGGATGGATTCGAGCGAAAAGATGTATTCAATCTCGATGGGACAGGACTCTTTTGGAAGCTCATTCCCAAAAAGACGTTTGCTTTCCGAGGAGAATAATGCACAAGCGGCAAAAAGAGTAAAGAACGGATCATTGTTCTTGTTGGATCAAATATGGATGGATCAGAAAAATGTCCTCTTCTCGTGATCGGCAAATCAAAGAAACTTTGGTGCTTTAAAAATGCAAAACTGCCGGTACTCTACGACGCCAACTAAAAGGCTTGGATGATGGGCGAATTATTTGAGGGACACCTAAAGAAATGGAATTCAAAATTGCTCAAGCACAAGAGAAAGGCTTTGCTTTTCCTCGATAACTGCCCGGCTCATCCAAAGATCGAGCTCTCTAACATTCTTCTTCAATTCTTTCTCCCAACACACAACGGCAGCTATTCAGCTAATGGATATGGGGATGATGTTTTTCATGGGTAAGAAAACGATTTTATGGATTGATTGAATCTTTCGGTGCTTTAACTAGCTAGAACTCAACCATTCAACTTTTTTTAGCGAACAATTGTTAAAGAAAAGTCGCTTTATGCAGAATTTTTGCTTTCAGAAGTCTGTTATAGATTAGGAAAATTTAAAGCACTTTAGATAGCTTCCCCTCACACTTTCTTTATCATTTACTCTTTACGACTTTCGAGATCCAGAGTTCGGCATTTATAGTGTTGCGCTTAATGCATCTTTTTCTTTTCTTTCATTTTCTAAGCCAATACATTAATCTAAGCTGAAAAACAATAATTAATCATAAAATTATAAAATCTACGCATAATTTTGCATTGAATAGAAAAACCGTAACATTTTTTTAATGACTTTGACAACCCTAGCCGAGCAATATAATAATATATGCGGCACCCTGTACAAAGGAAAACTGATCGCTTGCTGATCGCTTGCTGATCGCTTGCTGATCGCTTGCTGATCGCTTGCTGATCGCTTGCTGATCGCTTGCTGATCGCTTGCTGATCGCTTGCTGATCGCTTGCTGATCGCTTGCTGATCGCTTGCTGATCGCTTCACTCGAGCAAAAGGCAGTTAAATTTGTCTGTTTACTGCTAACAGCAGACTGGTTATAAAAAAAAGTTATCAATGGTATTTAAAGCTTGGAGAACTTCTTTGTTCGAATCCTTTCTTGGATAATTTCGAAATATTTGAAAATATTGATAGGCCCGTGAAATTGGCTCTTCCACTTCAAGTACTTCGTCGATGTCGCTTTCCGAAGACATTTCCGAGTGATCATGAACTTTTTTATCAGCTGTAATTTCTTCCAATATTCTTAAACTTGCTGTGACAGCATTTTCATCAACCAAAGCGAAATTCATGACATTCATAGACTCCTCAATACCGTCAGTGATGGTCAACCTCTTCCAGAAATCCTCCAAAAATCTTTTCACATCTTCATCTTCATTATTGGTGTTGCTGTGGTCGTCATCATTTTTTTAAAACCTGCCTTGCGAAAACAATTTGAAAACAAAACGCCTCAGCTTCCACTTCGGTCTATGATTGCTCAAATAGCTGAAGCGAGTCCAAAAGATCAAACTCAAAGGGCTTTTTTTTTGATCAATTGCTGTAATTCGGCGTCTCGTCATCGAACATCGATATTTGATCTTCAAAAATTCTGCATAAAGCGACTTTTCTTTAACAATTGTTCGCTAAAAAAAGTTGAATGGTTGAGTTCTAGCTAGTTAAAGCACCGAAAGATTCAATCAATCCGTAAAATCGTTTTCTTACCCATGAAAAACATCATAGATTTTATAATTAATTGTTGTTTTTCAGCTTAGGTTAATGTATTTTCTTAGAAAGCCAAAAAGATGCATTAGGCGCAACACTATATATCTGAAATCTTTCACTATATCGATAGTGAAAGAGACTTGTTCAGCGATAGTTTTGGTGTAGTGGATTGTGTGATTGTCCAGTAGTGTATCTCGCACCCTGTACGTCTCCCCTTGTTTTCTAGCGAGCAACAAAGATGCCGAAACTTCTCAATGCATTCTTGAAGGATCTTCTCATCGACAATCTTAACACACTAGTGAGTTTCTCTTTTCTTCAACTATCTGCACAAGATTCGTGTCTTTTCCCTGTTGACTAAAGCGTATTTTTCTTAACTTTTTTTGCAAAAGAATTTTGTTTTAACAAACGTTTTGTAATAAAGTGACTAAGCAAGTGCGATAAGCGACAGCTTATCGCACTTGACATTATCGACAGCTTATAACAAGTGCGATAAGCAATCGACAGCTTATAGCAAGTGCGATAAGCAATCGACAGCTTATAGCAAGTGCGATAAGCATGAGAAATGGTTTAGAGTCAAAATAAAAAGTGTAAAATTGGGTTTGCTATTGAATTGGCTACTTGCGTTAAAATTCTCAGGCTTAGGAATCGTTTCTGTTCATCTCAAAATATTGTCTCTCGATATTTTCAGAACAAAACGCGTCTTTTCGTTTTCCCTGAAGTAGATTCCGATTACTGTATCAGGTGTTCTTCTTGCGCTTCAAAAGGGGTAAAGCAAAGCGACATGTGCTAAGACTATTTCTCTCTCTCATTCGCCTCAACTACACAATTATACAATGCACATCGAGGTCTTTCAAAGGCGCCTTTTTGTCTAGAGGTGTACTTGTTTTGTTACGGCCCTGCTGGTCATTTTGGCTCCACAAAAAGAGTTTAAGCTTTCTTGATAAAGAGTACAAGTTTAATTTTGAAGTTTTTGAAAGACTTTTATATTTTGAGCTTACTCAAGGTAGGCAATTTATCCTTTTTCTGATTTCTATCATCTATCATTGCTTCTCACAACAGTACAATCAATTTATTGTCCTTTTCAGTTCACTGAGGTGTGAACGATGAGATTTTTGCTGTTCAACTATGATGTGCAGTAGTCGATCAATCAAAAATCAAATCTTGGTAAGCGCTTCAACTTTTGCCTAAGCTGATCCTGTTTAAAAGACAGCTTCGTACTTTTGACGTTTGATGTTTAACTTTTGACGTTTGACGACTAAAGTCTATATTACTTGCGAAGGATGGTATTTTGGGTTAATATAAATAATAATAATCACCAGGAAACACAGTATCAGGTGAAAAAGTGCAGTTAAAGTTAAAGAACAACTTATAAAAGGATCAAAGACGTGTCCAACTTAGCAGATATATTTAATTAAGTTCTTAAATTAGTTTTTATTTAGATGAGAGTATCATCAAAATCTCTCTCAACGTAATGTCTTCATCGTCAAACGAGGATAGCGAGAAAAAGTGCCTCTTGACTCCGAAATCTCCTCAAGGCGATCGGCCGAACTTTGGATTTGCGCATGTAAGAAATTCGTAAGAAATTTATTCGTAAGAATCGTAAGAAATCGTAAGAATCGTAAGCTAATCGTAAGAAATTTATTGCATTATTGCTAGTAATTACTATAGAAACTATTACTATAGAAATTTATTAAAGAAAAACATTTCTTTCTGCTGAATTTTGCTTGTTTAGAGTGATCACGAAATGGCCGATCAGGTATCAATTGAGCCAGAGAGGCGCGAGTCGAGAACCTCGTCGGTGAATGGAGGACGCGACTCGAGAAATACGACTCAACAAGCCGATGAAGAATCGGTAAATTTTTGGAATTTGAAAAAATATCATAGCTAAGCTAAACTCGTTTTAATGTTATTTTGCAGAAAAATACCGTATTTCTTCGAATAGAAGACCGGGTAAAGAGTATGATCGCGTACTCCTGCGTAGCAGCCCTTTTTAAAATTTCTTTTCTGCATAAAAGCTTTCAATGAAGTGCTATAGGTCTAGAAAATGACTCAAAAATCTGTTAGCTCATGTGGTATTTTTGAGTCATTTTCCAGCCCTATGAAGTCTAATGCCAACAATCAGTGATCCCTAAACTGCACTCCGGTGTTACTTATTTAGCTTATGAAAAGCGAGCGGGTACACGTTTTCTTATCAGCTGTCGCCGAAAAACCTAATGGCGGAAGGTCTTATTGAAAATCCTGTCAAAATAAACGAAGCAAACATCTGTTCTATATTGAATTTTATAAACAAACTCTAAATTTTGAATGATCAATCAACCAAAAATTTTTTTTAGTTAACCGTGGAGGAGCCACAGCGTAGCGCGAGCCCCCTTCCCGGGGCGAACTTCGCCAATTGCCCCCTCATTTACAGGTTTCATTTTTCAAAAATCGTTCCTTTCTCAATTTTCTAAAGCTATATATATGTCGTAGCCGCTAACGAAATTCAGCCGTTTACGAATGATTCGTTAACGGCTAGCCGATTACGAATGAAATTTTTTCACTAGATGTGTACGAAATCTTTGTACCCTAAAGTCGCGAGTATAATTTCTGTAATTTACATTTAAAGGGCTCTGATGGAAAATTTTCTTCTTTCTTTAATTTTTATTGTTTTTTTGTTTTTTTTTCATTTTTTATTTTACTAACTTTTTTTTTCATTTTAGATACGATGAGGAGAAAGTCGTACACCGCCGAAACGAAGCTCGAAGCGGTCAAATTTGCGAGAAAATTTGGAACGAACGCGGCTGCGATCGAATTTGAAGTCGCCGAACAGATGATTTACCGCTGGAAACAAGCTGAGCCGGCACTGATGACTTCACCAAAAAATAATCGAGCTTTCCGAGGATTGAGGGCAAAATGGCCGGATGTGGAGAAAGATCTGAAGGCATGGGTTCTGGAGAGGCGATTCACCGATGCTCATTTTCAAGCGCAAGACTCTTCCTAAAGGAATTTTTCCCGGTGTGATCATCAAAGCTAATCCGACAGGGTGGATGAATTCGGACTTGATCAAGGAGTGGATCGATGAAATTTGGTTGCGAAGAGCAAATCCGGTGGCCAAATCCGAAGAATCAGTGCTCGTGTTGGACTCAGCTCGCTGTCACTTAACCGATAATGTCAAGGCTGAAATTCAGCAACACTCGAAGCTGGCTGTGATTCCAGGAGGGCTAACTCGATTTCTACAACCGCTTGACATCAGCGTCAATAAGCCATTCTGAAATTGGGTCAATATGTTGCGGTCAATATGTCAATATGTTGCGAACGCGTATCAAATTCTGAAAAAGCGAACGCATATACTAACGACGAAAAAATACGATGAAATTGTGAACATATTGACAACAATGTCATAACAACAATGTTATAAATGTTAAATGTTATAAATTTTATTTCACTCGTTGTGATTAGTTTGCTGATTTGCGTTTTGCATAAATAGTTTGAAATCAAAGACTAATTTGAATTGAGCCATGTTCGCAGAAGCCGATTACAAATCGTGCACGGCTAGCAAAAAAATTTCATTCGTAATCGGCTAGCCGATTACGAATGATTCGTCAGCGGCTAGCCGTTAACGAATGATTCGTCAGCGGCTAGCCGTTAACGAATGATTCGTCAGCGGCTAGCCGTTAACGAATGATTCGTCAGCGGCTAGCCGTTAACGAATGATTCGTTAGCGGCTGAATTTCGTTAGCGGCTACGACATATATATGTTGTGTCCGATTTAGATTGAACTTATCGCGGACGTCCGATTTAGATTACAGTCTATATCGGACGTCCGATACAGATCGAACAATAATAAACGTGCTTAATATATGTTCTTAAGCGTTTTTTTGCAATTTTCTGCGCTTTTCAAAGAAATTTTCAAAGAACATATGTTAAGCACGTTTATTATTGTTCGATCTGTATCGGACGTCCGATATAGACTGTAGTCAATAAAAGACCTTTGAAAAATGCAGAAAACTACAGAAAACGCTTAAGAACATATATTAAGCATGTTTATATTATTGTTCAATCCATATAAGATTTAGATTGAATCTAAATCGGACGTCCGATATAGACTGTAATCTAAATCGGACGTCCGATATAGACTGTAATCTAAATCGGACGTCCTATATAGACTGTAATCTAAATCGGACGTCCGCGATAAGTTCAATCTAAATCGGACGTCCGATTTAGATTCAATCTAAATCGGACGGAAATCTAAATCGGACACAACATATATATCAGTATTTCATAAACTATTCATAAATGCAAATTACAAGTCAATCATCTAATGCAATACTTCATTCATTTAGTGAACCGGCACTGGCTGGCGATATGACGCCGATGTTTCGCTCGTCGGCGATCAGCGAATCTTTTCTGCCAAATGTACGTTTTTTCTTTTACAGGATTTCATATTTTGAGCTAAACTTGAGGCTTGAACTGGTTGTTTAGCTTAGTCAGGCTATTTTTTGAGTCGCACCGGCCAAATCCAGGGCTAGATTAGACATGGGCACTACAAACTACAAGCGCTTGTACAAACGCTTAGAATGGTTATTTTTACAAACTGTTTTTACCAAAAGATCAAGCCAACTTTGAGCTTTCGAATGGTATAAAGATCAGGCCAATCCACCATCACTGTGCTGAAATATAACGTTTTTCTAGATCTGAAATCCTATCTCGAGACGAGAGTAAAAATTGCTATATGACTCTTTCATATTTAACAAAAAAAAGCTGCCTTTTTTAACTTTGAAAGCTCATTTTAAGCTCGAAAAGTGAAGAAGAACGAATATTTAGTGCTTCTAGGTAGAGAATTGTTTAATCAACTATATAAATAAAAAACGTAAAGCAAAATGTCTTTTAAACAGGAAAGATATTCAGCTGAGCGGGTAAGGGGGACACTTTGAAAGTAAATTCTTGATCAGCTTAGGCAAAAGTCTCGGAAATTGAGCTTTAGGAAAACAAGAGTAGAGCTATTAATAAAATAAGAATTTACTTTCAAAGTGTCCCCTTTACCCACTTAGCTGAATATCCTTCTAGTTTTGTCGGGAATTTCAAACAAAACGGGCAACTACGAAAAATCTACGCAGAAAAAAGAAGCGGGCTTCGTAGCTCCCCGATTTGTTTGAATTTTCTCAGAAAATTAAAAGATATTCAACTAGAAGGGGACACTTTGAAAGTCTAAAAGAATAGCTAAACTAGAGCAAAAATTGCAGTTGCCTTTTCGACGTGGCAATGCTGCTGGCGGTGACTCGGGAATTGCTTCGATTGGCGGCGAAGGGCAAACCGATGATGATCCGTCAAAGGAAAGCGATGTGCTTTTCATCAACAACACTCCCAAACACTCGATGTGTTTGTCGGAAATCAGTTGTGCCACTGTTGCGACAAGGTAACTATTGATTTATTAGAATAAACCCCATTCTCATTTAGACAAGGCGGCCACAAAACCTCGTTCTCAACCCGCGAAATTCGAGAGCAACATCAGAAAATGCAAGAGCGATATCGACCGAAGCGACAACGACATTTCACAGATCCGGTCGATTTCGAAGGTCAGGTTTTGAAGGTCATTTTATCAGAATCAAACCTAAGCATAATTTAGGTGTGCTAAATATCATTGGCGGGTGTTCTTGGTGGCAAATCTGGGTGTATGTTTTGATCTCAATGCAGCAAATCCCACACGCGATGTTCAATTTGAATGTGGTTTATATGATGTACAATCCCGAGCACTGGTGTCAGGTGAGATTTTGTTGAGAATATTATGTGAAAGGCTTGTTTGATAAACTATAAACTATGCTATAAACTGCTATAAACTTTCTGATGAAATTTGCTATAAACTATAAACTGAGACAGGCTTTTGACCTGGATCTCTTGTGTTTTGTTTTGTACTACATAAATGGATATGAAACAGTTTTTGGAAGAATAACCCTAGCTTTGCTAAACAATCAGTTTCAGGTACCAGGATTTCACAACAGCACTGACGTCGACTATTTATGGACCCTCGAGGATGCGATGAACACAACGATTATCTTTCCGCGAACGACGAAAAGTCAACGAGATAGCAATTTGTATCATGATCAGGTTGGTTGAATTCTGAAAGCGAGCATCCAACAATTTTAGTGTCACTACTTTGATCGAGGACAAAATCGTTTCGAGCAACTCCGCAAAATGACACTAGAGGTAAATGGAGTTAGCTGGGTAATTAGTTTATTATTTAGGATGCAATCAAAGCGGTTGACGGTGAGCCGGCGATCATGACAAAATGCACGAATTGGGAGTACAAAAAGGATGTGAGTTCTAGAGGCTAGGCCAAAATTGACACTATCGGCTTTATGGACATAAAGTCACTTCACGTTTACTTCAAGTTTATCAAGCAAGACTTGTGCCAAGAACAGCACTAGTTTGAACGCTGGGACTTGAAGTTAGCTATACTTTGCGTCAGATGGCCATTGCCAGGTGAAGGAATGAAGGTTCTTCTCGGAAATTCTGGGCCTTTTCATTGGGAAAAGCTATCATATGCAAAACCCAAAGTCAATTCAATTCTCAGACCCTGGCCTGGCTTTTGGCCTGAATTTACCCATCCCCTGGGTCCGCCAAAAGCTAGACCTGGGCCCAGTTTTTGACCGAACTTTGACCTTGCCTTGCTCTAACATTAAGGCCCATTCGAACATTCCCATGCAACTCCAATCATTTCCAGGTGATGGAAGAAACGATCGTCACCGATTGGAATCTCGTCTGCGATGACAATTTGATGCGTGGTCATGCACATCTTTTCTATTCATTCGGTTACTTGGTTGGGTGCTTGTTAGGCGGGTTCGCAAGTGACAGGTGTGTGAACTATCTACAAAACAATCCAAAAATCCGATTCAGTTTTGGCCGCAAACCGACAGTGATCGGCTTTGGAATCCTGTCATCGCTTTTCGGGGTCTTCTTGCCATATACTACCTATTTTCCTATGTTTCTTTTTATCAGGTGCGTTTGAGGAGAGGTTGTAATACCCAAGTTTGTTCTAAAGTCAACTTCAGGCCAAGACAAGTTCTGGCCTAGGCTGTACACTCCTGGGTCAGGTCACCAGAGTCCTGGACCTGACTACTGGGGATTTAACTTGATTGGACTGGCCTAGACGGACTTTTAATAATTAGACTTGTTAACGATTACAAGCCTAGATTGCTAAATTGCTAGACTTGTTAGCAGAAAATCTTTTCATTAATTTTTGTACTTTTTTAACCCCAAAAAAACAAAAAAAAAAACCTTTTTTTTTTTTTAAAAAGCCAATTATTTTTTAAAAAAAATATAAAACCGTTTAAAATGGCTTATTTTCTGGATTCTGGATTTTTTGCGAGATTATTTTTGAAGTCAGGTAGTCAAAAAGGGCGACGACTCAATGCTGCGGTTTAGTCAATTTAACTAAGAAAACCTATCTTTTTCAATAGATAAAAGATTAAGCACAGAAAGTTTGGTATATAACGTTTTGTAACTTTTTACAAGCAATTTAATTTCCCTTTTGTTCCAGATTCTGCAGTGCCGTATGCAACGAAGCCGCCGACCTTGCTGCTTATATCTTGTGTGAGTTTTTTTTAAAGTTTAAAACTTATTTGATTTTATTTTAATAGTTAGAAACAACGACCCAAAGACATAAAAAAAACAAACAAATAAAGTTATATATTATAATGTCTATCTACTATATTTTAGGTATGGAAATCACCGGTGTCAAGTACAGAGCGATGATCGGGTCTCTGCTGCAAGCGCCTTGGGCTGTCGGCTATGCTCTACTAGCGCTATTGGCGTATTTTTGCAAAAGTTGGAAAACGATTCAGGTGCGTTCTTTGACAACTTTTCGCTTTTACATTCATTCAGTGTAACTTATCCAATTTTTACCATAATCGCCGGATTAATTAAACAATTTAGACAACTCGTTCAGTTCAACAGCTTAATTTTAGCGTCTATTCAGTTTAACAGCTTAAATTTAGCATCTATGCAGTTCAACAGCTTAAATTTAGCATCTATGTAGTTCAACAGCTTAATTTTAGCATCTATGTAGCTCAACAGCTTAAATTTAGCATCTATTCAGTTCAACAGCTTAATTTTAGCATCTATGTAGCTCAACAGCTTAATTTAGCATCTTGTAGTTCAACAGCTTAACTTTAGCATCTATGCAGTTCAACTCGAGCAATTCATCCAAATTTAGACGATAGCCGCTGGATTGCACTTTTGCGCTGTTTTGATCATTTGCACGATCCCAGAAAGTCCCCGATGGTTGATCGTTTCAAATCGGGTCGCCGAAGCGGAAGAAGTGATCAGAAAGGCTTGTCGGTGAGTCAAAAAAAGCACCAAATAATAACAAATCTCAAACTAAATCAACAAATAATCAACTTTTAGCGAGTCAACAATCAATCAACAACTTTTAGCGAACCACCATTTCCATTCAATTTGTGCCGCGCTAACAAGGGCAGTTTGCCGTCCGACTTGGAGCTAGTTCGACACCGGGAAACGAGCAAATGGGTGCGCGCGCAGAACGGAAAAGTCACATTGTGGCATTTGTTCAAGGTATTGGAAAGAAATAATCTATAATTACTCCTGCTCATTTTTTTTGATGCTCAAGTGTTGCCTTGAATCCAAAAATCTTATAATTATCATCTCAAAGGAGTTTATTAATTATTTAGTAATCAAAAAAGATGAAGATGAAGATTTATATGAAAAGATAATTGTGATTAATTGAAGTTTACAAATTTTCCCTGATTTTGGTAGTACGATAGTTTAGCATATGGTTCTAGATACAATGGATAAACTTAATTTTAAGAATTGCAAGCTTAGGTCAGCTAGATCTAACGGTACAACAAGAAAAAGCGCACTTGATAAGTTAAAAATACTATAATAACTAATTGTAAGTATTCTAGAATAGCTACAGTAAGTAATCAAGCAATAGACTAAAGCTAAGCTAATTTTCAGATCCGCGAACTTCGTTTCCGCAGCTTGATCCTTTGCATCGTTTTCATGGCCACTGCGCTCGTTTACTATGGGATTGTGATTGGTGAGTAAAAAGATAGTTTACTAAAAAAATTTTTCTTTTTAGCTCTTTCCGATCAATCTGCCCCGGGTCGAGTGCTGTTTTCGGGGAATTTCTTCTTCAACAACGCAATCGCTGGTGCCATTGAGCTGCCGACGCTCATCTCTTGTGTATATCTGATGAAATTTGGAAGAAAAAGGTGAGCAAATGAGCGATGAGTAAAGTAAAGAAATAAACATAAACAATAAACAAAAATTAGCAAAAAGATTTACTTGAAATGCTGAAAAGATAAGCAGAAATTTTCTGGGTTCGATCAGGTTCCCGGTCTTCTTACAATTAGATGTCAGCCTAGAGCCAGGTCGCATTTTTGACATTCTAGACTTAATTAGAGTGTGTTCCTCGCCAGCAATGAGTTTTTTAAAATGCATACTTGGGGAAAATTACCGTACTCTTAGCGAAAAAATTGCGAGCGCTCCCTTATATACGACTTCTTTTAAAGATATTCAACTGTTTAGCTGATTTGGTGGCAAATTCCGTTCAAATATGAAGATATTCAATTTATTCGACGTGTTAAGAGGATTACTCGTAGTTATTCGACCAAAAACGTCGATTAATCGAGTAAAAATTGCTCATACAAATTTTGACTCAAATAATTACTCGTAACAAACACACTCTAGGCTAAGCCTAGCTTACTACGATAGCCTAGCTTTCTACGATAGCCCGAACTGGATCCAGGTCGGTTAAGATAGCCTGAATCAGGTTCAGGTCTAGGTTGTTCGTGATAGCCTAGACTGGATCAAATCCTTCAAGGTAACCCGGATCAGGTCCAGACCGGCCAAGGGTAGCCCTAGGTTTTTGGCTAACTTTGGCACAACACAAGATGATAAAATAGAACCCCTTTTTCTTTTTTTTTTTACCTTAACAATCCATTTTAGAGCCCAAATGGTGACGCTCGTTTGTGCTGGCTTATGTCTGATCATCGCCCTCTTGGCTGTACAAGGAAAAACCTACATGGTGGCTTTGCTCTTCATGATGATGGGCAAAATTTGTGTTCAAGTGGGGAAACAATTTAATGGAAAGTAGTTAATCTTGAAATTTTAGGGAGCTTTCAACATTCTCTACATTTTCTCATCCGAGCTTTACCCGACGATCGTGAGGAATTCGGCGGTTGGCTTCAGCTCGATGGTGAGTGGCTTACGGTTACGTTATTTTGTTTAGAAGAATAAAAAATCTTGGCTATAGTACAGTAATAGATTTGTAAGCTCTCTAATTAGCTATTTGATCTTGTTTTAGATTGCTCGCTTTGGTGCTGGAGTCTCATCCTACATCGCCATGCTATCCGATGTGACTTTGCCGATTGTGCCGATGATGATCTTTGCAATCTTTTCGCTTGTTGCTGGGGTTTTGGTGATGTTACTGCCAGAAACGAATGGATTACCACTTCCTGAAACAATTGAAGTGAGTTTAAAGTGGTTGACTTCTTTTTTTTTTGACTTGAAACTTGACCCAATAGCAATTTCACTTTTCAGGACGCAGTCACATTGCTCAAATCCTCCGACAAGAATCGCGCTGCTTGCTACGGTTTCATGATGGGAAACGAGAAAAGCATGTCACTCCTTGATGAACCCATTGAAGCCGAGTTGAGCAGCGGGAATCAGAGAGAGGTAAAAGAACTATAGCCTGATAAACTTGTGAAGGAATAACGAAAAATTGTATTTGGCTGTCCAGAAAGACTTTTCTTTTATTTTTGTACTTTCGTTTAAAACCAACAAATACACCAATTGAACTACGGTTTGTTTTATTAGAAAGGCCAATGATTTTTCTGCAAAATAATATTAAAACCGGTTTAAAATGGATTGTTCTAAAGTCAACTTTAGGCCAAGACAAGTTCTGGCCTAGGCTGTACAATCCTGGGTCAGGTCGCCAGAGTCCTGGACCTGACTACTGGGGATTTGGACTGGCCTAGCCGGGCTTTTAATAATTAGACTTGTTAACGATTACAAGTCTAGGTTGCTAAATTGCTAGACTTGTTAGCAGAAAGTCTTTTCATTCATTTTTGTACTTTCGTTCAAAACCAACAAATAAACCAATTAAACTACGGTTTGTTTTATTAGAAAGGCCAATGATTTTTCTGCAAAATAATATTAAAACCGGTTTAAAATGGCTTATTTTCTGGATTTTTTTGCGTGATTATTTTTGAAGTCAGGTAGTCAAAAAGGGCGATGGCTCAATGCTGTGGTTTAGACAATTTAGCTAAGGAAACCTATCTTCGTGTCAATAGATAAAAGATAGAGCATAAAAAGTTTGGTATATATATAAATTTTCAGAGAAATTCATTCATCCAATTTCTTCGTAGAGGTTTTTAGAGTTTTTTACGAAAACAGGTGCTTTCACTCTCGAATTTGCTTGAAAGTGAACCGAAATTGACTTCAAAAGATGGGAAATTGAGCAATAAACACTTTATTTCAGAAAATCATATGTTAATTGGTGAATTTGTTATTTTTTAATAAAAGTACGAAAAGGAACGAAAAGATTTTCTGGACAGCCTAATAGAATATAATAGAATAATTATCTTACTATTAGTTCTGCTCCGAGATAGAGCTGAGCTGACTATTAGTTCTGCTCCGAGAAACTGAGCGAGCAAACAGCAGTAGAAGTAAGTCCTTAGAAATTATTAGATAATGAAATATAATCCCTAGTATATCTAATATTACTTTTTTCTGGACAGCCTAAGAGCTATAATATTAGCTTGGTAAATATGAAAGGTTATTTTTTTGATCATTTTTAACATAACAGAAAAATTTATTTAAACACTTTCAAAATCAAATGTATTCACCACAAGCATTAATAACATCTTTCCAACGTTGCCCCAAATCACGAATACCGTCCTGGTAAAATTGAAGATTTTTAGAGGCAAAATAGTTGGCAACCCAATTTTCGATGTCCTGCTTTTGTTTGAACTGCTGTCCAGAAACTGCTTGTTTCCTAGACCGAAAGAGATGGTAATCCGAAGGGGCTAGATCAGGGCTGTATGGTGGGTGTGGAAGAAGTTTTCAGCTCAACTTATCGATTTTTTCGTGGACGATCTTTGGAATGTGGGGCCTACATTGTCGTGAAGAAATCTGACCTTCGATGGTCGATCCTTTTTCCTCAATGCTGGTCGCTCGACCCATTTGTTCTGCATAAAGTCTTCCGTCAACAGTGTCCCTTTATCTAGTATTTCAAAATGAGCCAATCCCTTAGCATTCCACCACACACAAAGCATACTTTTTCGGAGGCTTCGGCATAGGATGAGGGTCTGCTTCGAACTCAGCCACTGTCCATAGAGTTGAATATTTTCATACGAAAGCCAAGTCTCATCAGATGTCAAAAAATACTCCCTAAAATCACGATGGCTACTTTACGTAGAAGAACAGAGCTCAAGGTGACTCGTGTGACTTTGTGGGCATCATGAGGTCGTGGGGGAGCCATTTCCCGCTTCCATATGATTTCCCAAGAACGTGTAAATGGTAACATGAGTGCATCCGAACTTTTCGGCTAATTTTCTACACTTTTGCAATGGATCCAAGTCGACCTCGTTCAGTAACAGCCAATCGTCCAAAGTAATCGGCGGCTTTCCATGTGGTGCATCTTCCAATGACTCGTTTCCCGTTTTCAAGCGATCGTACCAAACACAACATTTTTTGTAAGTAAGAGCAGCTTCTCCAAAAACAGTACAAATGTTCTGATGGCATTCCGTAGCTTTCTTGTTTAACTTGAATTCAAAGAAAATGGCGGCCCTGATTTTAAATTTTTGGTCATCCATCTTTGCCGAGCTGAAACAATACAAATATTATTCAAAACAAAAAAGTTTTTGCAAAAAAAAACATGAGCACATTTTAACATATTATTGAGAAAAATCCTAGACAGCGAATGTTCTTCGTAACGACAGGGCAATATTTTTTATAAAAAATAACCTTTCATATTTACCAAGCTAATAGAATAATTCTATTATTAGTTCTGCTCCGAAATCGAGTCCGTTTCGTAATCAATAAGTTAAGCTACGTAATTGTTGATGTGGATACTTATATTTCTGGAAAAGAAAGAGTTATATTAAGAAAAGATAGAGTTAGATTAAGCGCAGATCTAATCTTTATAAGTTTAGCAAAACGAGGCGATGTCCGCTTTGGGAGTGTCGGTGAATGGATCGTTTGCGTCGTCGATCTCCACCGCTGCCGCCGCTACTGAGCGAGCAAACAGCAGTAGAAGTAAGTTCTTAGAAATTATTAGATAATGAAATATAATCCCTAGTATATCTAATATTACTTAGATATCCTTAAAACTGATTTTATCTTAAACTTTAGATAGTCGGCGTCGAATTTTGACACCTCGTGGCAGCATGCCGAGAGCGATGGGACCGCCAAAGGATGTGAGTGTTAGAAAAATGCGATTATGTCTATTATTGTTAAAAATATATTGAAATATTATAAAACTTAAGTTTCTATAAAGCTAGATGAAAAGAAATACAACCTAGAATAACCCATTTGCACTTTTTACCGAACAAATTACTTTATTTACGCGTTTTGACATGTTTTTGCATTTTGTTTATATTTTTACCAGAAGCTTAGCAGCAAAAAGCAGAAGAATTAGCGACAAGTGGCGAACCTGCGAACTCTCTTCTGTTGGTTTGAAAGACGCGCGCGTTAACCACTCGGCCATGCTCTATAGTAGATATCACAGTGCGAGCGCACTTGTCTCTAGCCCAAACGACGCGGGTTCGATTCTCGCCCGCGTCAGCACAGGTTTTTTAAAAATTTAAATGCATGTTGCACAACTAAATGAAATCCTAAGCCAGACTAAGTATAAATCATTTGAAACGGGCCACTAGGCGCGAAAGAGTAGTGACAGATAGATAGACGAAAGATAGACAGATGAAAGATAGACAGATGAAAGACAGACAGACAAAAGATAGACAGACAAAAGATAGACAGACAAAAGATAGACAGACGAAAGACCGCCAAAGGATGTGAGTGTTAGAAAAATGTGATTATGTCTATTATTGTTAAAAATATATTGAAATATTATAAAACTGAAGTTTCTATAAAGCTAGATAAGAATAAATACAATTCTTAATCAATAAAAATTTCAGGAAAGTCAGTGCGGTTCATTGGCTCAAGAGATGGCCACCATCTCCATTCCCGAGCGTCTTCCCGAGGCTTTCGATGATAAATAAGTGCTTATTTAGATTGAAATTTGTATTTATTGTGTTCGATTCTAATCAAAAATCAATCATTATTTTAATTTAAAAAAATTCTCGCCTCTAGTCAGTACAAGCGCAAAAATACAACTGCAGGAATTTTTATTGTTGAAGCTGAAAGAATTGGGCTGAATTTTGTACTCACTCAAACGCGCACCTTCTGGCACACCAGATTTCGGAATTATAAATGAATCCTTAAGAAAAAGTCGAAATCGAGTATGCTAGAGAGCTCGGGTTTGTGCAAATAAGCACAAAGTACGCACCGGTTCTTTCAGACTTGGAATACTGTAAGTTCCAGTCCGTTTGTCTCAGTAAGCAATGGAAAAATATTCAGACATCAAGAGTGAATATCTTTTACATAAATAGTTATAGTAAGATATTCGGTTAACGCCTGGTTGCCAACAAAGAACTGGAACTTTACAGTACTCTTCATTGTTTCTTGAATATTTTCAGTTCCCCTTATCCAACTTCAGTTCCAACCTTGTCTCCCCCATTTTTTCCTCCTTTCCTTTTCCTCCTTTCCTTTCCTCCTTTCTTTTCCTCCTTTCTTTTCCTCCTTTCTTTTCCTCCTTTCTTTTCCTCCTTTCCTTTCCTCCTTTCCTCCTTTCCTTTCCTCTCCTCTCCTCTCGTCTCTGTTCCTATTTGTGATAAATGTGTGCATAATTTTCACATAAAATTTTCTAAAATTCAAAAATTCCTACCCTAAATACTGTAATAGTACCCCAGCCCCATAATGACGGTGCGGAGCGTTGCGTAGTCTAGCTTTGAACGCGTTTTTCTCGACACTGGTTTAAGCTACAATGCGCGTTTAGGTATCAAAAAATAGCCCTGAATTTCAGCTATTTTTTGATACCCAAGCGCGCATTTTTTGAAAGTACGAGTGCTTTGAAAAAAAATGAAATACTAGAACACTAAAAAACACTGAAATACTAAAAAATGAAATACTAAAAAACTTTTGCGACTACGCGACTGTACGAGGCGGGGTGGGGTACTATTACAGTATTTACGGTAGACAAATTTCATCCATATTGCTCTAATTTTCAAAATGTGCTTTTCTAGTAGAAAATTTTTGCAACAATTTCTTTTTTCAAAACTTTATAAAAAATTTTTTCTTTTTTGTGGCTGTGCCATGTCTCTTGCTTGAATTTTTCAAATTTTCGTAAATTTTAAAAAAAATTTTTCTTTTCCCAATCGGGTACACCGAATTTCCCCCATTGATTCGTTTTAGAAATTTTTTTGTTGTTGACTTTTTTGTTTAACTTTTTTTTGTTGAACTTTTTTTGCTTTTTTTATTTGTGTTTACTTTTTACACGTTTTTAAATTTTCTTTGTGCATTTCTTTCTTTTTTTTTCTTCTCTTTTCGCGAATGACGTATCCGTGCTACATATAAAAGCTTTACAGTAATTTTTAAAGAAACCACATTGCTTTTTTTAGTTTTAGCCTATATTTGAAGAAATATACGCTAAAAAATAGATTACCTTAGCTCTTTTTTAAAGCCACTTTTTAGAAAATCAAAAGAAACACGTTTAAACACGGTTTAAACAAGTTAAACAAGTTAAACAGTTTAAAAAAGTCGTTCTTGACTGAAATGTGTCAACTTTTGAAGATTACTGTAACTTTAAATCTAGTTTAAACTCTAAATAGTAAAATGTTACTGTGAAATTGACCATTTTTGATTTTAAAAGATATTTATTGATCTTTTAAAATCAATCAATTTAAAATATCTATTGAGATCTTTTAAAAAATGAAATAAAAACTTTACTCTGAGATTACTTGAAGAGGTTTTCGAAAAGTTTTTCAAAGGTAAAATTGACTTTCAACAGCAATAGCAACAGCAGCAGCAATAGCAACAGCAGAAAAGTCTAAAAGTGTGTTTTCTTTTGCGTTATCAATCGAGCTTATCCACTAAAAAATCGTGTCTATCTGTACGAGCTTCTTTCACAGCCGTCTTTAAGTCAAAATAAACTGAAATCTTTTTTGAAAAGGCTTAAAATATAATCTAGTTGTGTTATTTAAAATAAATGATTGGAAAAGTTGAAATTGAGTGCCACTACGGGAGTCGATCCAGCATCGTGTGGGTCATAGACAAGCCTATCCGTATCCGAACCATATTGGAACCATATTGGAACCATATTGGAATCAAATTGGAACCATATTGGAACCGTATTGGAACCATATTGGAACCGTATTGGAACCATATTGGAATCAAATTGGAACCATATTGGAACCATATTGGAATCAAATTGGAACCATATTGGAATCATATTGGAATCATATTGGAATCAAATTGGAACCATATTAGAACCATATTGGAACCGTATCCGAACCATATTGGAACCATATTGGAACCATATTGGAACCATATTGGAACTCCCGACTGCGCCACGACGACAAGGGAAACCCTTAGACGGGTTTTTTTCGGCTTTTCCACTAATCAGGAATAATAATTTGAGATTTTGAGGTTAAAGCTCTAACTCTAAACTTTGAAAGCTTTTAGCTGACACCTAGATTTTGACTACTTTTTATAATTTCAAAAAGAAACTAAAAAACTTGTTAAGTTAAGACTAATTACTTCCAATTCCTCAATTTTTACTCTTAACTTAACAAGTTTATTAATTTCTTTTTGAAATTATAAAGTAGCCAAGATCTAGGTGTCAGCTAAAAGCTTTCAAAGTTTAGAGTTAGAGCTTTAACTTCAAAATCTCAAATTATTATTCTATTTTTGAAATTATAAAGTAGTCAAAATTTCTTTTCAATACTTTCAATATTCAAAAGCGTTTCGGACTTTAAAAAAGTCCGAAAAAGGAATTTCTCGACGGTGGCGGTAAAAAAAGCTGATAAAACACGCACGTCGAAAGAAAAAAAACTGATAACAAGGGCTTCTGCCAGAAGAGATGAGAGGCAAAAAAGAAATGTAATGATTAGAGAAAAGAAATCAAATATTGCTCTTTACTTTCTTTGGTTTTCGATATTTCGATTTCGAATAGAATTTGATTACAATTTTTGGTTCAGAAGTTAGTTCAAGAATTTCAGAAGTTAGTACAAGTACTTGATTCAATTTTTAGGAAACTTGCCAACAGTTCTGAGTTTTTTAATTTTCACTTAGCTTCAAAATTTCTCAAGCTTTCAATTGATAGCTTGAATCGATAGCTTGAATCGATAGATTTCAATTGATAGATTGAAAAACCCGTCTAAGGGCGGGTTTTTCTCGCTGATTTCCCTTGTCGTCGTGGCGCAGGCGGGAGCAGGCTTGTCTATGACCCACTAGATCGACTGGACCGACTGTCCGTCAAGATCGACTGTCTATGACCCACCCACAAGATCCTGGATCGACTTCCGTAGTGCCACTCAATTTCGACTTTTTCAATCATTTATTTTAAATGATATCAAAGATCCGAAAATTGTGCTCTTTTATGCTCTATTTGATTGTTTCTGTCAAAGAACTGTTGGCAAGTTTCCTAAAAATTGAATCAAGTACTTGTACTAATGTACTATTCAATCAAGTACTTGTACTAATGTACTATTCAATCAAGTACTTGTACTAACTTCTGAGATTCTTGAACTAACTTGATCGTTTCTGTCAATTAAGATATTCGATTTCATTGATCACCCATTTTAGGGTCAATTTTTCCATTCTCGTAAACGATGGGTACGATTTTCCGATCAGAATGGATGTCTTTATGTCAAGTGTTTCTTCAAACCGACAGCGCGTATGCGTGTGTCGCCGAATTGGGCGAACTCGGTTTAGCTCAATTCAGAGATGTTGGTTTTTTGATGATTAAAAAACATATCTAGAATGTTGTATTCGATTTGGGCTTTTATCCAATTTCAATTGAAACATCATTGTACAGTAGGGTATCTGTTTTTTAAGGACTATATCAAAAGAGCGCCGTTTAGAAGAGCACTGTTTAAAAGAACGCCGCTTAAAAGAGCGCCATTGAGAAGAGCACTGTTTAAAAGAGCGCCGCTTAGAAGAGCACCTTGAAAAGAGCGGCGTTCAAAAGAGCGTCGTTTAAAATAGCGCCGCTTAAAAGAGCGCCGTTTAGAAGAGCACTGTTTAAAAGAGCGCCGTTTAAAAGAACGCCGCTTAAAAGAGCGCCTTCAAAAGAGCGCCGTTTAAAACAGCGCCGCTTAAAAGAGCGCCATGATCAAAAGAGCGCCAAGGCTTAAGTCATATGAAATTCAACCATTAACTGCGTTTTAACCTTTTTTTTCTTCTTTAAAACTCCTGTATTGATTGCAAAGATTTATCATGAATTCTTTTAACAATTTAATTAAAATTAAAATTGAATAGAATAACAAAAATGATAACAACATTTAAAATCGATGTAAAATGACAGAGTTGAAAGATATCCAATATGCGATTTTCCTAAGGTGCCATTTCTGATAGTCAACTTCCTTGTCCGATGAGAAGAGGAAACGTGAGGCGATTGTAGATTAGGCGATGTAGGCGATTGTAGATTAGTTTCTTTACCTAAAATTAAAAACTTAGACAATAAATGACAAACAAACAACAAAAAAATCCTTCTTTTGATAAAATGCGCCTTACTTTGACTTGCCGGTCGTTTTCTGCCAAAATTAACGGCGAATTCGAAATTTCCAGTCGTACTTTTACCGAAAAACAAAAAAAATTGGAAATAAACATAACCAAACAGGAAAAAATATCAAGAGAAATGAAAAAAATTGGCAAAAATCTAGTCGCGCTCTTTTAAGCGTTTTTGCATTGGCGCTCTTTTGATATTATTAGGTTGGTGCAAAAGAAATTTCGGTCGATATAAAATGTTCTTATTTTTTTAATCTGAAGAGCTTATTTGATGTTCTTTTGTGCATTTGTACTCTTGGATATTTACTTTATTTTCGCATTTTTTCAAAGTCAGAGCTTTCACTTTTTAATTGATTTTTGCTTTAGATCATGGTGGATCAAAAGTATGTTCTGCGCACGTGTCTTCTCTATGACTTCAAAATGGGCAAAA